GGGTTTATCTCTGTGACAGATCCATATCGTATATGGGTCGGGACGGCGAAGATTGTCGAAGGGAGGTCACGTGCGGGGTTCCCCAGGGGTCGGTCCTGGGACCTCTTCTGTGGAACCTCGCGTATGATGCCGTCCTGAGGACCAGCCTTCCCCCAGGATTGAGTGTCGTCTGCTACACGGACGACACTTTGGTACTAGCTGGGGGACATGGCTTCCAGGAAGTTCTGGAGCTCGCCGAGTTAGGGGTGGCTTGTGTCGTCCAAGGGATCAGCGGTCTGGGTCTAAGGGTTGCACCTCATAAGACGGAAGCCCTGTGGTTTCACAGGAAACGCAGAGGTGCAGTTCCCACCAGAACGCTTATTAAAGTGGGGGGAACAGAGGTCGAGGTCGGGCGGTACATTAAATACCTCGGCCTCACCCTGGACAGCCGCTGGAGCTTTGAGGAGCATTTCGAGCGGATGAACCCCCGAGTTCGCGGGGTGGCGGGCTCCCTACAGAGGCTATTGCCTAATCTAGGGGGTCCGCGGGAGGAAGTTCGCCGCCTCTACTGTGCGGTGATACGATCCATGGCCCTCTACGGAGCGCCAATATGGGCCAAGCGCCTATCGGCCTCCTCCCGCTGCCGAGCGAAGCTCAATCAAGCGCAGCGGGTAGCGGCCATTAGGATCGTACGAGGTTACCGCACAATTTCGTCGGAGGCGGCGACAGTCCTGGCACGTTTCCCACCCTTTGATATCCTGGCGGATATGGACGCGAGGGTCTATGACCAGACTTGCGTGATCCGCCGGGGTGAGGGTGGGGAAGACCAGGATGAGCTCGAAATGCGGCGGAACGCCCACCGACAGGCACTGGTGCAGTGGCGCGCACGACTGGAGCAGCCGCGGAATGCGCGCCAACGCGCTGTCGGTGCCGTTCTGCCTAACCTTGAAGCTTGGGTAGGTAGGGAAGGAGGTTGCGTCACCTACCGACTGACGCAGGTACTCACTGGGCATGGTTGCTTCGGGGAGTACCTGAATCGGATTGGACGCGAGGAGACGGCACAATGCCAGCACTGCGCAGCCGACTGGGACTCCGCCCAGCATACGCTGGAAGACTGCCCCTCGTGGGCGTCTGAACGCGAGGTCCTGGTCGACCAAATCGGACGAGACCTGTCCCCGCCAGCAATCATTGCTGCCATGCTGACGGGTGAGGAGGGCTGGGGCGCAGTGGTCTCTTTCTGTGAAGCTGTAATGCTCCAGAAAGAGACCGCTGAACGGGATCGGGAGAGGGCCGATCCCGAACGTAGAAGACGTCGGCGGCGATATCAGTCATCGACGGGGCCGCGGGCCGCCAGAGAGTGGGGACCTCTGGTGGCAGATTGATTGCTGCGGTAGGGAATGGAATGGCCGGCCTGATTGCATTGAGATGCGATCGGGCCGCCATGCCGTGATTGAAGGGGGAAGTGTTCTACCCTGGGATAGGGCCTGATTAGGCATGGTGTCAATTCGGGGTGGACCTGAAATAACATGGTCCGGGTCCTCCCCAGAGTAGGACACCTAAGGCCGGCCGTCGGGGTGGTTTTTAGTGGAATCACCACATACTCCTGGCTCCTGAGTCCCCGAGGAGCCGGAGATCCGAAGGGATTTTCCACCCCGTCAACAAAAAAAAAAAGGCAAAACCTCCTCTAAGGAGAGGCCTATGTCTAGCAGTGGACTATTACAGGCTGTTGATGATGATGACACCAGAGTTGGGGCTTCGGTAACCTCACCCGATAAAAGCAAAAAGAAGAATTGCTTAACACCAGTTTTCTGTAATGACGTTGTTTCATTGGAAAACGTATCGTCTTTTTTGTACAAATTATAGACATGATGATATATGCACACTACGAGTAGCAAATACGAGTATATTAAACCTTTTCAATCCTACTAAAATCTGTAACTACTGTGACTCTTTATTGGAATTTGCATTTTTTACGATGCCTATATTTTGATAAGGGTTTTGTATTTTGGTTTAAGTTATATATATGTTTCATAAGCTCATTAACTAAAGATTTTTTATATATATTTGGTACAATTGATTTCTGTGAATTTGCTTCTTGATTGTGGATGAAATAAAAATTGAGAGGTTTTTTCTTACTAAGGAGATTTGAAAAAGGTTGTCTCAACTCTCCTCGTTTTCAATTTTATATCAGATAGCAGTGAATAAATAACGGGCACAAAAAAAAGTTTTTTTTATTGATTTAATTTGTTTATTTTGTTTTAGCATGCCTACTGATTATAAAAGAAAGACTGATAGAGGTATGGCGAGTCGCGAAACATATGATCTCGCAGCAGAAGAAGTAACTTTCGACGATGAAAAGTCTCCGTGACGCGGCTTCGAGTTACAACCTAAAACCTACCTCCCTCTACAAGTATATAAAAAAAACTGCTTATAAAGCTAACGAAACGGCGACTGCTCCAACGGCTGGATATCTCAAAAATACTGTTTTTACAGCTTCAGAGGAGAAGGTACTCTGTGACCATCTTTTAAACTGCGCTTGGGAAATGCCCTTGGGAATCACATACCCCCGATGTTCATCTTTCGGAGGAAGATTTAATTATCACTTTATACGGCACTGCGAATGAGTCAGGGTGAAAGCAAGAAGAAGACTTCTATATATTTATTAAATTTTTTAAAGACCAAATTATGTCCTACTTCTAGCACAAGTGATAAACGACCCCTTGCAAACAGGATTTTACATGATTCTCGTACACCAAGTCCATCAATCCTAAATTTACCGCCTACTCCTTCTCAAATCAGCTACGAAACAGAAGACGTCTACCAGTCTGAAGAAACTCCTGATAAGAGTTCACCTAATCTAGCAATATCTGAAATAATGCTTAATACTATCACGATGCCTTCAACCACTGGATCCATTGTTCCCTCCACAGTCTTTACATCTGATATGATACTTTAATTTTGATTTAAACTGGTTTTTAGGCATAGGTATCGTGCAAATGATCGTGTAAGCATGAAAAAACCTATTATTTTGACATTACAAACAGACACTTCAATTTTATTTATTTGTATACATTAATATGATAAATTTAAATGATTTGTAACATTGGTAGTCATGATCGGGAATGTGGGTCCGGTGACATTTTAACTCTTCAGTGTTGAAAAGAGGTGGGTTTGTGATTAAGAGTTTGTGTTACTAACCTCTTAATTAAAAATCATGCCATCTGGCGACGATTAGTTTAATTATAATAAAAGATCAAACCACACAATACTTGACAAGATGCTACCGGTTTGCAGTTTATTGAATGAATGTAATTTGTTTTGAATTGCGTGACTAGTATGCATGAATCTTTATTAAGCGTTATAGAACACAAGAAAGATATGTAGTGAAATGTTCATCAAAACTGTAATGTCAAAGTCTAAATAAAATGTCAATAGGGAATATGCATGTATTTTTTTTATTTTTTTTAACGATTCTACTAGTTATTACAGTACCAAAAACAAATATAACACATCTGAAATATAAACCGTTAGGCAAAAAAAAAAATTGTTGAAATCACTATCATTTTGGGGCAATTTGAACACGTCCATTTTAGCGCGCTTTTTTTGTGACGTCAGATTACACTTTCAGACGAATTCGATGTCAACAACGGAGTGAAGTTCACAAAGTTTCTAAAAGATCAAAAAGTGAGTGATAAAAATTAACTTATTACCATGGAAAGCCAATAAAAACTTATTATAAATATTGTGCCGTTCCTTTGTGCCCAAATAATATCAAAACTGTACCTGACAAAGTATATTCAGTCATTGTGTTGAGTCTTTCTACACGGGAATTTAATAATTTAACACTGAAAACGTATTAGTTATTAACTTAAAATGAAACAAATAATCACCAGAAACCAAATATTACAAATACACACAACTTGTTGACACTCTTGACAGTGTAGGTTGACGTCACGTTTTATTCAACCAATAGCGTTGCGTTTTAGAAATGTGCGAGGGAATCTTAAAAAAGCCAATTTTTGATGATTAAATTTCACAATTAAATCATAATAAATTTCAAAAATAATTGTATGGGTATCTTTTTTTAGCAATAAAAATTACAAATAAAAATATTTTGTCCATTTTGGTGTCACGTACATATTCCCTATTGTCTTGTCAGCAGTGTTGCTAACCTAATAGATTATCCACAAAAACTGGTGGTTTTGACGCCTCTTTTAGCGGCGAAATATTGCTTTTAGTGGCTAGTGGATTTGTCTATAGGTTTAGTAGTAATAGTAAGGTTGTAGAGGAATTAAGAGATGATATTGAAAGACGAGCTGTGAGGCAGTAAAGGTGTTAATTACATTGTATTATTCCAGACCATTATCGGCCTATAGGCATGCAAAAAGTTTTTTCCTTACTCCTTACTTGACAAATGTACTAATACTGAAAGTACAATGTAAAACAATAAAGCGTAGTAACATTATATAAATTAACAAAAACACATATTATTCTATTAAAACTTATTATCTAAACACTCCTTAACATCATAATAACATGTATTGATTAGAAACTCTTTCAGTTTTCTTGGGAATAAAGGAATGCTGAAGACTATAAATTAATTTAAAATAAATAACTGTTACTGTTAAAAAAATTATGTGCCTGTATCGAGGACTAGATACGTTTAATTTTCGTTGATGATGATGGAGAGTCAATTTAACTGTTGGTAACACTGCTTATCAGAAGTTCTCAGTTTGTCACTGTTGTCAGTACAATTAAGTTTCATTCCGTTCCGAGTAAAAATTCCGAGCAAGGGACCAACCGAGCATTTTTCAAGTAAAAGGTGCGAAGAATAAGCACACAGAATAGAATAATTACAAGACATTATATTTAAAACTACTTTGTCAGTAAATTACCTATAAGGGCGTGTATAGTTTCTGCGTCTTCAGAAATTACAAGTGTTGATAAATATTTCGTTGTGTTTACATCTTATGTTATAGCACAATAACATATACAATAAGGAGAAAAATCTATATTTAAAAATGAAGATATCTGAAGTAAGTAGACTAATAAAATATGTCATTTAAATTCCTCAAATGAGAAAATAGTTCCACAGTTCAAAAGCACCTACCATATGACAATTGATAACATAACCTGTACGACAATAACAAACTAGAGAACTTTTATTGTAGAATAAGTAAACCGTGCGATTTAATCCTTAAGAACCTTCGGAATTAAATATTCAAAAAATAAAGACCTCCTAAAGACCATGTGCACAGTATTGTGTTTTGTATATCTTTCGTTAGTTAATGCTAACTTCATCATCAGCCTATCGCAGTCCACTGCTGGACATAGGCCTCACCCATTGCACACGACTTAGATCGATTTTGGGCTTCTCGCATCCAGTAAATTAGTAATTATTGTTCACTAACCACCAGGCCAGGTAGTGTCACTACACTGACTGCTAAGCCAGAGGTAATGGATTCGATTCCCACCCTGAACAAATAATTATGTGATGAGCATGACTATTCATTCTATATCTGGATTTAATTTATCTATAAGATGTATGTATTCAGAAATATATTATTATTATAAGGATGTCTATAAGCAGTCTGGTTACCATAGTACAGACTCTGCCTAGTTTGGGACTGTGTTTAATTTAGCTGTGTGTGAGAGAGGTTAAGTTATTATTCTTATATTAATTACCATGTATGAAACTGTGCTGTATATTATTACAATGTATAAGAATTTATCTGAAACTTTCATAAGATTTATTTTCTACTGGTGTCTTTTCCAAGTTAAAAAAATCTTATTTCTTTTTTCCAGCTTGTGGGTGATGAAGGTCCTACTTGTAGGACATATGTTTTTCAAAATGAAAGCCACACATTAGGAAATGCTTTGAAATGTATTATTACTAGATAGTAAGTATACTCAGCACGTCTTACGTCCCTGTTACCTCCCCCTGCTTCCTTCTCCGAGCCTTTATCCCAAACTAGGTTGGGGTCTGCTTTAAGTCTTCTATGACACGGCAGACCTCCACAACTCACAGTTCTGTAGACAGACTATTGTCTGACTTTTTAAGGCTGTAACTACCCGTAAAGATTGCCACAGACGGTTGTATGGCAACCGGGACCACTGGCTTAACATGCTCTCTGAGGCACGGAATGGTCTAAATGTGTTTATATGTCACTATTACTACTGTGACAATTTGTAATTACTGTGCGGCTCATGATTTACAAGGGCTACTATAAGTTAAAACCCTTAAACTTACAAGTTCATGTTTCTATAGCAGTTTATTAATTTCTTTTTTCACCTTTTCCAGTGAAGATGTAGATTTTTGCGGCTACACTGTACCACATCCAGCAGAGTCTAAAATGCACTTCAGGATACAATCAAGAGAGACCCCAGCACTTGAAGTATTGAAAAGGGGGTTAAAAGACTTGGAAAAAGTCTGTGATCACACAATAAATATTTTTGAAAAAGAAGTAAAAGATTTCAGTAAAATGTAGAATGTCTTTTATTTACAGTTATATTAATTTACTTCTTTACTGCACAATTCCACCGCTTTACGACTGAACAAGCCATGTTATGAAATGAAATATTGTATTTCAGTAGGTAAATCTTAATTGGATAATTCCACAATTACACAGAGCCATGTAATGATTCCCTGCACTAATTGATTAAAAATAAAAGAAATCCGTGGTTAAGCTCCTAGCATCTTAAATTAGCTTAAGAATGTAACTCATTTGTAAATAGATTTGATGTTGAGATCTTTTTGCAATCAAGGTCTTAGGCCAATTAAGCGCTAAGTACTGGGAAGGGAATCACCAACTCTGTAGCTTTACATCAGATGGCACTACAGTAATTACAGTCTTAATTTAATTGTGTTTGGATTGGATGACGCTAAATGGGGATTTACTCGAGCGTCATGGGGACCTATTGCATTTGAAAGATTACGTAATGGAATGAATAAAAGTCATATAATGTTTTCACTTTCAGCGGTGGGAAAAGCTACAGGTTTTCAAAAGTGCAAGGGGTGGAAATCGAAAAACTTCGGGCGCATCAAATATTTTGGGGATATGTTATTTGGACTCCAAAAAGGTCTCACCCAAGCTGGTAGCGAATTATCGAAAATGCAATTTGCAAATGTGTGTGCTAGATTTAATGCAGACGGTTCAGCTTGATGTTCCTGTCATACTAGCCAAAGATCTGACGATAATTTTGCAGAGTATTTTAAGTCCGACGGTTTGAAATATTTTAATTTTTTGATTTTTATGAAATGTGACAAATAAAGGCACGAAAAATTATGTAGACTTAAAGATTTTTTCATTTGTTTGCTTTAAAATAAAAAATAAATGTCAGGTAATGTGTTTTTTTTTAACTTTGTGGCCCTCCCACTGCTTTATGATACGCTCAAATCGTCTGTTTTTCTTAGATACACACTAATGTGCATGTAATTGACTCAACTTACCTTAATCTTACACGCTCGAGTATATTCGGCATCGATTATTTTTTTAAACTAATCTGATCCCCTAGATGTTCCCCCCTCTATGTAGGGATCATGTATGGTGGAGTTACTCAAATGGGTGTAAGGTATTCCTCCTATCTTAATCTGACACGCTCGAGTAAATCCCGAAATCCCTTTTAGGGCTCCCCTACTATAAGAACATAATGGACGTATATTTATCATAATTTAGTATGATTTTGTAGTTTTTGAGAGTAGTTGGTAGACAAAATCTGAGCTCGAAAATGTTATAATTAAAAAGTTACCATATATATATGTGGCTCCTCAGACCACACATACGACCATCATTTTTCAAAGAATCTGTCTCAATTGATGCGTAATTTCTTCATAATTTAATAGTATTCTTTACACTACAAATTTAATATATATTAAATTATAAAATTAAATATTAATAAATATTAAATTTGTAGTGTAAAGAATCAGTAATTAAAAATGAGTGAATTAACACATTTTAACTGGCTCTTCAGTTAAGATCACAGATTGTTAAGATGCTTCGGTAAATAGATTTGACTCTAATTTACTTATAGGAGGATCTACTTGTGAGGAAGTTTTCAATATAGAACATCAATATTTTGTCTAAATTTATACTAAACACAAATATAATCCTGTCATAAAAAAGTACAGTATCTACGAAGTTATTAGCTATTCTTTAATTTCCTAACAATTTTTTTTGTAGGGTGTCCATGAATAACTTATATAAAAGGTATTTTTTTCGTTCCGTTTCGTACACAAATCTATTTTATTTATTATTTGGAGGTAACTGCATATTAATATGGTTACCTACCTACCCTCAAAAATATTTTTTTATACACCACGACACAAGCGTCAATTTCTCAACACTGATAAATAGTTATTACATACGTAGTAAATTGTTATTTATAATAACTTATTTAATTATTGTTATCGATACAAAACGCGCCAAAAATAGGTGGTAGTAGGTAGTATAATAATAGGTGTTATAGAATTTATCCCTGCTATTAGCGACGCTGGCATGGGACAACTATACATGTCACTACCCAACAAAGGATAAGATGTTTTGTTACGACGACAATTAATCTCAATGTAAAATTCGTAAAAGCACCGACCAACCAGTCAATTAATTCACTGTATAACCTATATCCAAATTGTTTAATAAATACTTAGAAAATTTTACTGCAGAATTTCTTACATTCCTATATTTCGATAATTATCGATTTGTTGAAAATTAAATTTCAAAACTAGGCTTTGTGATTTTACATTTTAACATGGTCACCCTAAATAGCGAATTCATAAGGAATTGAAGTTGATCAAAAAGTAATTTATTTTTCACATACCGAATATATACAACGTTGATCTGTACATATTTATTTAGTAGACATTTATACTAAATGTTAGTGTCTCTAGTTTTTATTTTTGTTGGGATATTGTGATCTGGATCTCGTCTCGGTAGGTACAGTCGATTTTACATTTATTATCCAGAACGTCAGGATTGGGGAGCCAAATAAAATGCGTTTATTTACTAAATTTACTCAGTTTAACTACTTTCTCCTGATGCTACAAATTCAAACACACTTGCAACTAAATGTTTTTGGAGTGAAATATCAATTTTGACCTATTACTTTCATGGCAATTCACGCTCTTAAATTTAGATTGAGGAGCCACAATAAAAGTATTGTTTATTTTTAAATTTCAACAGTAATGGATTAGCAAGCACTAAACACAATTACTACTAAATGATAAGAAATTTTCAAAAATATTCACTCAATACTTTTCGTGTTCCAGGTGGCACCTCAATTAAAATGTTTGGATTGAGTCTTGATTATGAAAGAAATTGGAAAATTCTTATTCATCTGATAGGGTATAAATTTGAAAAAAGAAATTGTCTAAGAGTTAAAAAAAATATTCATTTATTTATAACCAAGCTCACAATGTTTCAATTATTACAACATTACTTACTTCAATGAGCCTAGATATTAATGCAGGCTCATTGAAGTCGGTTTGCTCATAATTAAAGTTATCACCACTAATCAGTTGACTAAAAAGACTCGGTTGCAGATCATGAGTTCCCCTGCAGCTGCTGAATGAAAACGAGCTTAGCTTCGGCCATTTTGCATTTGTCTCTCATTGCGCTCACTGTTCAACGTAAGTTACCATACATTTTTTATTCAATATTATATTCTTCGAAATGAATTTATATGCTTCAAATGTTGATTATTACAGTATTTATAGTGTATATTACATGTTTTGTATATTTGGTGGTTTTGCTTTCAATGTTGAATTTATTTAAAGAAGCGTGTTACCACCACGTGGTTTTTTATGATGAGACATTCATTTCATTCGTGGTATCTACCATAGTGTAATAATCACAGTGATGGCCTATACGCGTCTGATTTATTATATTACTCTGATCTATATTTTTCTATGTGGGCCTAACTAAATCTTAATTGTTTATCTTAGAATGGCGGACGCAGCTCCAGCCGGTGGACGTGGCGGTTTCCGCGGTGGTTTTGGCTCTCGTGGTGGTGATAGAGGCCGTGGCGGTCCTCGTGGCCGTGGACGCGGTCGTGGCCGCGGCCGTGGACGTGGAAAGGAAGATCAAAAAGAGTGGGTTCCTGTAACAAAGCTTGGACGCCTTGTCCGTGACGGAAAGATCGATAAATTAGAAAGCATCTACCTATTCTCTCTACCAATCAAAGAGTTCGAGATCATTGACTTCTTCCTTGGCCCCTCTTTAAATGACGAAGTTCTGAAGATCATGCCTGTACAGAAACAGACTCGTGCCGGTCAGCGAACTCGTTTCAAGGCTTTTGTTGCCATTGGTGACAACAACGGCCACATTGGACTGGGTGTGAAATGCAGCAAGGAAGTTGCTACTGCTATTCGTGGTGCTATCATCCTAGCCAAGCTATCTGTACTGCCTGTCCGCAGAGGTTACTGGGGAAACAAGATCGGCAAACCTCATACTGTACCTTGCAAGGTAATATTTTATTTACATATAAGCATGAATAACTTTTTTATATTTTAAAATTGTTATGATGAAAACTGATAATTTTAACATTTGTGGTATCTCCTGAGGTTTCAATGAAGTTCGTAAACGCGTCTGATCTTTCTAAATCCTAGAAATAATTTAATATTATTTTACTTGAGTTCTAATCTTACTTGTCTTATCATTCCAGGTTACTGGCAAGTGTGGTTCTGTAACAGTAAGATTGATTCCTGCTCCTCGTGGTACTGGAATTGTGTCTGCCCCAGTCCCTAAGAAGCTTTTGCAGATGGCTGGAGTCCAAGACTGTTACACCTCTGCTCGTGGTTCCACTGGCACTCTTGGAAACTTTGCTAAAGCTACATATGCTGCCATTGCCAAGACCTATGCTTACCTCACCCCAGATTTATGGAGAGACATACCATTAACCAAGTCTCCATACTCAGAGTTCAAGGCAGTGTAACTAGCTGAAAAATAAATGTTTTGAACATCTTACATTTAGTCTTTTTATTATTTAATGATTTTAGTTTAATGCAATAGATTTTTTATAGTAAAGGGGAACACACTGGTCACCTGATGGTATGTACTTGCCTGCCTGCACGCCAACTCAATGGGCACAAGTGCGTTGCCCCCTTTCGTTACATAGTACAAATTAGCAGTATGTCAGATCATTATTTGTTTCACCTGCTACAAATGTTGTTAATCCACAGATCTGTTCTCTAATTATTTTCTTACATAATGGACATCTTCCATGACTGTTTCAAAGTGGAAGTCTTGAAAATCTTTTCGGTCAGCGTAGGTGGATACCTATTCGTTTTAAGGCTCGTCGCAATTGGTAAGAAAATTGACACATTGGACTAGGTATGAAATGAACAAGAAAGTCGCTTCTGTCATCCTAGCCAAGCTGTCTATACTGCCTGCCTGTTTCCAGAGGTTACCAGTAACCTTTGCAAACAGGTATATCAAGTTTGGAAAGCCTTAGACTACCTTGCAACGTAATATTTTATTTACATATAGGTACGTATCTACGACTCGCATCTGATCTTTCTACTCCTAGAGATGATTTTACTTGTGTTCTAATCTTACGTATTATCATTCCAGGTACCTGAGAAGCATGGTTCTGTCACAGATTGATTCCTGCTCCTTGTGGTACTGGTATTGTGTCTGCCCAGTTCCTAAGAAGCGTCTGCTAATGACTAGAGTTCAAGACTGTTAAACCTCTGGTTGTGGCTTTACTGGAATCCTTTGAAACTTCGCCGTGCAAGGTAATATTTTATAAATATAAATGACATTTATTTACACTTCAAAATTGTTATGATGAAAACTGATAATTTTAACATTTGTGGTATCTCCTGAGGTTTCAATGAAGTTCGTAAACGCGTCTGATCTTTCTATATCCTAGAAATGTTGAAAATTATTTTACTTTAGTTCTAATCTTACGTCTTATCATTCCAGGTTACTAGCAAATGTGGTTCTGTCAAAGTTATACTGATCGCTGCTCCTCATGGTACTGGTTTTATGTCTGCCCAAGTTCCTAAGAAGTGTCTGCCGATGGCTGGAGTGCAAGACTGTTAAACCTCTTGTTGTAGGTCTACTGGCACCCTTGGAAACGTTGCCCTGCAAGGTAATGTTTTATTTTATAAGTATGAATGACATTTATTTACATTTCAAAATTGTTATGATGAAAACTGATAATTTTAACATTTGTGGTATCTCCTGAGATTTCAATGAAGTTTGTAAACGCGTCTGATCTTTCTATATTCTAGAAATAGTTGAATATTATTTTACTTTAGTTCTAATCTTACGTCTTATAATTCCAGGTTGCTAGCAAGTGTGGTTTTATCACAGTTTAACTTGTTTTTTGCTCCTCGTGGTACTGGTATTGTGTCTGCCCAAGTTCCTAAGAAGCGTCTGCTGATGGCTAGAGTGCAAGACTGTTAAACCTACTGGCACCCTTGGAAACTTTGCCCTGCAAGGTAATGTTTTATTTTATAAGTCTGAATGACATTTATTTACATTTCAAAATTGTTATGATGAAAACTGATAATTTTAACATTTGTGGTATCTCCTGAGGATTCAATGAAGTTCGTGAATGTGTCTGATCTTTCTATATCCTAGAGATAGTTAAATATTATTTTACTTTGGTTCTAATCTTACGTCTTATCATTCCAGGTTACTAGCAAATGTGGTTCTGTCAAAGTTATACTGATCGCTGCTCCTCATGGTACTGGTTGTATGTCTGCCCAAGTTCCTAAGAAGTGTTTGCCGATGGCTGGAGTGCAAGACTGTCAAACCTCTTGTGGCTCTACTGGCACCCTTGGAAACTTTGCCTTGCAAGGTAATGTTTTATTTTTTAAGTATGAATGACATTTATTTACATTTCAAAATTGTTATGATGAAAACTGATAATTTTAACATTTGTGGTATCTCCTGAGGTTTCAATGAAGTTCGTAAACGCGTCTGATCTTTCTATATTCTAGAAATGATTTAAAATTATTTTACTTGAGTTCTAATCTTACATCTTATCATTCCAGATTGCTGGCAAGTGTGGTTTTATCACAGTTAACTTGTTTTTTTGCTCCTCGGGGTACTGGTATTGTCTGCTCAAGTTCCTAAGAAGTGTTTACCGATGGCTGGAGTGCAGAACTGTTACTCCTCTGATCGTGGCTCTACTGGCACCCTTGGAATCTTCTCTTAAACTACATATGTTGCCAAGATCTACTTATCTTACCCCAGATTTATCGGGGGGGCGCTCGCTTAGTGTCATACTAATTGGGGACTCATCATTAGTATAAAAATTAAGTTTCTGCCCCATTGCTTCATTCGTTTACGAGTATTCGCCTGTTTCCAAAAATGAAAAAAGAGCTGCGTGGTAAAGAAATTACCAACGATGATGAAGTCAAGGAGGCAGTTTCGGCGTATTTTGAAGACAAAGAGAAAACATTTTTTATGAGGGTATAAACAAATTAATTGAAAGATCTGAAAAATGTATCCGTCTTGCAGGTGAATATATTGAAAAGGAAAAATAATTTGGTTTTTTTATTTCCACCCCTTATCCCCCATTCCGCGGACATAAAAACGCTCCCTCGTAGATCTAATAAATGTATTCAGTTTAATTGGGTGATTATATTGAAAAGGAAAAATAGATTTATTGTTTCATATTTAAAACCCTTTCATTCCACGAACTTTTGGGACCTCCCCTCGTAAGTCTCTATATTCTGAATTCAAGGCTAAATATAGTCTGTTTAACTGAAAAATAAATGCTTTGACCATCTTATACTTGTCTTTTAGTGATGCGCAAAATGTATCACTGAGCTGAAAAGATTGATACATATCATTTCGCTCTAAAGATATATATCGCTCACTAGCTCATTTAGCTCACTAACTCATTTAGCTCACCAACTCATTTAGCTTACTAGCTCATTGATCCGATTCAATTGATTGGTCTCTCAATTAATTCATTTCTTCATCTAAGCCTTTAAGCCACTTTAAGCCTCTCTCGCCATACAAACCTTTCTTTATTTTCATATTAACCTAAATTCAGTTTTTGAAACTACATTCTTAACCTTTTATTTTAGATTAAATTAATTCATTTTGATAAGATTACATAATTATTAACACCCTTTTATATAATATTTAAAAAAAGAAATTATTTCTTGTACTTTTTTTAGGTTGTATAATAGACATCGTACATAATTTGATTTTCCTTATACTTGGCAGGCTTAATTCTTAAGTAATATTAAACTTTGATCCTATAGAAATAATGTACATTTTGCATAAAGAAACTTGCGTGAACTCAACCATCACCTATCTCACTCATTTATCTTTAGTCTCACTCGCTCATGAAACAATGATCGGCGTCGTTGAGCTAGTGATCTAATGATCTAGTGAGCTAGTACTGAGTTACTGATATATTCGGAGCTAGTGTGAGTGAGTGATACATTTTATCGTCGTGAATGATATATATCTTTTATATCACTCATTCAGGAGCTACACAACTCTATTGTCTTTCATATACCTACTTATATTATTTGTCTTGTTATTTGCTATCGAGATAGTAGACAAGTATAGTATTTGAGTTGTAGAGTATTTTTGTGGCTCTGAAACGTTTTTGACTGATATTGCTATCATTATGCTATATCATATTGCTATATAATATAAACTTAAATGTTTATGCAGTTAGTAGTGCAGTAAAAATGCAAAGCTTTCTAACAACAAGGGGCTTCAAATTGATCTTTAAAACCCCGTCTGTAGGCCAAGGAAGAGCATTTTATATCCTCAAATAGAAATATAAAAGAATATAAGAGATTAACCATGACAGAAAGCTGTCTAAACTGTGAAAATAGTAAAGGAATCTGCTATATGACGCAAATTTTTAAGATCGTCGGAAGCCTCTTTATTCTATCAGTGTCATGACATGTAGTCGCCAATCTAAACGTACATCCACTAGAACTCCGAGATATTTTTTATTTTATTTTCTCCCAGTCTACCTGAAATGTGTGACTAGGTGCACTAGAGATTGAAAGAAAATTATTGAAAAGTTAGAAACACTAAGATAAATGCATACATACAAACGTCCCAAATACATATACATTAATACTTACCTAGTTACATACATACATAAACCTACATTTTGATATAAGGTTGTTATGAATCTACTAGGGTGTCCAGAATGCGAGCTCGAACTTTCATCTTGAATGAGAGGAGGATTGGATTAGGAACGAGGACTGGGCACACAACAATACTCTTCTGCTATGCCCCACTCGTACTTCCACTTGGAAGTATGAGTGGGGCATAGCAGAAGAGAATTGTTTGATGAACGGAGGGTTCTATTGTGGTTGGAACACAGATATTGGAATGAAAATCTCAGGTAGGAGGGGGAAATGGGCGAGTTGAGAATAGAATAGAGGGTGGTGAGGGCGCGCAGCTGACGGCGCTAACGAAGAGTGAGCCAGTTCAATTCGCGACGAAAGGAGGAAACATGGTATAATTGCAAAGGTTAAAGACGAACCAAATGAAGTTATTCAGAAGGCGGTCATATTTATTGAGTAGATCTGCATTCAGGTCATAATAGCATACATCACCATAATCCTAGATGGGGGCAATAATGGTCTGTACAAGCATCGCTTTTGTCTCGGAGGGGAGAAAAGTCTTAAGCCGATAAAGAGCCCGTAGCGTACCTGTGACTCTCTGGCTGACGCCCGTGACCTGGGTTTGCCAGATAAACTTGGAGTCGATAATTAGGCCTAGGTTCTTAACAGCAAAAGTAAATGGAATACCTAACTATGCCGTTAAAGGTAATGGGTGGTAGTTTACCTTGGTCTAACCTTCCAGTCATGCGTTGACTGCCTATGATGATAGATTGACTACTACTTTTTACCTCCATATACGACATACATGCGGACGGACCCGTGGGCAAAAGCGTTACTTCTAATTCTGACCAATTAAATCAAGAAAAGTCTGGAAACCTAAAACAATCCAAAGCCAACGCGGGACCTGTAGCAAACTCGAATGGGGGGGCCCATTTCAGTATATTACAATGTACTCTGTGGGCCCATTCGAGTTTGCTACAGATCCCGTGTTAGCTTAATCCGGCACTGGGTTTATAGGTACTTAGTTTTTTAGATTTAAGTATTTAGTACTGATTTAATTTGAATATAGGTAAGTACCTATATTTAAATTAAATCAGTTGGCCAGCAAATAAGTGTTTTATGTAGCGAATTAAACATAAGTATGTGTACTACATTAATCCCAATACAAATAATTAATTATATGTGCACTTTTTATAAAACAATAACGATATTATGAATCTGTTTTTATCATTTAGCATTTTTTTTGCGAAACAGTAGTAACTTGCTTTATTACTTATTGAGACTTCAATAGGTATGCGTGTTCACAATTTAAAGAGACAAACTATTTAATGAATAAAAAGAAACCAAGATGGTTTCTTAATATTTATCTATAAAATGAGATAACACTGACCTTCAGAAAATTCTATTAATATTTAAGTTAATAAAACAACAAATTTTACTGTCTATGTTAACATTTAATAATAATAAGTTCATGTGCAGCCCGAGTCTTATCTTGTACTATAAAAGGAAAAGATGGCATTCCATGGCATGCTGCTCCATAATCTCCGTCTTTGGATAACGCTATTACAGCCCCCATGTAGTTAGGAAAATGCAATGCTATTCTTTTAATCGCTGTTTTCGCTGCATCGGTTGGTGAAGCACCTCTCCGCATTTCTTCGACGGCTAAAAAACTGGCAATATATGAATTTCATTAATAAAAAGGAGCTGTAGAATTAATCAATTTCAGTTTTACAATAAGGCCCCTGTGCCTCAAAGAGAGTTTACTAACAAGTTAATGGTTATGTTTTAACTCATTTTAAGAAGAATGAAATAAATAAAAATCAAACCATGATGATATTTAGTTATACTGATGACTGTGAATCAAATCAATAATTACATTTGTATATACAACACACATTTGAAGCATTATGTGTGGAGATTAAGTCGGAGTAGAATTATTATGTATACAATGGCCTCAGACATTCTGCTTGGAAGATGATTTAATAATAATAATATTTTTTTCAGATATTAGTCCATAAATGTTTTAGTAACAATCATCTTACAACTTTGTTATGTCTACATTACAACAAAAATAAATTAGAAAATAAATCGTGGGGATGCGCTAGCATGCAGACGCATCCACCTTTACTAGGACTGGAAGGTCCCACCTCTCGGACAATACCCTCACTCTACTTAATTCTGGTCGTATTAGAGGTGTAAACAAGAACGGTGTCAATAAGACATATTTTTCCCAGAAAAATACTTCGGGGTTTTCGTTGTGTAAGGGGGCGTCCATTAATTACGTAATGGGGTTTCGGCGACTTACTGAGCTCCCCTCCCCCCTAGTGAGATGCCGTGAGATTTGATTCAACCCCCTCCCCCCAATGCACGGATAGCGTAGTGGTTTAAACGGTCGCCTCGCCGCTTCCTACTACGCCGAGTGTTGTGGGTTCAAACACCACATGGGACGACACTTTGTGTGATCCACAAATTGTTGTTCTGAGTCTGGGTCAGTAATGTCATATCTACCAACTTTTTGGTAGATCTAGCAATTTTCACTTCAGTCTACCTATCTACCACCCTAGACCTAAAAACTACCTATTTTTTTAATTAGTTTGACATATCACCACTTTGAATTAGTTTTATATCGTTATGATTGTTGTTTGTTCTGTGTTGCGTGCATTTATTTATATAATGGATTCTGACAGCAGCGAAAACGATGCACAGAGTTCTAGGTTAGGAACTCCGCCACGAAAAGCTAGAAAAAGGCACTTTGACCAAAAATATTCGAAATTATGGGAGAAAGACAAGGCAAATTCCTTGTTGGCTTCAAGAAAGTACCAAGGGTGAATGATATTTTTATTATAAATCATGTAGGTGTGATCTTAAGTGTGCTGGTGGAAGATTTATCCTAAATAAACATGCAAATAGTTTAAAGCATGTAGCATGTGTGAAAGGTGAACATCTATTCCATGGTTTTATGCTCAGTTTAGTTGATTAATATTGATAATTAATTTTACAAACGAAATTACTAAATCAATTAATTTATCATTGATTGCCTATGATTATGCATGTATATATTTTAAATCCTAATTTTTCGCAATTTCGTTTTATCTATTTTTTAAATATATAAAACACCAATCTTTTAAAAAGTTAACTACTTGTTTTCAGGTATAGCAAGTCAACTATCAATCACCCAGTTTGGGCAAACTCAGTCAAAAAAGTCATTTGAGGATAAAATCAAATGTGGAGAAATAAGAATGGCTTGTTTTTTAGGAGCCGCTGTAGCCTAGTGCAGAAATTTAAAAAAATTCAATAAAAATATGTATAATTGCCAAAAATAAACATTTTAAGAACAGTTTATGCATTTTTAATCTTAAAAAATCTCCTAAATTGAGGTGGTAGATCTACCAATTTTGCATTTTACATTCTACCAGCTTCAACTAACATTTGGCACATAATCTACTAATTTTTTAAAATTCGGGTTGGCAACACTGGTCTGGGTGTTCTTTGTGTACGTTTCATGTATGTTTTAAAGTCCTCCGCGACACAGGATAAATTCCTAATGCGGGAGTTGTCTTTTAAAAAAAAATATCTCACGTGAGATGTCTTAAAATGTGTTTTTGTGTAAAGGCGGATTGTTTCTAAAAACAAAAAAATATGCATAGTATTTGTATTTAAGACTAGTATTTAAGATTGCTTCGAAAGTAGGCTAGTAAATATTATTGTATAAGATTTGGCCATATCTCCGTGGAGGTACATATTTCATGTAATTTAACCCAGTTTTCTCGCAATTTTTCTCTGTTATCTTGCCCGAGACCCCCAAAGTAAGAATAGGTGACTTTTAGCTAGACCCCCTTCCCCTTTTTTTTTTTTTTTCCGTGCGGAAATCCCCTCGGATACCACCTGACGGTGGCATGTCGGACTCGAACCGACTAAAACCACACGCCGTCTCGGGTACTAATAGCCGGGGAACCAGGTATACCCTTGAAAGGAAGTCCCTGGTGCCAGACCCCCTTCCCCCTGAACGTCTCACGTATTTACATATTATATTACCTCGGTGAGAATCTGAGCATGACATCGCCGTCTCCCGTAGCCGCGGCACCTCCGACATGATTATCCGCGTATGCTCCTGCCCCTGGTATTGGCGAATCACCGATTCTCCTACAAATAAACATTTTTTTTTTGCGATATTATTTAACACATGGGTACCCTAACACGCGTTCCATTGAAAATTTTATTCCTAAGAGAACAAAATATGGGCCCGAAAATAGGGTTCAATGTTATTAGGCTAGAATTATCTTTGCATTATTTGAATTCTAAAATTACAATAATAATTATAATAACTTTACACATCTCTCCTGGTCCCAAACTAGGCAAAACCTATGGATGTCCTAATAACAGCAATCCCCGGATCTCTCCTATTACAGGGGAAGAATGGCACACCGTGTGGTTTTAGTCGGTCAAATTCCAACACACCACCCCGTCGCAAACCCCGGTGGGGTGACGGCCCGAGGGGGTTTCCACACGTCAATAAATAACAATAATAATGGTACGCAGACTGCCGATAAAGATACTTTTATTTAAATACATATATATTTTAGATAAATGACAGAGAACAAATGATCGTGCTCATCACACAATTATTTGTCCTGAGTGGGAATCGAACTAACTTGATCAACAGATGAAATCAAATAAAATTTATTTTGTCCATGTAGTCTGGTATCTCAAAGCTTAAAGTTCCTTATTCGCTTACAGTCAGAGTCAATGTTGAAGATGATGCCTCATGCTGAACAGTCACACGCTAGTAGCATTGCCATTGACCATGATTAGCCTTACCTAACCTAACTAACCTAACCCATTTGGGTTACCTTTTAATAGTCATAAGAGCCCTCAGTCACCTATTTTAGACAATATATTAATAAGAGCTGAAAAATGTATCTTACCCAGGTATTTTATGTTTAGCTCCGTTGCTAGAAGTACCAGCTGCTACGTCACCATTTTGATCGACAGCAACCATTCCAATTGTATCATGATTATATTGGTCTATGATCCGCACATCAGGAATATCAGTTTTAAAGAATCTCTTAGCTTCATGATAAGGACCGCATTGTTTTGTTGGATCAGGTTTGACAGCCTAAGATAAGAGAGTCATATGATAATAACACTTTTATCTAGTGAATACTCAAGGACATTATAACATACTGATCTTTCAAGAGCTTGCTGAAGAACATTATAAACCACTGATAGTACTGATAATAAAATTTTCTATATGTATATATATTGTATGTTTATACAAATTTATTACCAAAATGGCACAAATAGTGTTCTCAAAACTCAAACAGTACTAGAATGGAACAAGACGCGTTACAAGCATTAATCATCATCAACAGCCTATACTAGTCCACAGCTGGACATAGGCCTCTCCTTAGAAAGGAGGTTTTGGCCTACTATACAAGCGTTAATAATAATTACTTTTTATTGTTTCCACCTAAATCTCAAATCAAATCAAATCAAATCTTTATTTGCCAACCAAGTGTACATCAATGATCTTATAATATTATATGTAGTAGTCCCAACTTAGAAGCCTTTTCCAGGCATTGCAAAATCTTAGTTAAATCTCATTTCATTTCATTCACATTGCATCTCCTCTTAGTTAAAACCTTAATTATTTCCTCCAAGCCTTTTTCCCAAACTAGGTTGGGGTCGGCTTTAAGTCTACTACAGTACGGCTGAACTTCGATTTTTTACGTTGACAGACTGCCGTCAGACCTCCACAAACCAAGTACTAGGCGATATCGAAGTTCTGTAGAAATATTGCTGTCGGGCTCCTGCTACCCGTAATGATTGCTACCGATGTGCGTATGGCAACCGGAAACGACGGATTAACGTGCTTTGCGAGGCACGGAGGGGTCTCAATGTGTTAAGAATGATCACCCATCCCTAGACTGACCTAGCTAGAATTGCTTAATTTTGCAATGTGTTAACCTTATCGGTTACCACTTAGCGACAAGCCCCTCGAGGTGAAAACCACGAGATTAAACCTAACTACTACTATGAAAAAGTCTAATAATTTTTTTTCATAAAATTCTTTCAAATTGTCTCTTCGTAGACTTTTAAAGTGGTAGATCATTGATGTTTAATACAACAAGTGGATGACTTATTGATCTGTGGGATTAATCAGATTTGGGAACTATTTTGCCTTACCATCCAAAAATTTGGTTGGCAATTGTCTTGATTATGCCATTTTGTGTATTGTTCCTGAGATTCTTGTGTGGAAAGTGACTCTTCTTGAAAACCCATTTGGACAGCAAACTGAGTAGCAAGCTCTCCAACTAAGAATGAGTGTGTTGTATGTTCTAATACATGCCTTGCTACAGATATTGCACTTTTTATTCTACGAAGAGCACCTACGGCTCCAACATTCATAGTTTTTCTATAAAACAAAATTGAATAATTTCTCTCAATTTAAAGAAACTAAACCAAATAAATATTTACATAATGAACATGAATTGAAAACAGATTCAATAAGTTGCGTGTGGTGCTAATGGTAGGCCAAAACCTCCTTTCTAAGGAGAGGCCTATGTCCAGCAGTAGACTATTAGAGGCTGTTCATGATGATGAGTGATGTTAATTTTGTCCAAACTACTTCATCAGACTTTGGGTACAATGGCATTAATGTTATGTTTATAGTAACTCACACTTTTTTGTTCTTCATTCTTCATCAACAGCCAATAATAGTCCACAAACTTTTTAATTTTTTTTGTTTTGTTTATACTTTCTTGTTACATAAATATAATGCCAGTTTTGTGGTTTTGTATGCTACAGAGATCTGATGAAATAATATCCTGAATTTAAAACAATAAACCAAATAAATAATATGTACAACAATTACCCGTCCATAATGAGAGCATCTAATGTGGTTTCACTATTTTCATCAGGGCTACCGCCATAGCCTACTGTCCCGTCACATTGCTGTATCTCACACACTGAAGCACCTTGTTCAATTGCGTCTAATGCTATACCTCCGTCATTTAAAATACTCCAAGCTAAAATTAAATTCAAAAATATTTATTGACTATAAATACTTATTTTAAGTATGAAAGTTTACATTTTTATTTGAAATATTACAATGTTATAAAACTATTACCTATAGACTAACACTATAAATAAAAACATGTTATAAAATAGTTACCTTTTATTGAAGCATTATGAAATTGCCATGTAGTTATTACTATAGGACGATTTGATTCACTATTTACGAACAGATTTGTCAAATAATATATCCAAAATAATTTAAATACTAATTCCATTTTCAATTAAAATTTCAATCTGTAAGCGAATAGCACACAGATCAATTTGTATAAGAATCAGCTGGCATGGCAATGAGTGAGAGACATTTGTTTGTTATCAATCTCAGCTCAACAAAGTTAATTAATAACCTTTTTTAAGTCAATGACCCCTTGAGTACCTATACTATAGCTGGTTGTTTTTTAATTCTTATTCATAAAGAATAAACAAACTGACACATGCTATTGTCAAGTTTATTGATAAACCAATGCAATCAATTTTTATGAATGGCAAGTCATGTTCAAATACTAAGGCCCCGTCCGTACAGCGCTACTTCTACTAAAATTCTGTAACACAGGAGATCTATATAGAACTATCCGCTCTGGCCGTAAAAAAAAGTCTGTGATATGATACAAAATGAACGCGAGAATTTTGAAATAAATGCGCGTTAAAATATCGCCGGACGGTCGGACGGGGCCTAAGATTTTTTGTCATGAAAAATAAATTAAAAAAACCACCAGCAAAAAATATTTATGATTGTAAAAAAACTTGTCTTGTTTCTTACTATATTTTTGTAATTTGTAATAGTTTTACATATATTCATTGAGTAATAATATGTTTTTAAACTCATATTCCTGTTATTGCTTTAATCTTTTTATCGTAATTTTTTTAATAATATCAATTTATAAAATATCGAGTTAAAATACAAATAGATGTAATGCACATATATTATGTATCCATGCATTAAGAGCTTTAAGAAATATTGATTTGATACAAATTCGATGCCTCGAAATAAAAGTCGAAAATCCATAATTAAATAAATTTATTGATTATTTTCAAAGAAAAAGTTGATATTATTTATCGAGCCTGTGCAGTGTGATAAGTTTCTCGAGCGTAGCTGACATTTAGGTTGAAACAGAATTTTTAAATTCCACTAATCCCTTTACCTGAGTATAATAGTGGAAGAGAGGTTACATTATTAATTAAAAATTATAAAATCTCTGTGGAAGGTGAAGAAAATACTGTATTCAAAAGGTGATTAATTTATTTGGGAAATTTTTACCAAGTGGTAGGAAAAGATGACCATTCTGTATTGTTACTTCCTCTAAGCTATGCTATTTTGAACTCGTCTGTCTTGTCTTCTAACTGGCACCGTTGTGTTTGATACTCTTTGTTGTTTAGTTTGCATGAAGTAATATATAGTTGTCATTAATGTCATTGTTGTTTTTCCGGTCTTCTTTTCCTTGGACAAAGGCACTGGAAGCGAAATAATTATTAATAATTTAATACTTTTAATTTAATTTCAGACATACAGTAACCATGACTTTAGATGCTTTTTGTCGTGAATTACCTAAAGTCGTAAGTATTCTTAGTATGTTTGTAAAACAAATAAAACATGCTTAATAACACCATCATCAACAGCCTTTAATAGTCCACTGCTGGACATAAGCCTCTCCTTAGAAAGGAAAGCCTCCTTTCTAAGGAGAGACTTATGTAATAACATGAATTTCAGTAAATTCTTAGAATTATTTTAAGTAATTTTTTTAATCACAAAAATACGGTTTTAGGAACTACATGCGCATCTTAATGGATCTTTAAGCCGTGATACGATGTTAGAACTGAAAAGATTTCACGTCGATATTGGTGTACCAGATAAGACGAATGCTTTTTTTGATGAATTTCAAATCGGCTCTGGAGACATGAGAAAATTGGCTGAGTAAATTTTTATTTTTAATGTTAATTAATCTTAAATAAAAAATGTTCAAAATTCATATTTAGGTGAGGTTCGTCTAGTCATTACAAATAAATAAAATTGAAGTCTGTTTGTAATGTCAAAATAATAGGTGTTTTTTTTGTCAGTTTGTCAGGTAATCTTCTAAACGGCTGGACCGATTTTGATAATGTTTTACAGGTAGCTGTCTATATAAGGAGTAACTTAGGCTTTTATCAGAAACAGAGCAGTGCTTTTTAAATTCCATGTGAACGAAGTTGTGGGTACCAGCTAGTTTAAGATACTGATGTTTAATAGTATTCAGAAGGAAAATCTGCAATTATATTTATTTCATTAAAGCAGCCATAACAGATTGCGTCACTGTGATATTTAATTAACCTGCTTCCTCAACTCAATGATTAGTATTTCAGCCTTATATATTAAGCTTTTAAATACATATTATATACAAAACAAAAGACAATAACAAACTGAATTTTTTGGTTTCTTGTTATGTTTCATGCTGTAAAAACTGACCTGATCATGAAGAACTTATCATTAAGAGATCATTAGAAAAAAATGCTTTATATTACAACAACATTCTACTACAATACATTGAAATTAATTTAATTTCAGCTGTTTTCAAGTGTTTAGCATTGCTCATACACTGACCAATACTCCACAAGCCCTTGAGATGGCTACTAATTTAACCCTACAGGAGTTTCAAGATGATGGTTGCTGCTACCTTGAGCTTAGAACTACACCACGTGATACACCACACATGACCAAAGCTTCATATATTGAAACTGTCATTCAAACTATTCAGTAAGTAAGCTTAGTAAGTTTCTTACACATGAACAGTCTCGGGTCTGCATATACAAAGACAGATAAATTGTCCGATACACTGTTATGTCAAGAATATTTGTACTGCTGTTCTTGTCAATTTTAACATTTACTTTCGAATTTTCAACCCACTACCTAAAGTGTTTCCTTACTGATTACTTACAACATTGAGCTTCTGTCCATGCCATAGACAACATTTTGAAAAATTGATAGTCATTTTAAAGGTATTTCCTTAACTCAGGAGTGCTGATGCTTTATACTGCCAACGTTGCATGTTGCAAAGTTGAATAAACTACAGGATTTGGACTCTGTTGACCAAAAACCCCTTTAGAGCTTGTTCCTACTTGTCGGCTGTCGGTTTCGGATTTTAATCGGGTGTCGTCGCCTCTGTTCACACTAGTCGGTGGTCGGCCACGGTCGAAGCTGGTGCACCCTACGTGGGCCGACCGTGCACGATGGACGTCTATGAAGTTCTTCTTGTGATGTATTATCATTTGAGAAGAAAACTAATAAGACAGCTATAGACAGAAAATTTTTAGGTGCTCCCAATTCTGAGGGAAAGATTTAGTTTGGGATTTAGAGACAGCATTTGTTTTCGGCATCCGACAAATACGAACTACTACGAACTCATAGGCGAACGAGGTCCGACACGATTTTTTTCCGGACGTAGAGGGCTGGCAAAATACCCTACATTACTTGTCGGCGCCGACACAAAATCGGTTTACTCGTAGTACTAGTGTAAATAGTTGCATATAAAATGAACTGCCACTTGAGCAGTCGTTTTTCTGTCGTGCCCGAAACCCGACAAGTGGAATAGCTCTTAGTGACTGTGCAAAATTCACTTTGAATTAATTGAAACATAGGTAGCACTACACAACAGATAGCAGTGTCTTGGGAAGTTAAAGACAATAGAGAATAACTTTCTCTTGAATAAGTGTATTTTTTATGTTGTCCATTGTCATTATTTTTTACATGAAAAAATATTTTTATCTAGTCTTAATTTTCTCCAGCACTAGAAATAATTGCTGGTAGCAGGGGCTTTACAAATAACAGATTCAAAGAGCGCCCAGACTCAGGATATCTATTAGTAAATGTCACAAATTTTTGTCCTGGGATATCTGAACCTCCGTGACCGTGACGTGACCGTACTAGCCGCCTGTAGTGCCGAGGTAACCGCGTAAACTATTGTGCCATCCGTGCAGTCCTATGAGACTCGGCATGAATATTTGGTTCATATTTACAGGAAATCTTCCCTCCATTTAACCATGATCGCACGCCTTATTGTGTCAATAAATAGAAGTACACCAGACAAAGAGGTTGAAGAGATAACTGATTTAGCCATAAATTGTTACAAGAACTATCCGGATGTTGTAGTTGGCATCGAAGTTAGTGGCGACCCTACTATAGGGTGTTTTCAGAGTTACATACCCGCTTTACAGAAGGCGAGAGCAGCAGGATTGAAAGTGAGTTCAAAACAGGTTGAAACATGTTCAACACCTATAAAACATAATGTGGTAAAACTATTTTTTTTTGTTTCACAATTCGTGGTGTAATATATTCAGGAAAACAGTTGATAAGTGAAAAAAACCGGACAAGTGCGAGTCGAACTCGCCTACCTAGGGTTCCGTACAAATTTGTAATCGAAAACTATTCATCAAGAAAATAATTAACAAATTGAGAAGTGCATAGTGTAACGATCGCTTTAGTCTTAACTGTAAAATGTTCTACGCACACAAGCATAATATTGCAATAAATATTTTCTTTTATTTCGTTTCACACAATAGCACAATTTTATTTATTTACCTTATTTGAGGTTGGTGCCAATTAATCTAGTCCTCTAAATTGTATGAGCGCCCATACAACTCAGAGGACTTTCTTAATTGCCGTCAACTATGTATGTATGGGGACACCCTTTAATTTTCAAATTTCTTTTTTATTTTTTCGATTTTTCCTTTATTTGTGCTGACCTTGCTTTTTTCAGTTTTAATTGTTTAAAGTTTGTTTTAATCATATTTTTTAGGTCTCACTGCACTGTGGAGAAGTTTGTAATCCTCAGGAAGTACTAGATATGCTGAACTTTAAACCTGACAGAATTGGACATGGGACATGTATTCATCCAAGATTTGGTGGAACAGATGAGACCTGGACAAAGTTATGTGAATTAAAAATACCAGTTGGTCAGTATAGTTTCAGTTCCTTAGTATTTTTTTATAATCTGTATTCTAGTTTTTCTACTTAGTGGTGTTCTTCTCTTTCAGTCGCATTTCTAACATCCTTTTTAAACACCCATAAATCACTTAAACTATGTTTTTTTCAGAGGTATGTCTGACCAGTAATGTTAATACCAAATCTACACCTGACTATGAATCTCATCACTTCAAGTATCTCACTGAATCAGAAATACCAGTTATAATATGTGTAAGTTTTATGTACTTGGTCTATTTTTTTATTTCATAAACAATAAATGATTAATTTAAAATACAGGAGTATTGTTATGTAGATAGTTTCAGTTGGTTCATGTTTCGTCTACTTTTTTACAAATTAAGTAATATGGAAAGGAGTAAAATGATCAATTACCCAGGCTTGGGTCCCCCACACTTCAAGGTTTACCTCCACTAAACACAACTTACTAATACAGCGTGTTGCTGCGCGCCAGACGGCTTGTAACGTTAAGTCGATACTCACACCGCGCCTTGCAGGCTAACCGCATCATATTCGCCTGCTTATTATAGATACATAATTGGTTATTAAATATTCAGATTTATTATTCCATAAAAAAAAACATATCAGAAAAGAAAACCGTTACCCCGTGGAAAGGGAGACAAATAGCGCAATACCGTTTATCGTATCACCTCGCATTGATAGCGCATTGGAGTCCTTGATTTAGAAATATCGAGTCCAGTTTTACGGTAACTTAGAGGGTAAGGCCAAATCAGCCTCGAAAGAACTTATATATATAAGTTCCTATAAGGATATATATGTATAATAAATATATATTTAGGTATAAAATATATAAAACTGACGGCGCCCCGCGGTTTGTCAAATTTTAATTCCTTGCTCACCTCACGGAACACTACATTTTTCATGATAAAATTAAAAAAAATGTTTTAATTCATTATGTCAGCTACCTCCATACCAAATTTTAGCAAAATTGCCGTTTGAGCGTAAATAAGTAGAAACAAACGAACACTCCCAAACTTTCGCGTTTATAATATTAGTGGGATAATACTGGGCTCAGGCCGGCTACCTTAAAAAAAATATATATTTTTTTAAAGACAATTGACCATTGTATTCGGCTCAACTTCATAATGTGTTTTTTTCAGACTGATGATAAAGGCGTTTTCTCTACATCTTTGTCGCAAGAATACAGAATATGCGCAGAAACTTTCAATTTAAGTACATCAAAGTTGGCTAGACTTGCTTTAAATGCTTGCCAATATATATTTGCTGACGACATTCGTAAAACGTTAAATGATAAACTACTCAATTTCATCAATAAAAACTCTTTGTAAAAACAATTATGATATGATGTGATAATAAACGTAGCACAGGGTATTGAACGTAAAATGTTTTTTATTTAATTGTCTTGAAGTCATTTATATCCTCGGACTACACATTATTAGAAACCACGGCTATTGCAGCTGGTCTATGTTATACACTATAGGAAGAGACCTAGAAAAGATGACAATATTAAAACGAAATAGATTTCTAACAAGAAAGTAAACGTCATGATAGCAAAGCGACTTTCCCATATCGCACAAAGATCTGTTTTCAGATGTTGGATTTAAATAGGCCCATTTTAAAAAACTCAAGCACGTCTACAAAATATTACAGAAAGGTTTAATCATATTTTCGGCGTATTGTGTAGACGAAAATTAGTCGATTGAAAATGTTTTGCCCAGTGTTCACTACATTCTTAACAATAGATAGGTACCTATACCTATTATCAACTTTTATCGCGCTGACACGTACGTGTGGTGACGGATTAAGAATACGGAGTTTCTCCACCCCTATTCATCCTACGGGTGTCGTAAGAGCCGACTAAGGGAATAAACTACGCAGGACAACAGCACTGCAAAGAGAAGGAAAACTTGAAACAAACCCTATACTAACCCGTCTGGTCAGCGTGGTATAGTAGGCTCCCTCCGTTCTCCTTTCCTAGATTTCTTTCTGAGAACAGGCCTATGTCCAACAGTGGACTACTAAAGCTCTTGATGATGATGATTATCAACTTTTATGCCATTAGCCATGGTTTCAGTCATGACATTCCCCTCTTACGAAATATCTTTAAATAGGATAAAATAAAGTCGCTTTTTTATGTTGTAGTCTTAGATCTTTTAAACTAAGCAACGGATGTTAATGCGATTTCCACCAATAGAGAAAGTGATTCAAGAGAAAGGTTTATATGTATAATACATGCATATTATAGTAGAGAAAATCCGAGAATTTTTAGAGATTTATCGCAAAAAACATGTTTTTGTGGGTATGCGCCACATTGCAAAACCTTACAAGATATATCAAAATACAAGATCTACAAAAAAGTCCGCGATGGTTTATGTCTATATCCTAAAAATAACCATTTTTATCTTTTAAATATTACAAAAAATTATGTGTTATTTACGAAGATATTTTAAACAATACATTATTATTCTTTATCCAATTAAATACGTTAGAAACGTTGTGCATTTAATGTAGATTAAAATTACTCTTAACTTACGGTCAGTCGAAGGGCGAAGAGCTTCCCCCTTCAGACCGCGCCTGACCGTAAATTCAATTTCAAACCAATTCGTAAAGATATAAAGTTTGTAAACAATACAGACACAAAACGTATAGTGGTTTTGGGATGTTATTGTTTATTGCAGTCCTTTGAGATTGTACACAAATTAATTAACTTTATGAACTTACTGCGGAGGTACAATAGAGAAGTGCAAATAATACTTTACATTAGTTGCTTACCATCAGGTGACCCGTCTGCTTGTTGGCCCCCTTATAAGATAAAAAGAACACAAGCTTAATGTCAAACAATCTATTATAACAACAATAGTCGGCCGCGGTCCAAAGAAATAGAAAACAGATAAACAAAAAAATAAAAGGTAAAATTATAATTCCTATTAAAATTATTATTATTGTTGTTTAGCATCACTGTGCTCTATAGTCCGGTCAATTTAGACATTCGAAGTTACATAAAGTCCCAACTAGCTGAATTTCTGCGAAGTTGTTCAAAACATAATAATAAACAATGTCTAGAAGTTCCCCATCATTCTCCTGTAAGGAAAAAATTTAATTCAAGGTCAAAGGTCAAAAAAATGAGTTTTTCGCTATTTTCAGCAAAACTGTAAGTTTTATCATAAAGTACCTCAGACAAAAATTGTAGATCATAAAATTATCTATAAAAAATGTATCAATACTTTTTTTCTTACGAGCCACCGTTTCTGAGATATAACGATTCAAAAAGTTATAAAAGTTGTTATCGTCATAATATGCACACGTTTCCACGCCACCTATGAGGTAGTGTACTTAGCGCGTTTTTTTTAACGTGGTTTCCCCAGTAGACCTACTCCACAGGTCAGTTGTGATTTTGTTTAATGTAAAACTATTGCAAAATAACGGAAATTTTCAAAGATTGGGAAAGATAAAAGCGATGTAAATGAAAAAAAAGTGTTGAAGTTTATTCGTCTTATTCGTAAGTTTCAAATTCTTGTTCTTCTTCTTCATCTTCATTTTAACATCACATTGAATTAAATCTTGTTTTTCAAACATTTTGAAAACTGCTGTTTTACCCCTCCTGTAAAATGCAGATGTCGTATCACAGCCAGTTATTGCGTGTAAAAATAGTACATGATCTTTACACTTTACTAAAGTAAATAAACTTTTTGATGAATATATATCTGAAAAAAATAGTTTTTTCAGTTGGCGTCCCATAAAAGACACTATTATTGTTGTTGGTGAAGATGTTGACTTACTTGTATTACTCACTGCTCGAACGCTATTTTTTTCTTAAAACCAGGAAAAGCTCAGCATCAATCAGATATATATTCATCAAAAAGTTTATTTATATAGCCGGTCTACTCTCGAAAGCTGACTCCCTCTCTGTTTGTCTTAATGAACTTTTGGAAACGAACAAATCTGTTGACGTGATATGCATTACTGAACATTTCATGATGTCGGGCTATGAAGGCCACCTTGATATACCAAATTATTACCTAGCTGCATGTTACAGTAGGTCAAATAAAAAAACAGGGCTTTCCTGTAAAATGCTAACAGAGGTTGCCAAACATTCACAAATGGGTACTTTTGAATGCTGTGCCGTAGAACTATTGGAACATAAAATAGCCATTATATGTATCTATAGAACACCTAAAACAGGAAACATCAATGTATTTTTTCAAAAATTAGAGCAATTATTGTTTGTAATAAGTAAAAAGAACTATGCGAATATTGTAATAGCCGGAGATTTTAATATTGATATTTTGAAAAAAAATAACATGACAGTGGAATTCAAATGCCTCCTGACACACTTTAATCTAAAATTAGCATTAGATCAACCGACACGGATAACAAGCCAAACTTGCATTGACAATCTTGCACATAATTTTCAAAGGCCATGCAAGGCTGAAATCATAGAGTTCGCATTGTCTGATCACACAGCCCAGTTATTAAAATGTCCTGTCAAAAGTCAATGTATACTTAAATATTGGCGTAGGAGACAACGCGACTTTTCAAAAGAGAATGTTTTAAAATTTATAGAATGTTTACAAAGTTTATCTTTTCAGGATATTTATAAGGTAGATGATGCGAACAAAGCCTACGATTTATTTATAGATCAATTCACATTATTTTATGATTTGTGCTTTCCCGTTCGTTTGATTACCATAAAGGTTAACAAGACACCAAAATGGATATCACATGGTATTAAAATATGCAGTAAAAAGAAACGGAATCTTTTATGGACATACCGATACAAACGTACACCAAATAATTACATGAATTATCAGAAATATAATAAATTGTTTAAAAAAATTATAGCGTTAACAAAAAAAGCTCAAAACTGTTATAAAATAAAAACTTCCGACAACAAAACCAAAGCTACATGGCAAATAATTAATAACAATAAATACAATGTACCTCGATGTGACATAAAGAAGATAAAACTAGACAATAATCCTATTACAGATCCTTTAATGTTAGCAAACACTTTTAATAATTACTTTATAGATAAAGTTGTACCTGTACAAAATTACGGAAAAAAAGTCGCATCTCTCATAGAAAATAGAAAAGACTCTATGTTTTTGTACCCAAGTACACCTATGGATATATTACATATAATTAAATCACTTAAAAACACGAAAAGTGTAGCTCATGACGAGATAGCGACAGTTATTATTAAATCCGTGGGTTTTTTGATATGTCATCATCTTAGTTACATTTTAAATTTGTGTATTGATGATGGTGTTTTCCCTGAACGTCTAAAAATAACTATTATTAAACCACTGCACAAAAAAGGTAGTGAGGACCAAATTAGTAACTACAGGCCTATTGCGTTAATATCTATTATATCTAAAATCTTCGAAAAATATATTTATAATCAAATATACAAATATTTTGAAACAAAATCTTTATTCTGCCATCAGCAAAAAGGCTTCAGAAAAAACATGAGCATTAATAAGGCTATTTATGATTTTTTATTAAACATAATGACTAATATGGACAAACGGACACCTGTATGTGCTATATACTGCGACATGACGCAGGCGTTCGATTATGTAGACTATAAAATATTATAAAATAAACTAGAGTGCTACGGTGTAAGGGGAAACATATTAAATCTTTTGAATTCTTTCTTATCAGACAGGAGACAAGTAACTGTGATCTCTAGATTGGACAATAGGACTAAAACAGAGGTGTTACATACATCCTCTGAACGTAAAATAAAATTTGGAATACCCCAAGGAAGTGTAATCGGACCTCTCTTATTCATTATTTATATAAATGATTTACCTTGTTCTACTGAGCATGCAATGACTCTATTTGCTGATGATAGTACATTAACAGTGACATGCAAAAATCCTAATTTATATGAAAACGACATCAATAATACCTTGACATCAATGATTACATGGTTAAATAACAATAACTTAAAAATTAATTTAAATAAAACGAATGTAATGTATTTTAGCAAGCGCATAGATACCCCGTCAGAAATGAATATAAACTATGATAATGTTGCAATAAGAGAAGTATTTAACACGAGGTTTCTTGGTTTGATCATAGATAAAAAATTAAATTGGAAGGAACATATAAATACTGTCAGTGATAGATTAAGCAGATCTTCTTATGCTCTGTATAAACTTGCGCCCACGGTAAATGTTGATACCTTACTTACTGCATATCACGGATTAGTGGCCTCGGTATTAAGATATGGAATAATTTTTTGGGGCAATTCAACCAATAAATCTTCAATATTTAAGCTTCAAAAACGATGTATCCGCTCTATGTTTGGACTAAAAATTACAGATAGTTGTCAACCATACTTCCGTAATCATGGCATTTTAACCCTTCCATCATTATATATTTTAGAAATGTGTCTCTTTGTGAAAAATAATCCTACATCTTTCCCAAGATTATCGGATACAGTTCAGCGCAACAGACGAGACAATCAACGACTACGTATAACTGCTCATTTGGCTAGTAGTGTAATCTGTATGGCACCCAAAATATTTAATAAATTACCAAAAGAGTTTAAGTCATTGAATCATAATTTGTTTAGAAGCAGAGTTAAGGAAATGTTGGTTAAGAAATGCTATTATAATATTCACGACTACTTAAACGATAACTCTTAATTAATTATATTATTATTTTTACAAGGTTTTCTCTTTAGCTGTAACTATTTATCTTGACATACATATTATAGTTTTTTTATTTTTTTTTTTTCATTATGACATTTAATTCTGACACTCTATTTTATTTTTGACATTTTTGACATTCCTAGCCCATATAATTATATTATTGTATTGATGATTATTGTGTTATATTTTATTAAACTAATGTAATTACTATCTCAATCAATTCATATTTGTACGCCTTCCATGGCAAAACATGTTGATACACACAAACTAACCAATTGAACTGTTTAGGATTCATTTCCTGTAAACTACACATGTTTGAAGCAAATAAATATATTATTGGTATTATTATTGTTATTGTTAAAAAGATTTAATTCAATGTGATGTCAAAATGAAGATGAAGAAGAAGAACAAGAATTTGAAACTTACGAATAAGACGAATAAACTTCAACACTTTTTTTTCATTTACATCGCTTTTATCTTTCCCAATCTTTGAAAATTGCCGTTATTTTGCAATAGTTTTACATTGAACAGGATCACAACTGACCTGTGGAGTAGGCCTACTGGGGAAACCACGTTAAAAAAAACGCGCTAAGTACACTACCTCATAGGTGGCGTGGAAACGTGTGCATATTATGACGATAACAACTTTTATAACTTTTTGAATCGTTATATCTCAGAAACGGTGGCTCGTAAGAAAAAAAGTATTGATACATTTTTTATAGATAATTTTATGATCTATAATTTTTGTCTGAGGTACTTTATGATAAAACTTACAGTTTTGCTGAAAATAGCGAAAAACTCATTTTTTTTACCTTTGACCTTGAATTAAATTTTTTCCTTACAGGGGAATGATGGGGAACTTCTAGACATTGTTTATAATTATGTTTTGAACAACTTCACAGAAATTCAGCTTGTTGGGACTTTATGTAACTTCACTCTCATTTTTTGGTCTAAATTGACCGGACTACTAGTGCTTGCAAAGTTAGACAAGATTTCAGCGCTATTTTGATCCTTGACACCTAATGTTTTCAAGGGCAAAAATTCAGCGTCCCGTTGATCCTAATAGTTTCTAAGCTCAGCGTACCATAGTACTTCCAAGAACCCTATAGCTAACCTACCCCCTGGGTCATTTTACGCCACTTCCAATTTATTTAAAACGCGTACAAACGACTAGAATTCAAAATAAGTTGTTTCTCTGCAAACATTAATGTACTTCAGTCATATGTCATAACATATACCTTTAAAGACTTGTAAATATTTTTGAACGTACCAGGTCTGCGCAATAATCAAAATATGACTAGGTTTTAAATACGCCTTATCGCTACACTACTGTCTACTTCTATTGACGTCTTCCGTCAAATTGAGTGAAGATCTACGAACGTTTGTGATATAACCTTACACAAATTTATTAGAAATTGTAGGCGGTAAAAAAACCAATAATGGGTGATTTATCTGACTTTGCAAGCCCTAAAGCATCAGACTCTGAACTTCAAGATTTTCTCGTGGCAGAAAAACAAAAGGCTCAATTCCACGCCCAGGTAAATCATTTATTTTTCGCCAGTTTTTCATCATTTATTGAATTAAAATGGTGCAATGAGCAATTTTCAGGTTAAGACAGCAAATAAATACTCCACCTTTAATATTGTTAACTGGTTGCACAAATAATTACAAAGTGACGAAATTTTTAAAGTTGCTTTAAGTGGAGGTAAGTTCATTGGTCATTTGGTAAAATTTCAATGTTTTTTTGCAGATTCATGAATTCAATGACTTTTGCTGGGATAAATGTGTTGATAAACCTGGTGCAAAACTAGATTCCCGGACAGAAACCTGCATTACTAACTGTGTAGAAAGATTTATAGATGTGTCACTGCTCATAACAAACAGATTTGCACAGATGCTTGAAAAAGGAGGTGGAATGCATTAAATATTATATGTGTCATAAACCTCTGCAATGATCTGTAGCTCAGAATGTAAGGAGAAATGTGCATTTGTTTTTGGTTAGATTGTGGGAAGTTGCATTTGGTTTGTCATAGGTTTACTATAATTAGCCTCACTGTTGTTTAATGTACCAGAAAAACATGTTTACATAATAAAAACAAAATAAAGATATTAAAAGTTGCTTTATTAGATATAAATAGTACAAACTATTTCTTAGAATCACTTCACACTTCATTACTTGAATTGTATACCACTGAATTATGATCACATTTCTTGTTTTCACAAGGTTACATAGAATATGCTATAAATGTTAGTAAACTGGGGACATTGCCTGCAGCAAAAATACATAAAATAAATCTAATATAATGAAATGTTAAGATATAAAAATAATATTTATTTATCTTCCAACTCGTCCAAGCTTAGTGTCAGTCCGAGGATCTGCAGTAACCGTTTGTACAGCAACCAATGCCTCATTAATTGTGGTTTGCAATTCTCTCAGGTCTTGCACAAAGAGTAGTTTTAAAACATCAGCAGGTTGTTGAATAATATTAGCTTCTGTTGTTGGTGGGTCAGGGTGTGGTTTTGTGTTCAAAATCTTTGCTAAAGCAGCTAGTCTAAACTTTGGATCTAAATGTGGCCCCACTCCAGCTAATGTACATATTCTTTCCACACCTGCTTTGAAAGCTGGGCAATCAACTGAAATATTAAAAATATATTATTATATTCAAATATGGAAAATCAATAAATATACCAATTTTGTTTTAAACTTATTGAAACATCTACAAATAAAAATTTTGATGTCCTATTTTGTTATAGTATGAGACTAAATTATACTGCAAAATGGAATTATTCCAGCAATAAGGAAAATGGAATAATTGCAATATAGAAAATTGTCTATAATAGAAATTGTATGTAGTATTCTTAATACTATGTATGATGTATGATCTAGATTTTTCTAATTCAAGTACAAATGTTTTCAACATACTTTATATTCTATAGTCCTGCACATAAAAGTAATAATTATTGTGTTCCTAAACAACAAATAAGAAATAATCCAATCAGAATTGAATGAATCTATGCTAATATTGATGAAGCTGCTGATTTTGTTTCTTTGGTTGATCAGGATAATTTCAAAAACTATTACTCTGGTTAGAATTGAAAAATTCTTTTAGTATTGGATGCCTCTTGAGAGCCTCTTTTGATGATGAAGAAGTTATTCTTAATATTTGATTACAAGAACTTTAACATTGTTGTTTGTCATGTAAGTGTCTTATTAGAGTTTTACTAACAGTCAAGGTTGTCCAGAGGATTTGAAGTCACTACATTTGGTGCTGCCTGTTTTGGTTGCTCGTATTTTGCTTCCTTATATTTCTCAGCTGTAATCAAAAACAAACCAAAAAAAATATAATTGTCATTCTAATTTTTTAAAATTACCTAATTTTAATCATATGTCGAATTTTTGAAGTGAAACTCCTTTAGGTGGTGGCATTTTTGAACAACAAGCAAAATAATGTATTTTGACATGGGAAAAAAACCTTTGAACCGTTACCGTTACCGACACCTCTGTATGTGCTGTGTTTACACGAGAGTTGCGTTTGAGTTGAAATACAATGATAATATAACTAAATACATATTGTGTATATAGGTACATACAATATCGATATATATTCATGTCGGAACTTTTCAAATGGAAAACATTTTTTTTTTTACTGTTATTTTATAAAAAAAAACAGTTTTGACTTCTGTTGGCATTCCCGGAGTGCCACTGCCACTTTTTAAGATAAGTGGTATGTTGATGATAGCAAGGTGACTACTGCTGACTATAGACACTTGCAACGCAAGAGTTGGAGGTAACACATTACAAAAAACAGCCATCCTGTAAGACCTTGGGTTTCTTGGACTCCGATAAAGAAAGACTGCCTGAACACTGGTTTTCTGTGAAGCTGTGGTATAATTCAGGTAGAGTCATCACATATGTGTTAAAGCATGGCTCTCTCACGGTAAATAGGCATGGGTAGATCAAATACCTAATGTAGTTGTAAAAATAACTGAAATAAAATATATAAATCCTTGACATTTTGTTACATGCCTGATTTAAATTATATAATATTTTTTGGACTGTTGTCAATAATGACATATATTTCTACAAGAAGAAATATTAACCAGCCTGATTTTTTATGTCATGGCAAGGCAGTTACATTATTGTTGCACAAGATTACAAAATATTATAGTTTCACTTAGGAAAACATCATCATCATTTTCTGCTCTTTTCCCAATCTTACGTAATTCAATGTGGGGTATGTATGGCAAATAACCACTCTGCTTGGCTTGCTCATGAAGAGGCCTTCACCCAACAATGGGTGACTAAAGGCTGTAGAAGAAGAATGAGGCTGACTCCAACTCTCCCTGGGAATAGTCATTTTTAAACAGCAAAGCAAATTGTGACAAAGGAAGGGGCTTTCATTATCCCTTACCCTAATAAGCATCAGATGGAGCAATGGGAGTGAGGCTGTAGGATGTAAGGGACTGTGTGTAGCCTGTGAATGAAACATACCATTATCTGCATATTCAAGTCTCACAGCATACGAAAGTAGCCAGTTCAACTGCTCATTTGGAGTGCCTTCAGTTACAGGACTTACTAAATCATTTTGATAGGTGTTGTAGGCTGATATCCAAGCATCATCATCAATATTCCTCAAACCCTCGCGCTCTTCTATTTTATAGTGTCTAATCTTCTGATCTTCAAGCCACAGAACTACGCTTCTGTATTCTTTTTCATCTAAAAATTAAAAATGATTGAAAGTCGGTACGTATGCTTGAAAAGGATGAGAGTTATTCCATTTTTTACCTTCGCAATTGAAGGTTTCTGGATTGGGATGACCCAGTGCACTTAATTTAAGTTTAAATATATTGCTCATTATAGTATATTTATGTTAAACAATCAATATAATATAATATATAACTAATTTGTAGATACAAAACTATAGCCTGCAGCCCTGCAATGCCGAGCCGATACCAGAGATGTTGACAGATAACTAATTATTTGACAGATTCAGATTTACCACAGATTACTTATATTAATGAAATCATGTACCTACTGAAATACGGTTATAATAGGCCGTTTAGCACGACCACAAGCGTGTAAACGGGGTGTTTGGCTCGGCTCGCGTAGGCTCGTCGGCGATCGGTCTAGTGTTGGTTTTTAAACACAGATGAAAGAAAGCTCGCGACAAGCGTTTGCGACGTATTTACACGTTGGCGCGCGCTTGTGCTTGCTCCCTACTGGACAATTTGATATTACAAATATTGTAGTTGAGCAGCCGGGAATCAACATTAAGTCTCAATGATCTACTGATTGAGCAGTTTAGTTGATCAGTAGGGCTAGAGAATGTTTTTTTTTAGTTTAGTTGCGCCGTTTATATTTTGAATAAAAATATGTCCACGTCTGTCATGTTAGGCTGTCCCAAACACACTTAACTACTCGCAAGCGTGTAAATGACATCCAAGCGTTTGTAATGGTTCGGAGCTGTGAACGTTTGCCGAGCCTCGGCACTCATGTAAACGAGGCATAATACGTCTCAGGAGCTGAGAGCTGAGTTAGGAGTAGGAAAAATAGTTTAGCGATGGACAGAGACGTTCCATAGCTTTTAGGTTTATTTATGCAACTTTAAAAAGATGAAGTACACCTTTTATTTTCGTAACGGGATGGATAGTTCCTTCGGATCGACGGCTCCTTGGGGTCACAGGAGCTATAGCGAATGTTTCCACTAAAATCACTCCTAAGGGTGAACGGCCAACCTCGGGCCTCTTGTCAAAAAGGCATATTCATTCAAAATCATAGAGATATAAGCATAGAGTGAACAAGACAACTTTTATTCACTTTCTGCCATTGAGTTAAAACAACACTAGAGAAGCAAACCTCATTATCACACGTCGAAAAAAGTGTAACCACTTTTGAACTTTGACGACGTAGCTTTGATACCACTAAACATTTGAAAGTAAACATATTTATGTCTCATTTACACGCGAGACAAGAACAGTACTATCGCTCGTATTAGACAAAGACAATGACATAACTTTACGATGGTGGGCCAGTGTTGACTACCGTATGAATTTTTACCCATAATAACCAAGGAACAATTTTTTTTTTAAACAATTTTGTAATAAAATAAATTAATTTAAATATTTTAAATAATATATTTCGAATTGAATGGAATAGGTATAAATAATAAAATAACTCGAAATATTTGGTTAAAAGGGTTTATATTCAGTGTAAAATCAAACTCCGCTATGAAGCATCAGTTTTGTATACAAGTCTTTTAGACTCTTTTTTATAAGTTCGTGTGGATATTTTACTTTCATGATACAATCTTATTTTTACCTATTTATAAGTAATAGCATTTAATAATAAAAGTGAATGATCAACTTGTACTGATAATAAATAATCCCCAGGGTGTATTGCAAATTCTTTTAATATTTTAAAATACAATTAAAAAATATAGATATATATATAAATATTTTTCTTTTTTATATTTTTTTTATTTATATTTATTTACTTTTTTATTTTATATATATTTTTTTGTACAATTATTATTTATAATTGATAATTTATTAAGAAAAATTAATGAATGAATGAATTAATTCTTTTGTACAAAAGTCTCCAGCACTGCGAGCTTGGCAGAAGGTGAACGTTCAACGGGTCCCTAAAAAAAGTGATCGGTCCAGCCCTAACAACTACCGTTCTTCCTATATTTTATTATTATTGACAAAATGTTTAAAAACAGTCTAAAGCATATTATTTCATAAATTATAAATTCTCCCACTAATGTGGGAAAACCAAAATGTTTTTTTAATGGTAACACTGATTCTAAATTACAATTATCAATGTTTTATTTCAATTATAGCCTTATTTACGATATTATCAATACAAAAACCATAAACTTACACGTGATAAGTAATTCCGCATGATTTATTATAGTTTTGTGACCTTAAATCGCATTCTTTCACTACGCATTTACCCATTTTGGCGATTGTTACTGTCATGTGTAGCTATGTTCAACTTGGTTGACGCCACATTGAACACTGAATTGACGTTTGCTACGCATATGCCTGTGGACAGATGTGCAGTAGCAACGACTTTAGGCGGTAATTACTCATCTATGTAAGTAGTCAAATATGAACGCAGTCTAGTTCATATAAAAATATATTTATTTTGACAGTACACGTGTGCTCAGCATGAGCTTGTTTGATTCAAGAACATTTTTAGTTAAGGAACATTGGCTTATATACTAATAATTGGGTGCATGTGTGCATGGTGTACAGTACCTCACACATGCGCTTATTCAGCGAATGAAATTAGTCTAATGGTTTCAGACATACTTAGGGATCAAGTCTTAATTGATTTGGTCATCATTAATTTTATGTGAATTAACCATTGAAAACATGAGATGATGAATTCTCAGTAATTATTGGGTGGCATGATGTCCCTTAGTTTATTGTAATGGTACGAGGTAAGGGTTGGCTATGTATAACTAAGTATTATATCAATGCTTTCTGCTATCCATGTAGGCAACGAGAGAGATGGGTAATATATGGGACCATCTATCTCGTACTAGTCATACTCTGTGGTTGGTTGGAAAATTTTCTAATCTCCCACCTGATCTACGATCAAAACTATGTCCATTTAACTATTAGCAATTACAGTTTAGATAAACAGCGAAAGAGAGAACTATCGAGTATCCATCTCTCGTTTCCTGTATCGCTTCCACTAACAGGCAGCTGTACCCCGTGTTCTATCTATGCTCAAACTTCTATGTTGTCACTTGTGTGTGTGTCAAAGCCGTTTATTTAATTCATAATTATCTTACATAAAAGAAAAAGGTTTTGACTTTTGACACATGTATCGTGGTTATTCGCTAATTACGTATGAACTTACCTACTTTACTATAAGGATAAAACTTGTTATCGGTCATTAGAATTTAAAACTCTAGTTATAATTTAAAGTATACGACATGTCAATATCACTGGAGACTAACAAAATCATCAACAATCGATGGAGCCTTAATAAAAAAGAATAAGACAAGAATAATAGTGCAGTTAACCGAAAGAATCGGCTATCCAAAAGTTATCAATAGCCAGTGTTTAAATTCCAAAGTATTTTAACAAATAATTTGTTAAATATTGAAGTTTTTGTTGTTCTGCTAAAAAGAAAACCGTAACTTACACGTATTAAAAGTTTGTCATCGTAATAATATCAACAATAAAAATGTCGTGGGTTAAGGAAAACTGCGTTTCTTTTTTTCAATTGTTTTGCGTTAAAGTTGTTAAGACTGGTCGTGTACCTCAACACATAGCTTTTATAATGGATGGAAATCGACGTTACGCTAAGAAAAACAGTGTAGACACCAGTGCTGGACATTACAAAGGGTTTGATAAATTATCTGAAACTTTAAAGGTAAGAAATTATCTTGAATTATATTAAAGAATAAACGAAAACCTTCTCTGCTTTTTTTTTTAGTTAAGGTATATCCCGTAGATCTGTTTGAATCTTGCTAAAGGCCTCCTTTAACTACTTCTATTGTTTGAGGAGTGGTCATTTTTCATATTTTCCTTGGTTTTATGAACTTATTTAATTATATTTAATAATTAAATACAATTTTAACACAATCAAGAATATACTGTAAGGGTAATAAATGTTATGCAATGGTCTTACATTTATTAACTTTTCAGTGGTGCTTAGACCTTGGAATACCAGAAGTAACCGTGTATGCATTTAGTATTGAAAATTTTAAACGGAGCAAGGAGGAGGTTGATGCACTAATGGATTTAGCAAGAGATAAGTTTAAAAGCTTATTGGATGAAATGTAAGTTTAAATGATCAATTACTTAAATATACTGTGTGATTGTAATGAAGTTAGTAAAAAGATGTCTTTTCGTCCATTTATAAGAAATTATTTAGTAATAACAACTTTTGCTGTGGCTTGCCTCCATATAGGTTATTTTTAATTGCTCAGAGTTTGTTTGAAAAAACCCTGAGCAATTATTATATGCAAAATTGGCAGGCTCTCATGATCATGAATCAATTATGAGTAGGAGTGAAGGTGTTTACATAACTTTACAACAATCCTATAGAATCTGGTTATATGATGGTGCCCAAGGTAAACAATGACCAGTGATATTACATCGTACAACATACAAATAAACAAACTGAAAATGTTATTTTTGTTAATTATTAATATAATCGCATAAAATTATGAATTTATAAATATTTATTTACATCAGATTAAAAAGAATTTAATGAATACTCATCATCACCATCAGCCTATCGCAGTTCACTGCTGTACATAGGCCTCTCCCATTGCATGCCACTTAGATATTTTGGGCTTCTCGCATCCAGCTCCTGGCAGCCATCTTGCGCAAATCGTCACTCCACCTGGCCTGTAGGCGTCCTACACTATGTTTGACGCGGTCTCCACTCAAGAACTCGTTTTCCCCAACGTTTGTCGGTTCTGCGGCTAATATGGCCAGCCCACTGCCACTTCAGCTTGCTGATCCGGTAGGCTATGTCGGTGACGTTGGTTCTCTGCCGGATCACGTCATTTCTGATGCGATCCCTTAGAGAAACGCCGAGCATAGCCCTTTCCATAGCACGTTGAGCGACTTTGAACTTGTGGGCCAGCCGTACCGTAAGTGTCCACGTTTCAGCTCCGTATGTCATGACTGGTAGGACGCACTCATTAAAGACTTTCGTCTTAAGGCACTGTGGGATCGACGATGAGAAGACTCGACGTAGCTTCCCAAACGCTGCCCAACCCAACCGAATTCTTCTGTTCACCTCGTCCTCGAAGTTGTTTCTACCTAACTGCGATGTCTGCCCGAGGTACACATAATTTTGAACAACTTCGAGAACGGCACCGTGTACCGCAATCGGTTCCGGTAGTACATATTCGTTGAACATGATCTTGGTTTTATCCAAGTTCATCCGTAGGCCGATGCGTACAGAAGTGTCAGCTAGGTCATTCAGCATTTGCTGTAGGTCCTGTAGCGTCTCTGCCATGATGACGTTGTCGTCTGCAAATCGCAAGTGAGAGATGTATTCGCCAATGATATTGATGCCACGCCCTTTCCAGTGACGCGTCTTGAACATATCCTCCATTGCATTTGTGATCCATTTCGGGGAAATAACGTCAATGCAATGGTACGGGCCCTGTTTGCTGATTCTGTACTTGGACGGACATGGTGGCGGCTTCGTAGAGACATCTCATCACTTGGATGTATCGCCAATCTACTTGGCAACGCTGCAGGGACTCCAGAACAGATCAGATCTCGATCGAGTCAAAAGCTTTCTCATAGTCCACGAATGCTAGACACAGGGGATGATTATATTCTTCGGTCTTCTGTATAATCTGCCGCACTGTGTGGATGTGGTCTATGGTGCCATATCCGTTTCGAAACCCAGCTTGCTCCGGTGGTTGGAATTCGTCGAGTTTATGTTTATTGTCGGATATGGGTCGATAGTTCTTCAACCTGGTCTTGTCAACCATTTTTGAGTTCCGGAGTTCTCCCTTCAAACAGGACAGCGTTGAAGAGCTTTTGGAGCTCCCTTAGTACAGGTTTACCTCCGGCCTTTAGCAGCTCTGTTGTAACGCCATCCTCTCCAGGGGCTTTTCCATTTTTCAGCTGTCCAAGAGCCATCTCGATTTCGTCAATGCTAACTTCTGGCAGGTCTTCGGTGTAATGACGTGTTAGTGTGGCTCTAGAGTCCTCATTTTCGGGATCAGGTCGAGATGCATGTGAAGCGTAAAACCGGCCATAGAAGCTTTCCACTTCCAAAAGGACTGCCGGCTTCGAAGCAACGACTTCTCCACTTTATGTGGTCAACTTTGTCAGGTAGCTTCTTCCAAGAGATTGTACGAACACTTTTGACCCCCGATTGTGCTCGATCGCTCTTTCAATTGAAAGAGTATTCGAGCACCGGAGGTCGTGTCGTACGAGTTTACCGATCTCTCGGTTTAGAGTCCGCTTTGCCGACAAAGTGACAGGTGGGTTTTCACGTCGTTTCTTCATCAGCCCTAGGATCCTTTCTGAAAGCTTTGACTTCCCGCCCTTACGCTGCATTTCACAAAATCTCGTACCTTCTTCCCTGAGGATCCGAACCACATTTTCGAGGTTCTGGTTTACGTCGATTGTGGTTTCCACGGCAGCGAATCGGTTTTCCCGTTTTGACTGGAACGTTTCAGATCCTGTCATGGCTTGGAGCAGAGTTGGTAGGAGCCCGGATTTCATCAAACAGACACGTTCCGCCTTAAAGTTGATATTCAGAGAGCCCCGGACAAGTCGCTGATCACTACCGGTATTAAACCTATTGATCACTGAGACGTCTCTGAATATGTGCTTTCTATCCGTCATGATGAAATCGATCACATTTCTGGTCATAGCGTCGGGGCTTTGCCACGTCCATTTCCTTTGGGGCTGTTTCTTGAAGAAAGAGTTCATTAAAAAGAGCCTCTCCTGTTCGAGGAAGTTGACCAGCATTTGCCCCCTATGATTCCTGCTTCTAAATCCATGGGATCCTACTACCGTTGCGTCTACCCGGGGTTGCCCATAATCTCCACGCTGGGCAGGCGGGTTGGCGATCGCAGGGCGAAGCTTGTCGCCCCGGTAACCGGTAAAGATAGTGGTTCGCTCTCACACCCCTTATTTACACGCCCATTAATTAATATTTAAACCAAAAATTTTTTTTTACATAACTAAGAATGAAAAAAAAAAGGTTAATTTGGATCAGGGATGCACAGACTTATTAAGACTAGGGGCCACTCGGGCAAATTATGAACTGATAGCCGGCCGCCAGAAGTATAGGTAATTAAAGACAATAAAGAATTGATAAATATGTATTAAAATTGAAAAAGAATTTATTAATTTGAAGCGTGGCACTGCATAGTGCTTACAATCTTTTTTATATTTGGCTCAAATTTACTTGTAGCAACACGTAAGACTGCTTCCAAACTTTCATTTGCAAGGCGGTTTCGATTTTTTGTTTTATTATTATTTAGTATTGGAAAGGTTTGTTCACATATATAGGTAGAACCAAATAAGCTGGCACATTTCAGAGCGTTTATGCGCAATTCTTTGTACGTATTTTTATCAATGCAGCGGTAAAAGTTCAGCAAGTCTCCTTCGTTGAATTTGTTGCGTAAATCTTGGTCGTTTTGAATGTCGATAATTTCTAACTGCATTGACTCTGGCGTTTTCAACTGAAATCGTGAAAGGATTGCTGAATATGTCCAACAGAGGTTTCACTTTTTTAAACTCCGAAAATCTGTCTTGAAAAGATTGAATCAAAATATCTAGCTTTTCTACATAACTGAAATTAATCGCAGTTATGTTGAATTTTTCAGCCATTTTCTTATAATTCGGAAAATGATTGTAATTTCCAGAATTCAATTGCGATCTGAAGTGTCAGCTTGCATTGAAAGGATGATACATGAGCGTAGAGCTGGGATATCAGTTGATTTTTGCCTTGAAGCCGTGTGTTCAAGACATTCAAATGATTTGTAATGTCAACTAAAAAAGCCAAATCACACAACCAATCAGGATTATTAAGTTCCGGGACATCCCTTTGCTTTTCCGCACGAAATATTCCAATTTCTTCTATTAAATTTAGAAATCGTTCCAGTGTCAATCTACGACTTAGCCACCTTACTTCTTTATAATACAGTAAATCTCCATATTTGCTTTCGATGTCATCAAGGAATTGTTTGAATTGCCTGTGATTGAGTCCTCGTGATTTTATGAAATTTACAGTCGAAACTACCACTTTCATGACATTTTGAAATTCATTTTTTTTTAGAACAGAGGGCTTCTTGGTGTATAATGCAGTGAAACTGCATGAGATCTTCAGCGTTTATGTTTTTTTCTTGCAGATGTTTTTTCAGCAAAGTAACTAGCCATGAATTGACACCAATCATCGAAGGAGCACCGTTAGTCGCAACTCCCGATAATTTTGATAAGTCCAAATTAGTTTTTGAACACTCATCCAAAACTACATTGAGTATATAAACTCCTCTGGTTTGACCTTTCAATGAACACATTCCTAACCTCGTATGAATATGGGAAGTTGAGCTGTGGAACTAACATCAGTATCGTCGAGTGCTAATGAAAAAAATTCAATGATCTTAGTTTTTTCATTTAATTGTTCCGCAATATTACCTGCAAAGACATAATTCGTCTTTGGATAGTCATACGATTCAGTTGAATTTTCTCAAACTTTTTTGCTGCTTCTGGGCACATTTTCTTAGCGGCAATTTTTATGCATTCTTTTACAAAATCCCCATCATTGAAGGGGCGACTTCGCTTTGCTATCATTCGAGAAATTTCATAACTAACTTCTGTAGCTGTTTCTGAATCTTGAATGGGTTTTGTAAACATAGCTTGCTGACCAATAAGCTCCCGTTTTAAAGACAACATTTTTAAGCTATTGCATAGCTTCTATCGAGGGCCTTGAGCGCGGGGACCGAATCCAGAAATTCCGTAACGAAAAAAAACCTCACGCTAAAAACAAAACAAAAAACAGTACCAAAATCAAATGCTGAACGTCAAAAGAAATTTCGTCAACATAATGCAGAAAAATCTTACATGGATATGTAATTTGATTTAATAATAATATTTTTTATTTATTTATTTAAAAACAAATTGTAATATATGCTTCAATATTTTTATTTAATAAAAGAAAAAAAAATGTTTTCTTATCGCTCACCACGCTCAAAAAGTGTAACTTGAATTAATATCTAAGAAAAAGAAATATTGCATAAATAAAATAAATAAATAATTATAATTGCATAAGTTGATACGAAATGCTATGCTTTACCGCGGCAGTCCCCGAGTGCCACACGTCTTTTTTTCTTAATTCGCCTGTAAACTTGGTAAAAGTAGGATGCTGCGTTTCATAGTGCCTTTTTACATTATATTCCTTTGATCCGCGACAGAATCCTTGCAAATTAAACAAACGACTTTGTTATGCGACCATACAAAAAAGTATTTCGCAGTCCAAATTTCTTGAAACTGCCGATTTTCATCTTTAACCTTACGTTTTTTACTTGGTCCTGGCTTGTCCATGTTGCGTTCTAATCCTGGCTAGGATTAACACAGCACCTAAAAACAATTACAGTACCTACTTAAATTACTCATCCTTTTTTAAATTACCAAAAATAATTAATTAAATAGGTAGGGAAACACTTATTAATAACAGAGTTTTACTTACGATTTCACAACACAATTATACACGGCACTTGACGGGAAATCTACATTGAATGTGGATCAAAATATACGACACCGGCTAGTCGAGTTAAAATCTACACTAGGACTATTGACAACAACTGTCGGTCGCTGCGGTTAGCGTGGCTTTTATACCGCGCGTATAGAGTCGAAAACTGTCTGGAGAAATCTCGAAACCGACTCTGGAAGCTTCGTGTATCTACCTACGCGAGCAATCGGGAATTCGGGACTATTGCTATCTAGCTTGCTGTAACAATATACCACCGCGCTGTCGTCGTCGCCGCGCCGCCGTCCGCGGCGCTTCCTCAAGAAAACGAATTTAACCGAGATCAGCACGAACATTACCGACCGCTGTTACCGACGCATGCACGGCGCACCGATAAGCGCACTTAGGAGCGCGCGCGCGAGATTCAAATTACTTTTCGAACATATTTTTTTTGGTTTTATTCTGGAATAGAATTAAATATTTTTCGAATGTACGAGAGTATTATTTTTGCTGTCGGCGGGCCACCAGTATTCGACCGTTGCGGTCTGTGCATCTCTGATTTAGATAATCGTTATAGATTTAGTTTCACATAAACTTTGAAAAATATACATATTATATAGGTATGTACATAAATCTAAGATGTACGATAATAAAGTAACTGTGCATGTACATAATGTACCTCTCTTTATATCTATATAACTAATAATGAAATAACTAGTGCAAGTCTGTAATTTTTGTTATTGTTTGTGCCTATACTTACTTATCTTAAAACGGTTGGTTATTATATGCAAAGTCATACTAAACGCACCACACTGTATATGAAATAAAGATGGTTATACTTATTTTCACCTTTAATTTCTCATATTATTTGATGTCCTCAACTATAATATCACACTTATTTGTTTGTTCGAGTTCACACCAGGTCCTTAAAAAATTGTTTATAAGTAAAAAAATATTTTATATTTTGTAGAGACCAAATCAATGAATGGGGTGTAAGAGTGCATATTGCTGGCAGATTATCGCTTTTACCGGAAGATTTGCGAGCCTTAGTATCCAAAGCCATGCTGGCTACCAGACACAATAATAAACTGAGACTTAATATTGCTTATGCTTATACAGGTATTTTAATTTTACTTTATAAGAAAAAAATATTTGTAAATTTTGTAATTCCATATCAGCACCAAAAGCATGTTATATCATTATTAATAGGTAGTATGTCTTCCAACAGTGAGATCGACTGTGATGTCAAAAAGTGATAAAAAAAAAAATTTAGTAAATAGATTGACTCGATATCTATTTTAATATATACTTTACTTTTTTTTTTAAATATTTGTTTGTCATTGAATGTCAATATATTTTTTAGGTAGAGATGAAATCAGTCGTGCAGCGTCACACATAGTTGACGGAGTGAAGAACAATGAATTAAAAGGACAAGATATTGATTCAGAACTTGTCTCACAAACATTAGAGTTGACGGAGCCCGAGCTGATGGTTAGAACATCAGGAGAAGTGAGATTGTCGGATTTTATGTTATGGCAGGTACGAAAAATACGAGGCATACAAATATAGCTTATAGATTATCATATTATAAACTCTTCAGTTACTTAGAGTGTAGCATTTAGAATACATAAGCTCCTATTCATGATTATGTTTAGTTAGTCGTTTGGTAAACTAAGGAAGAAGAAATGACCATATTCGTGTACTAGTTTTGTACCGCTGCCGGCTGTAAATAAGAAACGTATGTAATGTTAAGGAGATAATCATCCAAGCATTTAACTGAAGATAGATCAATGACTCGTTAATAGAATTTATTGTCCGTAATAATAATTATTCTTGACAGTTTGAGATAAAGCCGATGAACATAAGGTTATATCTTTTGTTGTAGAGTGAGTTTGAGAGGTGTTAACGACTTTGAGTTATGCATCTCACATATTGATACATTATTGAGTAGACTCAGCTCAGCAGCATATGCAGTAAGAAAAGCTCGAGAGTCGACTCATGTTGATACAGCATGATTTGTTTGCTTCAGTTATTTTCATAGCATGACATTATGCGTACGGTATTCTACTGTGCCGACATTCAAACTATTGTTGTACTGCAAAAGAGAGTGATCCAAGCAATTTAAAATTTATGCATTTGTTGTTCATTGAGGCAGAATTTTAAAGAAATAAACATAATGACAGTGGCAAGTCAATATTTATATGAAAATGTAATATATGTTTATTAAAACAAAGATAGCTTTTTGAAAAGAAGTGATGTACATTCTATAAATACCAGAAATAGAAATAAACTTGTAGTACCCGCCTCTAGGCTCCAAAAGATAAACAAGTCTTTTCGAGGTCAATGTGTCCGATTTTATAATAAAATCCCAAATAATATTCAAGACTTTATTAACAAATTTGAATCTGCAATAAAACGTAAATTATGTCAGAAAGTCTATTACTTAATTGTGGATTACATAGAAGACAAAAATGTTTAGCTTTAATTTAGTGTTAGGGCAGGGATTAACTTAGTGTTTTTTATTATTATTTTTCTCAATTTTTTTTATGTTTTACTTCATTTTCTATTTTAATCGTTTTTTTTTTAAATCTTGTTTTCTCTTCATTGTCTTTTCACCTTTTAGTCCTTAATAACAGACATACTGGCACACATCAAAACAATGTTGTGGTATATTTTATGATGCCATTGAATCTATCTGTAAATTGCAAAAGAGTGGCCATGAGTTTGTTTGCCATTTCTTCTCATAAGGCTCAACCCCTTGACGCGGGCGGTTGTAGATCGGCACAGGCATATTTTTTTGTATAAGTTTAATTTATATTAAATTTATTTTGTTTACTATTTGACAAAACAGAGATTGTTGCTATTGTGTGTGTTGATCTATGACTTGAGTCTACATAAGAAACCATTTCAAACAATTTAATTTTTTTAATAAATATAGGTTAAGTTTGACATAAATAACACGTAACAATTTTCATGTTGCAGGTATCCAACACAGTCTTATATTTCTCAGACGTTTTGTGGCCAGAATTCACAATTTGGAACCTATTAGTAGCGATCATCCACTTCCAAAGATATGCCCCTCCTCCTAAGGAAGCAAAATACTTTAGTGGTGAGAAGCAAAAATTTTTCGATAAACTTGAAGATCAAAGGTTAAAACAGTTGGAAAAATACGTCAGTTGTTGATATAAGTTGTTATTTAGTGCTAAGTTGCTTGTTGTGTAAGATATTATTAAAAAGAAATATAATTGTTGTTACGATGGTGTGTTTTTGTATGCTTCACTTTACTGCTTCTTGTACTTCTAAAGTACTATTATTATTTTCAATAACTGCAGTTTGCTACACAGTACACATGCTCGCTAACGTAGGCGCGAATTCAAGCAAAGTTTAGTCATGTTTAGAAATTTTTTGAGCACCAAACAAACAAGTTAGGTATATAATTATGATAACAGGCTGTCATGGCATCTTCCTTATTTCTGAAATTGAAAATTAATTTGAAAAGTCTAATAAACTGGAATGCCAACATGGGCGTATTGAGATTTTGGGCGTAAAGTAGGTAATTTACTTAAAGGAAAGTTAGTTAGGAATGACCTCTTTTTTGACAAAGATCTTTAAAATAATGGAATATTGTAGCAAAACTTTTAAAGCTTAGATGAACTACTAATTACTCAATTTCCCACGGTAAAGACTTTTTTTGTACGTTGTAACACTCAAACGGCAACAAGGAAGGGGGGTTTGTGCTCGGGTAACTTACTGGGTGTAAAGTCATAGAGAAACTATAAGAAATCTAAAATATAAGTAGGGATGGAATGAAATCACAACCACATGTGAAAAAACATAAGATTTATAAATCATATCATCACACCTGTGACTGATTTACAAAACCACTGCTACTTAATTATTATTAATACGCTAGCGCAAGACTAGCGGAAGGTCTAAACCTAAAAAAAAGTTCGTAATCTTTGATAAAAAGAATTTTGATTATTTTACTGTCATTTATCTTTGTCTATGACGAAATCACAATCACATGTGAATCGCTGATTAAACCAATAATTACATCAAATGAAAATGAATCATTCTTTTTTACACTGTAGCAAACTTGCCGTGCAGTAGACATAGGACAAAATCACAGTAAACTGTGAATTAGGCATGGCAGAAAATTACAGTGAGATGTGAAAGACCGGTGATTTATCATTTGATTTTTTCGTACGTAGGTTAGGGTTACTACTCACTTACGCGTTGTTGCTAATAAGCTGTTTTCAGACGATGCATAAAGACCTTATTTCGCTTATTTAACAGTAAATCGAGTACTTATTTTATTATATATAGCTACTATTCCCTAGATAATAATTAAAAAATACTAGATACTGTTAAATAGCGTCTAACCTACCTACCTAACAACCCTAACCTACGTATGCAAAAATCGAACGATAAATCACAGCTTACTGTGATTCTGTCCCCTGTCTACCGTGCAGTATCCGCCCCACTAATTTTTATTAGCTTCAAACCGCCGAGTTGAATTGAAACTTCGCACACTTATCAAAGACCGATGACAATAAAATAATTAAAAATACGGTAATGTCTTTTGCTACGTACTAAGAGGCGTGTGCTGAAGCATATGTGACTTACTTACTTGGTACTTTTTGTCTTAATTAGAAAATCATCATCATTAATGACTTATCAAACGAAAATAAATTATAATTAAAAAAAAATCATTTTACTTATATTTTATAATATAATAACTTTACTATTACCAGTATCTGTCAATAAAATAATTATAATAAATATAATAATTTTACGATAAAATGATTTTTCTTTATGAAGTATCACCATATTTTCTGCTTTTTAGTTCGGCTGGTTACAAAAGCGTGCTTTTTAGTTTTAACCATGATTTACTTCTAGTAAGTTGAAGATATAAGGTATGATGAAAATTCATATAAAACTTAAAATAACTATATTTAATTGCTATATTGTTACATCGTTGGCAATTAATAAAAATTATTGTGTCCTCTTGATTGCTTTACAATTACTGATAACCTTTATTACAAACAGTAAAGGTTCACTTTCCCTTGATGGTGTATTTGGAATAGGTTTTCGTGGGGTCATAAGGTTCCCATCTTGATGCCGGGAAGATATGTTTGTTTCTTTCGTACCAGGATCTGTAAATACAGCAAATACTACAAGTTTCTTAACATTCCCTTTGAAATAATTTATTAAGTACAAGAAAAGATGGCTAGCCTCTGACAGCATAACGTAGATTAGTAACGTAGAGTAAATTTTCTTTTATTGCGATTTTTGTAGTATTCTTAGAATGTGCCTAAGCGACTCTATGAAAAGTTGAGCAAAGTCGCTTATCGCGGCGGTATATTGTAAAATATGAATTCGACTGCAAAATGGGAAACTTCTTTTTTATTTATCAATGTAAACTTAATAGGCAAAATATATTTAACATATGTTTTAAAGTATTCGATTGTAAGATTTGATCGTAAGAGCCGACTAAAGGGAGCTAATAGTTAGCAAGACAACAGCACTGCAAAGAGAAGGAAATCTTGACACAAACCCTATGCCGACCCGTCTCGCCAGCGTGGTATAGTAGGCCAAAACCTCCTTTCTAAAGAGAGGTCTATGTCCAGCAGTAGACTATCAAAGGCTATTGATGTGATGTGTGATGATTGCAATAATGAGGGGTACTTCTAGAAAGGGTTTTAAAGGGGTTACGGTAACCGCTCATCAGTAGACCAGCCCTATTCTTGTTTGGCTCTGATGGATGTGATATAAAAAACATCGTTACACCTGAATTCGATATATTATTTACAGCATTGTGATTTAGTAGTGAATTCGAATAACTTGTTATAATGGATTACTCTCCAAATCACACTTAGCAAATTACTTGACTCATATTTGCATTATTATAAATAACGTAATTTCACATACCTTAATAATACTTTGCCAGCATGTGAATCCTGTTTCTCTTGTGTGGCATCATTGACTAGTCTGACGTCATCGGAAGCGTCAAATTGAAACAGAGGGCCACTTTTACCTCTTGCCTAAAAAAGAAAACAAAGTACCGTTTGTAACCAGTTTATTTTTAAGTTAAAAAATGCCTGGTGAAAAGTTCTTCATAATGGAGCCACATGCTTTTTGTTATATATAGGGGACACATGGACACTTGAAACTCAAAAGCCGCCCTGCCCCCCTATCCGCTAGAATTCAGGTTTTCTGCGAGGCTGTTGTATCACTCCGTTCGAGACCATCCATCTGTACCAAAGCTTGGCTCTCCCACACTTATAGATGTTCTTCGAAATGAGAATGCGAAATGAAATATCGATGAATAAAGTACATACTTAATCTTTAATTTATTATATTTTAATAAGAGACTTTGCTCACCTTAGTAACTATAAAATCATAAAATGTATAGTGATGGGGCAATATGAGATCTTCCTTGACATACATCAGCTGATCAGCAGACACTGTTTTCAGTTCACTGAATTCAGGACGTAATGTATCTAAACATCTTTGTAAAAATTGATATATGGAGTTACCTGAAAAAGAACAGAAATTTGTACTTATCTTTTGTTATTATTTTATAATGTACACAATAAAGATAACTATTAAATAAATAAAAATGTCACAATCACATATGAAAATAACTAAAATAATACCTATAGTTTTTCTAGTTTTATATAAATTAAAGATTTATTGTGAAGTACAGCAGTTGATATGTTACTTCTCTATGGTTTATAATCCCCTTTTTTTTTCCGTGCGGAATTCCCCCCGGATACCACCTATCGGTGGCATGTCGGACTCGGACCGACTAAAACCGCACGTCGTCTCCGGTACTAATAGCCGGGGAACCAGGTATACCCTAGAAAGGAAGTCCCTGGTGCCCCGACATACCTCGGGCCATCTACAACAACAGGTAGACGACCACCCGTGTGGGAACCCTATGTTCCCTCCGCTCCCTGGAAGCGAGCGCGCTTCGCAACGCGCTCGCCGCCACCAAGGCCTGCTTCTGCTAGGGTGACAGATGGCCTCACCTGTCACCCCCAGGCCTGCGCTTATGGAGGACGGAGGTCGTTCTGTGACCTCCGGCGCCTGAGTCGCCTGCGGTACCTGGCCCGTTCCCGGGCCTGGCGGGCCGGGAGAGTCCTAAACCTCTCCCGGTCTCGCTCCGCCGTCTCCTTCGCGAAGAGAAATTGCTCACAGAATGAGACGGCAGAAGGTTTATAATCCCCTAGATAACATTGCTTGTTAACCTAGGGAACCAGACACTGCTGAGAAACTAAAGACTGGTTTGCAAAAATGTTATTTGAGTTGAAGGAATCTATGATAGATCTCGTGCCATAAAGCTGATTAAGTCTGAGACATACTCGTATTTAGTGTAACTGCAATGGAAATAAATATAGTGTCTACAGTAACGACAATTAATTTAATGTTTTAACATCAGTTGGTTTCATTATATTCCATAATCAGAAAAAGCATCAATATCTATAGTTCGTAACAAACTCTACAAGAGTAAACAATAAAATACACTGATAATAACAAAAAAGTTACATAACTTACTGCCTGAAAATAGGTTGAATGGTGACCGTAGCTAGTGCAAGTCAGGCAATTCAAAGGTATGCAATACTTTAAAATACTCTATACCTATGTCTTTATAATTAGATATTAACTAATCATGAATACATATGGCTACAGAGTTTTATAGAACAAAGTGTAAGTGTTAGTACAAAAACAGTACCTTTTTTCAAGGTCACATTCCTTCTATGTCCTGAACCATCCCAGTAGCTGAAGGTAACTGTGATGGGTTCATCCTTGAGACTGGCTTGTGTCATAACCCATTCTAATCGTAATTCCTCACGTAGTTTAAGATCAGCCTCCTCTCTCTCCCTATCTGGCAAGAATGAAGTGTCTACATCAGGATTCTTCTTTATTCTTTTTAATGACTGTAATAAGACAAAAAGAAAATGGTAATCAGGGGTTTATTAACTTTCATGTTCCTGTTTTCTCGAAGTAAAGTCTAAGGAAAACAATAGCATTTTTTGGAACGAAGTTCCTTATCGCGCGTTACACGCTCTGATCGGATGGGAGCGAGACCGAAAAATGTGTAACAAGACTTTTTTCCGACACTATAGCAAACGTCTACCAAAAAGAGAAAAGAACTTCGTTCCGACGGGGGGTCCATAGACCACTCACGCCGTTTTTGATGTTACAAGGAGATAGACATCTGCCACTTAAGTGTCTCTGGTAATCTCATTCCGTTAAAAGCAATTAAAGAATTACTTAACACCAGTTGTCTGTGAGACCATGCTATCACTCTGATCGAGCCTGCCCATTTGTGTCGAAGCATGGCTCTCCAAGGTGTTAACTACATTATCATGTAGTGAATGGTGCAGTAGAACCACAGACAGCCAATTCTATATAGTGATTGTTTAAATATCATCCATCACTGATAAAAGTAAAGTAAAAAAGAGAACAAAAGGACGGTCAGGTCAGAAGTAAGCACAACTGACACACTTGTATGACAGGTTTAATGATAGTACATGAAGTTTTCTAGGCATGTAGGGATAGAAGCAAATGGCAGGCTTTTTTCTCTACCTACCCCAGAAGGCGAAACATTGTGAATTAAGGGATTCATGTACGGACTTTGAAAGTGAATCTTTTATAGGCATTCATTTACTTTCTAGTGCTACTTATTTTCTCATTTCTTTACTTACTGGTTCTTCCTTTTCTCTCCAATTCTTCACATCTGTTTTCTCATCAGCCGATGAAGCAGCATCATCATCGTTACCTTCCTCATCCTCTTCCTCTTCAGTAATGTCAAATGATAATGCTTGAATCTGAAACAATATTAGATATATTCTTATTCTCTTTATTTATTTATATATATATTAGATATATTTTTAAACATACACTTTATAAATAAAAACATATTTAAAAATATAAAAAGTAGTAGTCTACCAACATCAGTTACAGGGACCAAGACACTGTTGGTTAGGACTCCAAAGATAGGAACTCCCTCACTATACGAGCCGTGTCAAGGAGGACTGTGTGTTAGTAGTAAAAGTTGGTGTGTTAGTATATGATTAAACGGTTGTACAGCCCAGTAGGCTGTGCTTTCAGTAGGTTGTGCTTTTCCAACTTTTTATCAAGTTGACACTTAAAACTGTTCACTGAATAAACTGGTCACTACACTATCTGGAAGCTTATTCCATATTGTGTAGTTTGTTCAAAATGTGTTAGGCCACCAGCGATTGTGAGTGTGAGCGATTTATTATGAGGCTGTGCCCCAGTGATGAGTATGCTGTTAGTGGAAGGAGGACCATATTACTGACATTCAGGCGATTATATCTTGGGCTTAGTATTTTATAGGTTACAATAAGATCATCTCTCGTCCTGTGATACTTTTAAGTTTATTCACCAGGTAGGCAAACGTAATAAAAATAAATTACTCCAATTTGAAATTTAATTTAAAGTAATTTTAACATTTTTAAGATTCCATACCTCAAAGAGAAAAAAAATGGAACTCTTATAGGATTTTTGGTGGGTAAGGACTCACACTTCTCCAGATTTTTTTAAAATAAATTTGTTGTCAGTTCAATCAATCTTCTCTTTTGCCAGCCTTATAATAGCCTGTATTCACTAATAACTTTTTAAAATATAATTTAAATTTATTCATATTGTTTAAAAACCAGTAACCACTAAAACTAAAAACATACTGAAATATTTCGAAATACATATATATTATAAACTAGCTGACCCGGCGAACTCTGTTCCGCCTTAAAGGCAATAAATAAGCCGATTTTCGAATTTAGTAAGTTAACACGTTCACTGCGGGCCACATTTTGAAGAACTTTCAGCTGGTGCGGCTGAGGTCGAATCAGCCCCAAGCTAAACTTCCTTGTAATGCGGTTGAGGCCTTTTCTGCCTCATGTTTCAATCATTTGGTAAATGTGTTGTAACTTGATCAGGAGCGTGATTCGATGTTTAATTTTATGCTGAAAATTACTTGCATGGTATTGTTTTATGTACACCTAGCTTCGCCCCGGGTTCTGATTTTTAGTTTTAGAGAAAACACCTAAAATATATTTGAGGTCGTTTTAGACCATACGTCGCACTAAATCGGGGCGGCATTAGTGATGGGAATGAATTTATATCGATGAATGTCCATGTCTATGTTATATTTCTATTACTTTTTTATATTGTTATAGTATTGTGCATAAAAGTATGGGGTGTTGTTAAATAAAATACAAACTATTCGTTCATCTAATTTATTCTATATTACTTTGCATGCTGTTCGTTAAAACAATGCAAGCACATAGCTTTCTTACATTGTGAACAATTAGTCATATTTTTTTTTACTTTCAGCTTTTATAATATAACTAAGGTATGGGTGTCACGGGCTCTCACTCTATAAATATATAACTGAACACACACAAAAAAACATTAAACAAAAGAATTTAACAAAAATAAAAAACAAACAATTAACACGATTGCGCAAAGACACGTGCTCCAGTATCGACTATGGTAGCGTCACTAAAGTCGACTTAAGTGCTCGCACGCCGCCCGCGCGCCCCGCCGCTGGAGGTCGAAATCGGCCTCAACCCGCACCTTATTCAATAATTTTGTGATCAGTGCGTTTGAGGCGTATTTCGACCTCAAATATTTTTTTTACAATATTGAGTCAATGCTTCGCAGACATTAAGAAAGCTATATTTGTCTTTGTCATACCTCATACGGTTGAGTGTAAACAGCCGCCGCACTAGAGAGAAAACACAGTTTTACGCGCCGCACCAGCGTAAAGTCTAACATGAGGCTGAAACAACCTCAAGCCGCAGTGAACGTGTTAATTTATTTCTTAGAAAAAAAAATTAAGTACATTAATCATTTATATAGTTTCTGCATTTCAGTACATAGGTTGCTCTTCACTTAAGTACCTTGTGATACACGACATTTTTTCTTTTCTTATCAGGCGCAAAAACAAACAACGCAGATGGTCTTCCGACCAATACTCAACGTTGCAATGTGTCTTGAACGTTTTAGAAATAAGTGGCGAATATGGAACAATCCAACTGTTATCGACAACGAAATCCATTCTTTTCACTTTTATTGTGACAGTTCCACCGTTGTCATCTGGTGATCGACGCCGACACAAAAAAAAAACGGAATAAATAGTATCCTATGTCCGTCTCCTGGCTCTAAGCTACCTTCTCACCAATTTTCAGCCATATCGGTAAAGCCGTTCTTGAGTTATAAATAGTGTAACTAACACGACTTTCTTTTATATATATAGATAACTGACACCCATACATGATTGTGCTCATCACACAATTTTTTGATTGGCCTGTTGGTCTAGTGGTTAGTGACCCTGAATGCTACACACAGAGGTTCTGGGTTCGATTCCCACCCAGGACAAACGTGTGATGAACACGGACAATTGTTCTATGTCTGGGTGTACTTTATCTTCAATATGTATGTGTTTAGAAATACATAAGTATGTTTATCAGCAAATCTGGTTCCCATAGTACAGGCTCTGCCTAGTTTGGGATCAGACTGCTGTGTGTAAGATGTGTGACAATATAATTATTATTATTTGTCCTGGGTCCACAACCTCCAGGTTAGCAGTCAGGGCAACTACTAGACCAACAGGCCCGTCGCTAGAAGTCATATAGGTAAAACAAGTAACGTGTATCATATATCCTACCTGTCTCTTTTGTTTGTTTTTCTGTGCTTGTTTCGCTTCAATTTCTTTTTGTCTCTCTTTTTCTTTTTCTGCCTTCTTCTGCGCTAGTTTTTTCTCTCGCTCTCGAACTATATGTTCCTGCTTTGCTTTCATCTCATCAAGAGTGACTAGACCTATAGTTGAACTCTTCAATTGTTGTTCTACAGCATCATAATGGGTAGCAAACTTGTTTTCGATGTTGTCTATCTTCAAATCTTCTTCTATTTTTTTCTTACGTAGTTCTATTTCTTGCTGGGCTTTTTCTCTTTTCTTCATTAAGTGCATAGCCCTACCAGCCTCAGATGCAGCTCCTTTGTAATGAGCCATGGCTATGTCTCCTTATGCAACGGAAAATAAAGAATGCTGCAAGTTGAAGAAGGGTTTCTTTACAAATATTGATTATATTTAATCTTATAACAAATTCGTACTTTTTTGGGAAAACAACACGATAGGTTTTAATTGACAGTGACTGGTGCTTTTGACAGTTGACTAATGATTAGAGAAAGATGCTAGCTGACAGCAGAGGTAGAGGCTGGGTAGGTAGAGTCTGCAGTCAGTCAGTAGACAGAGTAAGCAGTCTCTCTCCAAAAACGGTGTGACTAGGTTCAAAATACGATTTAAAAACATATATTGTATTATTTAACAGAAAACCTAGTTTGCCTAATGGTGCCAACGATATCTCAGAGGATCATCTAAATGAGACTGGTGGACTGTAATTTTAGTTGTATAATGTTTTATGTGTATGTGATATGCGCGAGCGCGTCCGTATCGTGTCTGACTGACTGTCCGTCCCTGCCGGCGAGCGCAGGTGGCTGGAGAGGAGCAAAGTCGTTAGTATTGTTTGAAAACGGTTGAACTATTAAAAAGGAAAGATTTATTTCTTTAATGGTACCTATAGGTGGCAGATGTGCAGGTGGGTAAGTGACTAAGTGACTCTCAGGCCCGCCACTGGCTATTTAAGGGTCCATGTCCAATGCCGATTAAGTAACCTCTTTTTTTGAAGTGAATACTTCTTTAGGCGTTCTCGACACCTCTGTATATAAGTTTTCACTTCTGTGGGCACTTCCGGAGTGACACTGTTTTTTTTCCCTGCGAATAAGTATTCCGGGCCTGTTTGACCGGAAGAGTTCAAGCTTACAAACAAGTCAAGAGTATAAAACTATTAACTTCGCCAATTCCTGTTAGTGAATAATATAATTGTTCTATGGTGCAGATATAAGTACATTTTTTAATCTGTGGAAAAATGACAAAAGTGTTAGTGACATGGGAATTATTGCTAGTTTTAAATCATATTTATTTGATGATATGATTGATTTCAGTCATTGTGATTTTAGCTGTGAAATATCACCCCTTTTTTTAACTGACAGCACAGCTTGTGGACTAGTATTATTAAAGTTAGAATGACTGATAGAATATTTACATATTTTTTTCCATCCTACAATATTCTATTTCAATAATTTTAAAATTATAATTTCATGAGTTTTTTTTATATAAGACAAATTTTAATTTGTAAATTTATGTGGTTACCTGCCTTTTAAACTATTTTTTTTTTATTAAAACGTGATTTAAATATTTACACTGGCTGGTACCCGGAACTTCGTTCGCGTGGAATTTGAAGCTCCTGACGCGACGACTGCAAGTGCACGCTAGGTGGCGCTAGCGTCGCAAAAGCGGTGGTTTTGTAGTTGAGTCACAGGTGTGATGAAATGATTTTTAAATCATATGATAATTAACATGCAATTGTGATTTCGTCCCATGCCTATTTACTGCACAGACTACAGGGGTATATATATTCTGTGGACTACAGTAATATTTGTCGCTACTGGTCGCTACCTACACTCTCTGACTATCAAGTCTATCAAAGTCTATCAAGCTTTAGGGGTATATATGTTCTGTGCTTGATAGTATATTTTCTTTCTGTCCTCCTACACTACTACACTCGCTCTCGCTATTCGCTGTCGCTACTCGCTGTAAAAGTCGCGTCGGCTTGGGTAAATATTTTCATCGATCAGTGGACGTCGCAGTGTTGATATCAGTAGGAATTAAACTCGCTGGTCGTTGCGTTTAATTTTCTTTTGTAAGAGTAGAATGGACGAGACACTATTTTTTCCGTCGCCTAATTGGTTTTTAGTCTCTAATTTTGCCGTAAGTAAGAATCGGTGGATTGTATATGGCGGCCCTAGAAAAAGCATTTGTGTTTTGGAGCCCACTAATGAGGAAGATAATATCATAGCCGGGAACCAATCTTATAGAGCACATGTGGCCTTCAAAGCACATAATGACAAGTAAGAAACTTTTTTATATTAAATATTGTTAAACGATGCCTCCTTGAGTGCCCCCCAGGATGAGAAAGGGGGTGTCCTTGTTCCTCCGGTAATCTCACTAACGAAAAAATTGCTCAAGACTTGTGTCCTGTGAAGTCTTGGCGTCACTGGGCGAGCCGGCCGATATGTGACTAAAGCTCTGCATGAAAGCTTTAATTAAATAAAATAGTACTTAAGTGTTACAGATCACCTTATTTTTAATTCGCAGAATAGTAAGTGTAAACATATCACCTGAGTTTCCGGTAAAAAAGAACTTTGTAAGTGGTGCTGCTGATGGCAGTGTCAAACTATGGATGCTGGAGAAAGTTAACAATACCTATAAATTTAAAAGTCATCACAGTCATGATGTACATTTAATTGAGAAAGAAGTAAGTAGTACCAATTATTATATAAATTTTTAAGCAACCATAGGAAAGGTGATGTCTGCATTCAGCCTGTAATTATCATGTACACTCTGGAATGTACAAAGTTGGTTCTCAACAGGTTCCGGCCAGAAACAAATGAGATTATCTGGGGTATCACAGTGGTGATCATCCTCCTACACTGGCAAAAAATGATACTGGACTTCTTTATCTTGTAGACCATGTAGCTTCTTCAGGTCAGCTTGGTGTCAAGAATAACACCTACGTACTATACCTTTGACAATGCCTATAGTTGCCAGTTGAACAAAGTGGGCAGTAGATACTTAGTACTTACCTAGGGAATGTTTAAAGGTGAACATTACCAGTTGGTTTTAGGATGGGTTAATTGAGAGGTTATATTCAATGCACCATCTCTCCAATAAGCACAGATCTGAGCAAAACACCTGAGTAAGGCATTCATTTGAGGCACACAACTGACGTGGGAAGGCTGGCCCAGTCGAAATTGGTGCTAAATGGAGTCTCATCATGTTTAACATACAGACTGCTTAGTCTCCACAGTCAACATATCTGAATAGTTGTAGGAATCAATATGGGACACCTGGCCCTGAATTAACAGCTATTTACTATCAATGCGACAGATATCTCCATGCAGAATATACAAAATTGACCCAGAAGCCTGCAAATGACTCTGAAAGCATCTGTGGGCGGAGCTAGGATACCAATCTTTATCTTAAGGCTGTTCAACTTAACCATCATGTATAGACATAATAAATCTAAATGCGCAAGTAGAGGCCCCACCAATAGCAATAGTAGTGCTCACATTTTGAAAACTGTAAATCTTAGTCTCATTAATATAATAGGGTAAATAAATGAGAAAATTAAGGTTATACTGGGGGAAAAGGTAAATAAGAAGAGCAATGGCTTAGATATATTTTGTTATTGTAATACGTAAATTACAGTGATAGTAACTTCAAAAATCAAAGAGAGGATCATCTGACCAGGTGAGATGATCATGTCTGGTGGGCTACAAGCCAATGGTTGAGTGTATTGTAAACTATACCACTGAACCACACCACTCGGGTGTTGTAAACATTTTTTCCTCCGTAACGACCACCACAATGAAGTTGTAAAACAAAACATCCATTTATCTATATCAATTATTTTTCATTTGTAAGACCATGACCATTTAAAAAAGCTTTTTCCAAAAGTTTCTAGAATGTTAAACAAGATATGGAAAAAAAAATGAATAGTAATTGTATAATTATCAGATCAAGTCTTATAAACTAATTTAGTTGTTTTTTGTTGTAATGGATACAATTCTAATGTTTTACTAATCCCTGTGACTTGACCAATTCCAACATTATCATTATTAATTATTTTAATTAATGATTAAAAATTAACATGCAGCAAAATGGTTATTTCACACTATACATCGCTAGTCAGCAGTGCTGTTGTTAACAGAAAAAAATGTAAACAATACCCCAGTGGTTTAATGGTATTGTTTACAATACATGACTTGATGTTGAGAAGATGTACATTACAACTTTATAAATTATATATTTGTTTGATTTCAGGAGATAATTGGGCTGGGCTATAGTACCGAATCCATTGTTATAACAGTTGGTGGTTATGGTAATATAGTGAAATGGGACTTGAGTTCCAATGTCTGTAAGACATTCCAAAAATTTCTATCTAAATTCAAACCAACCTCAATGTCTTGTTCACCACATATAGCATTGAATGTAGCAGTTGGAACTAAACAAGGTGTCATCTTTGTACTGGACTTAACAGGTAACATCCTATATTCTGACTTCTTTTGCTTTTAAATAAACTTTCCATTATTTTTTATTTGATTCTTAAGGGATAACAAATAAATATATTAGTCAGGGGACAAAATAAATCATTTATTATTTGTTTACTTTTGCTACAGCAATTTATATTAGTAATAGATATAAAGTTTGATTTGAAATGGAGCACGTTTCAGATGTTTGATGTTAGTATGAAATGCAATGAAATTTTAATTTGTAGAACTGTTTTCTGGTCTATGTTGTTGGTCTTTGTGGTCTTCGTAGACGTGCGCTCTGGCCGTGGCCATGCCTCGGTCTATTCCTGTGCCACTGGTGCTATATGTACTGGTACTAGTATGTGGTGAATATACTGTTACGTGTTAGGGTTCGTTGATTCAGAATAATAAGCCTTCTGACGACTAAAAAGACTTAATTATCACTACTCTTAAAAACGTTCACACAATACTCAAGAATAGTCTGGAACACGGAGCAAATACAAAGAGGTGTTGTAATTAGATTTTCCTATGAAACAATGCTTGATAATTTGCGGGGGAGGGGGTGTTAAGCTCCGTCCACTTCACTGTTTTCCGTCTACCAAATAATACCAAAACTACTTGCATCGGTCTATGTCGATGTTGCTATTTAATTGAGCTAGCTAAGTGTAGGATGTATGACTTAGAATTTTCGTGCCAGTGAGTTTTTTTTTTAATAATTTTCTGTACCATGTTGTTATTTACATCTTTTGCAAAAGTCTTAGTCATATTATAACCGTACTAACCTCCCTAATATTATAAAAGCGTTAGTATATGTATTCTTTTTTTCTCGTTGACTTATCCCTCACCATGTACTGTGTATGTGTCATTTTTCACGCTAAAACGGAGGACGGATTTGGATAAAATGTGGTATATAGATAGATTATTACCTGGACTTATAAGAGGCTGGGCATTATAGTGTGAGAATAATAACGTTTGTGGTAAATTACGAATAACGATTAAAATTTGTTCTTTTTTTATCTGTATTTATGTGTACGGCTTATCTTTTTGTCCTAAATTTTGTATTTTATCGTGTTAAAATAATTCGAATAGACGTTTTGTTGCTATGAATTGCATCGCATTTCATTTGTAAATAAATTTATTTAAATAAATTTATTTGTAAATCTTATATATAAAATTCTCGTGTCACAATGTTCGTTCCCGTACTCCTCCGAAACGGCTTGACCGATTCTCATGAAATTTTGTGTGCACATCGGGTAGGTCTGAGAATCGGCTAACATCTATTTTTCATACCCCTAAATGGTAAGGGTGACCCATCCCTAATTTTTTTTGTTTTGCAATACAACGTTTGCCGGGTCAGCTAGTAATTTATTAAAATAGTTCTGGAAAAATCTCAGTGTTTTTTGAAATATAGTTACTTCTATTCGTTACTATAATTAATTAATTTAATTTTACTATAATTATTTAATTAATTTTAATCCAATAAAGTACTTCTAATATATTATTAAAATTAAGGAAATTGTACTTAGGTAGATTTTGATGAAATTTTTAAATTATTAGTGTGATTCTTATTGCAAAAAAAAACAATCAATAAAATATGAATATTTTGTTTTTGTGGACAAGTCGTACACACATTATCTCTTTGTCCTATTGTCATCCACTACGGAGATAAAGAGTGTTATGATTTTCACCCATAGTTAAGTATTTAATATCCTCACCCCGCAAATTGTCAAATCGAAACAAAACAAAAACAATTTGTGGATTGTATTGTAATACTCAGTGCATTAGGAAGCGGCGAAGTGACCGCTTAACCCATTACGTCATCCGTGCAGTCAAATTGAAACGTTCATACGAGTTTCGGTTCACGGAATTCTGAGCAGACGTCTCCAACACCACGTTTGCAGGACGTCAACGTTGTATGCTCAGTGCCCACGTCCTAGCTCTATATAGGAAGGTCGAAAGAAAAGATGAACCTTTGTGTTTCTAGCTATCCTACGGTCTTAACAAATCTTAATGGGTTTCTCCACTGATAATCTAGCCATAGCACAACGTTATAAATTATATACATGCAAAATCAATTGTTGGTGATAGTGGAGTCCAGATATTTGTAGCTCTTGACTGCTTCGCGACCCGCTGTAATATGGACGTCCGGTTGGTAATTGTCAACACGATCGATTTTGATTTTATCACAATTGATTTGCAAGTCCAAATTCCAAAGATGTGGTCTCTAGTCGATATAGAAGCAATTTGTTACTCTCCTTTTATATACTCTCTGGTCGACGTTAGGAGTGTAATATGGTCGGTATATCTCAATTAGTTATATTTTCCAAAGAAGTATCTGCATTATGTTGTTATAGTATTTCCAATAAATAATGAAACGGTATATATTAGTAACTGACATTTATAGTTTCGAAAGCTCAAATATGAATTAGTATCTCAGTACTTAGAATGGAAATGAAAGATTAGAATAAAATGAATATGTGTGGTAATCAAATTATTTCAGGTGAGGGAGAGATAGTATACAAGGTGCGAAGTCAAGATGACGAAATTACTAACTTGAGCTGGTGTCCACAGTATGATGTACAAGTTAAAAAAACTCTTGATGCATTTGAAAGGTCATCTGCTGCATCCAGATTGGAAGAAGTAAAAGATAAAACAAATACTCTTGCCATGAATCAATCTGGTGTAATAAAGCAACTTCCACAAGACAGTTTTGACGGGTCTATTGTACAAGAAGATGACACGTTTGATATTTATAAAGATCATGAAGCTAATGAATTTGGTCACAAAAAATACGAACCAGAAAATATTGTAGTTAAAATTAAAGACGCGAAACCTGAAGAAATAAATTTCTTAGAAGAGTGTTTGAAGTTGAAAGAAGATATATTGAGAAGACAGAGAGAAGGAGACCCTTCATTACAATATTTAGTGGAAACAATGGATAAAGCACATGTTGCTAATTCAAGTACTGTGGAAAATTCAACATCATCTAAAGCAAATGCTAGCGGAAGTGGAACACTGAAAAATAAGAAAAAAGGTTTTGAATCGGGTGTACAAATATACAAGCATCTTTTAGCTACTATTGGAAGACTAGGGTAAGATAATATGTTAGAAATTAGCTTTTGCCCTACAGATTCGCTCACGTAAATGTCAATTTTGTCAATCAATTTGGCCGGGATAAATAGTACGCTTTGTGCTATTTTTCATTACAATCTGTCTATGTGCCAAATCTCTTCCAGATCCAGAAAGCCGTTTTGGCGTGATTGAGTAACAAACATACGTTTTAATAAGTAAAAAATTAGGTGTCTAAATATTATTTTTTCATAGAGAAAATAATATTGAGGGTTTGGATTCCATAACTTAAAAAAAAATGTACTCCATACAAACTTGCGCCCCTTTTTAAAGGTAGTTTTGAAAAATAAGTAACAACGATTTTTATTACTTTAATACAAAAATATTTATTTTGAGTTTGAAAATGCTACTACCAAAAATAAAGAAGTTTCAAATTAGTTTCCAACTCTTATTTTGTAACCTTAGGGGTGGCATTTTTAAAAATCCTTTGTTAGTGCACACCTACTTCACCTAAAGAACATTATGCAAAATTCATGCTTCTAGACCTGGCAGTTCAGGTTCGGAATCAGACTGTCAGTTTCTTCTTTTATAGATTGTTGAAAAACTACCACTAACACATCTTCAGAATTTCCTGCCCACTAAAACAAAAACCTAGAGGATTTGTTTTAGTGGAAATAATAAGGGACTGCATCAGAGCATGCAGTTCCTTATTATTCCTATAATCGACTATGGTGATGTGTGTTGCTTTGACCTGAATGCAAACCTCCTCAATAAGTGCATTCGATACATATTCCATCTTCGCAAGTATGACCATGTGTCTGCTTTACGCTCCCAATTAAGATGGTTACCTGTTTGCTATAATCGTTTCGCATTTAAAAGAATGTTCATAATTACCTTTTCGACGAGATGGCGAAAGTACCTTAACCAATAGTACATCTTCTTAAATTCAAGTAATCACAGTGAGCAAACCATAAAGAATATGTATTTATATATATATTTGTGTGTAATTATATTCATATTATATTATAATTTATATACGCAATTGTATATTTGTAAATTTTGCTTAGTTTTATATAAAAATATATATATTTATAATCAGTGATTATAATTGTAACCTCAGTGCACCTACCCTACAAGTTTTCTAGACCATCTAAAGGATGGCTAGTAGAGAATGCCTCGGGCATTAAGTACGCCGATGTACATAAGTACATGAAGATGTAAAATAAAATAAAAATAAATCAATAAAAACTAGTGTATACAGGTCCACATTCATATCTTTTTATCCAGTTTCATGTTCTGTCACCACCTTCTCTGTTGGAATTTTTGAACTAATTCCAGTCTATATATGTGTATAAAGCGTATTTTTTACTTCTATAGTTATAATGATCAGCTAGATACTGCCTTCTGTCGCGCATTAATAAATTATTATTTTCTTATAGTTAAGTATTGAATAGTATAAGTAATTGTTCTCTAAAATTTATTGAAACTTGTATTTCAATAAATTTTAGAGAACAATTAATACCTTGCCAAGTTCAGAATTTGGTGTTGCTTTTAATAATTTTTATTCAAACCGATTAGAGTAATCATGAACATCATGTAAAAAAAATATTTATGGATCCAGAAAACCAGAATGATTAAAGTAAATATTGACTGTTTTTTTGTTATATTGAGTGGCGATGCATGTTTAAACCTAAATTGAAATAAATAATTTTTTTTCAGGAGTGTAAGGATATGGTCCAAATCCGGCAGAATGGTGGCATCCTGTGCCATACCACATAGTAATAAAGGCTCTCGAACCAAATCAATAAGCTGGCCCACATTGCTGTGGGCCACGCCCAGCTCATTGTTGCTGGTCGACGGGAAGAGTCAGTTGTTAGAGTGCAACCCATTGAAGATTGATTGGTATTACTATTTTTAATTTGTATTGTATGTTTAATTCGGGACGATAGCCAGTTAACAGAATATTGACTTAATCCCCCTTTAGCTATTTATGTTTCTGATGAAGCCCTGATTATTGTGATACTGAATGTTGTCTATCATTTGTTTACTTTATTTATAGTTTTACTGATCTACTAATATCTACAATTCATAATAAGAATAAAATCTCTTAAAATAATGCAAGCATTTTTAAGGCCTAAGACATCTTTAAACTTGTACGTTATTTTATTAAACGGATTAATTTGCACTCTACTGCACGGATGGCGTTGTGGTTTAGGCGGTCGCCAAGCTGCTTCCTACTACTCTGAGTGTTGTGGGTTCGATTCTCACATGGGACGACACTTTGTGCGGTCCACAAATTGTTGTTCTGGGTCTAGAGCCCGTATTTTAAAAGACGTCTCAAGTATCGGTTGAACTCTGATTGCCTGAAACTAGTTTTAAACTTAAAGTGTAGATCAAAACTTAAGTATTGATCTTATTATAGAACGCGTTTTAAGTTTTACTCAGTTGAAACTAGTTTAAAGTATTGATTTGAACTTGCAGTCTGTTTTCAATCACGTTTCCGCATGATTGATATTATTATTCCGACATTAGTATTACGCAGCTTATTATTTAAAAAATAATTTTCTTTTATAAACATAATTTCTGTGAATTTGTATAGGATTGGCTAGTGTAGCAATGTTAACATATTAACAAGCTTGTTGTTCGTCCAAAATTAAATTTAATAAATATTGAAATAAAAATGACTAGATATAGGCTATAACGGTACGTTCGAGTTATTTATCAACACTTGTCATGTTTTTATTTTAACATTTCTAAAATTTATATTACCAGAATAATAATATACTTTTAACATAAACCAAAAGGTTGTGGTGATTTTTATTTAAACAAGTATTGTTATAAGATGTGAATTTCAGTTAATTACATATCAATTAAGGTGATTTGATTATAGTATGACAAGTAATTCTTTCTTAAATAAAGTAAATCTTTCGTAATTACAAACTATCGTAAAACACATTCATTTCCCCAAAAATGCCCTAGAAATCACAGGTTAAGACTAGTTTCGGCTTGTCTCACGTAAACAAAGATCACAGCTGTCTATCTAAACCTGAGTAATTAAAATTAATTTCGACGTAAACATCGTTCTAAAATAAGGTATCACTCACATGAGTATGGCTTGGTGAAACTCGTTTTAAGTGACGTTCAATAATAAAATCTCTACTTAAAATTAGTTTTAAGACTAGACTCACGACTGAGACACCTTTTAAAAATACAGGCCTAAGTGTTCTTTGTGTCCGTTTCATATATGTTCAAAGGAACTACTTGCCTCCAACATGTGTTTATAAAGCTTTATAGTGTTATAAAGCTTGATGATAACCATACTAAGTGTATATAAATTAAATATTAGATTGCTCAGAGTAGAAAAAAAAAAATTCCTGGTATGTAAGTTGAGATACGAGGGCTGCTATTTATGTATCCGGAATAATAAAGTGAAACAAACACATAGCACTTATTATAGTTTTATTGCTTTTCAAAATATTCGCCGTGATGATCGAGCCACTTTTACGTTGGAACCAAGTTTCGTAGCACTTTTTCCATTCTGATTGTGGTATCTCCAAAACGTGCATTTAAACGTGCGTCCTTATTTTGAGTAACATGCACTTATGGAACAACCGTAGCAAAATGTATATCACTCTGAAAGCATTAACCTGACGTCTTACTTTACAGTTATAATAAATTGGAATGTCGTATGCTTCACGCAGAGCACAAACGAGGCTTATACGCTCTCGCGACTGACGCTCCGCGGGTGCAAAAAGTCTACGATTGCCCAGAGTATCTCGATTTTTATAAATTACAAGACTGGTCAATCTATAGCGTTTCACAAGATAGAAATATTGTCAAATTTTCGATGTATAAAAAGAAGACGGTGGCCATTTATAACACCTGCGGCGGATATGTGTATAACGTGCAGTTTTGTCCATATGATGCAGGGAGGTAAGTCTTTGAACAATATAACACCTAAGATATTTAGTGGAACACTGTTTACCATTATGAGTTAAGTACCCATTACTATGCAATTGCATTGTCAATAAAACAACGGTACCATGTTAAGTTTGAAAGTGTATAATGGTACGTTAACACGCTTGGCAAGTCTCGACAGGTGTCCACAAAACTGTAAACAGGGTGTTTGGCTTGCGTGAGCTTGTCACCGATCCAGGCCAGTGTGGGTTTTTGAACACAGATTAAAAGAAGCTATGTTTACATGTTGGCGCCTGTTTAGTGTCTGTTTATATTTTCAATAAACATATGTCAAGCCAAACGCAATAGCTGATACAACTTCAACGCTTGCTAGGTTTGCCTCTTTGGCACGCGAGAATTTAAATGGCATCCAAACGTTTGTAAAGGCTTGGAGCTTCTGTACATTTGCCAAGCTTCGACAAGCGTGTAAACTAGGCATAAACTTGAAAATTAATAACTTTATTTAATAATAATAACAACTTTACAAGCCTTACACTGGTTGCAAACAATCAGGATCTCTAATTACTAGACCTACCACAAAATTCATGATGATTTTTAGTATTTACCGGCGATCCGCCCCGTAGATACTACTAATGTGGTGTCAGTATGGAGGAGGAGGAGGAGGAGGAAGACTCGACGGTCGTTGGGGTTCTCATTTTAAACCTCTAATATCTTCTGAAATATTTTTATTTTAATGATATGCTGTAAATAGTAATTTCAAGTTGCATTAAATGCTCAACGTATCTAACATAATTGGATAAGGCATAATAATGTATTGTTTTAAATAGCTTCGTAAATAGCCTATTATTTTTTTGTAATATTTAAAAGATAAAAATGATTACTGTGGGTTATCCTTAGAAGATAGTCATATACCATCCCGGTTTTTGTTTTGTAAATCTTTTTAAGATATATACTTGCGTAGTACATTATTTTGGTCTATTTTGTAAGATTTAGCCAGCATTTGCAATGTAAGCACACAAAAACATGTTTTTTACAACAAATCTTTGAAATTCTCAGATTTTCTCTTCTATAAATTGCATGTATTATACATATATAGGATCCTCTTGAATCACTCTCTCTCTCTATTGGTGTAAACCACATTATAAGCCGTTGCTTAGTTTAATAGATCTAAGCGTACAACACAAAAAGTGACTTTATTTTATACTATGTAAAGAAGTAATTTAAGCATAATTAATTTATGTAATCTTTACTTACACTGAGCGATGGTCTTCTGCTGCAGAATGGCAGTAGGCGTAGGCGACGGAGCAATTCGCGTGTGGCAATCTTCAACAATATTGGAAGACGAAAAGATGTACCCAGGCCTATTACGGTCGCATTGGCAAAAAGTTCAGGGCAAGGTGTTGTCAATAGCCTGGCATCCTACCAAGGAGAATTTGCTTGCGTTTGGCACGGCCGAGTCTAGGGTAAGATAATCTGAGTGGTTATAAATATTTTGGGATTGTTGTTTATTTAATAAATAGTTGAATGAGCATGACAACATCACATTTAAAATTATTGTTTTTAAATATACCTCTCTCATAAAGAAATACATATTAACATACAATATTTCAAGTGCATATTTTTAAACAATAAAAATATTATATTTGATACATCTCATACACGATCGTCTGATCCAAGATTAGACAGAGCCACAATGGTAACCACACTGCTGATAAACGTACTTAAATATTTCTAAATACACACATGTTACAGATAAGCACTCACACACAGATCAAATAATCGTTCACATCATACAATTTTTGTTCTGGATGTAAATCAAATTCACGATCTCAGACTTAGCAGTCAAGATCACTAACCACTAGAAAATTTGATTTTGATTATATCTTCTCCAATATATAAAATTCTCGTGTCACGGTGTGCGTGGTTGAACTCCTCCGAAACGGCTCGACCGATTGTCGTGAAATTTTGTGTGCATATCTGGTAGGTCTGAGAATCGGCCAACATCTATTTTTTATAACTCTAATTTTTTTTTTACAAATATTTTTGAAATAATGTAGGTATATGGCAAAACAACGTTTGCCGGGTGAGCTAGTTGATATTATATTTTAACACCCATTTCATGACAAAACCGGCCATATTAGAAATATCCATATAAATTCGTCGGCATATGTATTTTTATAAATGGAACCCGATTCTGCTGTATTTAGCAACTAAACTTAAGGTTTTGATTCATCACGCGAAGGTAGCTCTTAGACAGGATTATATATTACGCGCCGTCAGGTACACTCGCAAGCCAACGTACTGAGCACACAAATACATTTTAAACTGTTTGCGTGCATTATTAAGCTACAACAAACAAGTAGGTAATACTAAAATTCAACTTATCTTTATTCAGAATTCTATAATGTACATCTATTTCCGAAAGGTTGACGTGAATATTTCAAATACTAAAGAGGCAAACAAGTAAAATATATTATTATAACACTTTTTCGACTGCCTTGGTGGTGCTGTGGTAACGTATGCGACTGCTGTGCTTAGGTCTCGGGTTCGATTCCCGGGTAGGACAAGATATTTGTATCATCATCATTATCATCAACAGCCTTTAGTAGTCCACTGCTGGACATGGGCCTCTCCTTAGAAAGGAGGTTTTGGCCTACTATACTACGCTGGCCAGACGGGTTGGTATAGGGTTTGTTTCAAGTTTTCCTTCTCTCTGCAGTGCTGTTGTCCTGCTTAGTTTGCTTCCTTAGTCGCCTCTTACGACACCCACGGGATGTGGGGTGACACTGTATTCTAAAAACTCCGAAACAAATATTTGTATTATCTGCAAATATTTGTTTCGGAGTTGAGGCGTTTTCTATCTATAGGTACAAATAAATAAAATTGATTAGAGCAAATTCACATTTTTCTCCTTCATAGCACGGACAATCTGATAGTTCAACTTATGCTGGAAACTACTGAAAATTTTAAAATTTAATGGATTAATCAATTAAATTTAAATTGACCACCACCTCTAATATAATCAAATTGTACGGTTGTCAGTTTCAAGTTGATTGTTTTACATTAAAGTAAAACAATATTTTTTAATAGTTTGAATTTCAAACCACCCAAGTTGAGTTACAAGTGTAATTAATATAATTTAATAAAATAATTTTTCCATACTGTAGGTGGGTCTTCTAGATACAAGCGGCACAATTGAGAAACCCGCCCGAGTATTGCACCCGTCGCTGAACGGTGGAGTGTACTCGCTGTGCTGGGGCAGCGACATGCAGCTGTTTGCCGTCGGCGGCGACCGACTCGTCATGTACAATGCTCTCAACCCTGACGCGAGTTCGTTCATTGCATTACTAGCCGTTCTGCTCTTATTCTAAGGGCGAACTTTTTGGAGGTTACTCTAAGAATCCATATAAGGCGTCCGGTATAAAAAATATGAAGAGTAAAATTTAGTGATCGAATGACCTCACGTTTTTAGTGCGCAACCGATCGTGCGCACCTTTCACATGTGTGTGTATAACTTGTATACTGGTGTGCAGCCGAATCGTTCTTTAGAAGTAAACTCCAGTCGTCGTCGGAGCTGCCACACCCATTTTTTTTAAAGTAGACTATTAAATGTAAAAATAAGTTTTCAAATCTTACTTGTGATTTTAAAGATTAGGGGGTTTTTTAACGATAATGAAGCAGATTTTTGACTCATTCGATAGCGATACCGAACTAGGCGCTCCTCTCGTAGAACGTACCGATCGTTATGACATTGTGACGTGTTCGCTCGGGCAGGTCCGCGGCACGTGGAGGTGGTGGCGGACGGACAGGCGCTGGCGGTGGGGTCGGTGACGTGGGCGCCGCGCGGCCTGCTGTGCGGCTCGCACAAGGGCGCCGTGGCGCTGCTGCACCCCTCGCTGTTCCACACGCTCGCCCTGGCCTACGTCTACAGGTCCGTGCCCGCTTATCTCACTAACATCGTTATGTCTAAGGGCAAACTTCCTCAGAGTCGAGGGTCGGCTTTAAGTCTGCCGACTGCCATCAGACTCACATCCAAGTACTGCTGATCTAGAAAATGGCAAAATTATAATATTCATACGTTTACTTTACAGTAAAATGGTCTACATGATGGAATGGCATCCTCTACAGATATCCAACTCTAACAACGAATCAACGTACAAGAATCTTATTGCAGTGTGTTCTTCAGACAAAAATGGCAAGATCACAATATTGAAAGTAGAGGACGACGAAGGTTATTTACAGTTTATTCATTTTTAGAAACAGTGCTTTTTCTCATTCTTTTTTTCTTCTTACCCAAGAGTAATTGCTTTTAACGAGTGATTCGTCTTTTTTTGTACAAGAAGCGCTGTTGAACAATATGCAATAAACCTCACCTTATTAAAATTTGCTAACAATATAAGTTCGTAAGTAAATAATAGACCTTACACTTTATTGTCATTTAGATGGCGGTAAAAAACTAGCTGTTTGGAAAATATTGAACGGACACAAGCTGTCCGTGTTACAATTAGTGTGGAGTCCACACCGGGACGAACTGCTCCTGTCCACATCGTCAGATACCACTGTCAGGGTAAGGAGCGATTTCTTTTTATTGAAATATTCATTTAAACTTTTTATTCTGAGTCGGAACACGATCGTGGTTTGATTTTCAGGTGAATCTTAGATTGCCTTTCATAATACACGTCAACAATTAACAGCCATCTCTATATTTTAAAATGTTAAGTCGGTAAAAAGTTCTCCACCGATCGAGCTCAAATTTTGACACGACATACATAACGCTTTTACCGTTTTTATCTTTTTTCGCTTAAATCGTTTGTCGTTTCTCATCGATGCGGCCGCAATGTGCCACAGCGAAGGGTGGCAGGGTACAGCTTATCGTACATAAATAATTAGCTCTAAGCGAGTATATCGTAATGGTCAAATGGTCGTGTGCAGGTGTGGGACGTGGTGGCGGGCGCGTGCATCTCCGTGTTCGCGAAGCACGGCGTGCACACGCTGGGCGCGGCGTGGCTGGCTCTGCCGCGCCTGCAGCACTGCGTGGTGTCGGGCGCCGGCGACTACTGCCTGCGCCTCTGGGACTACCGCCGCCACGCGCCGCAAGACCTCGAGCGTACGTACGCACCGACACTTACATCCATTATATTAAAACGAACCCAAAATATAACCATCTAATCTTGTTCAAATACTCTAACACTATTAAACACGCGTGTTCATCTACCCCGCTCTCCGACCCAGTAAATTAGCTACGACCTTTATGATAAACCATTTTTTGTTAAAATGTAAAATATACCTCGTCGTCCCTTTTGGCGAAATACTGTTTTTTAATTGTTTCTTATTCGACGTTCTAGTGCTATATTTTTTTTTTATTTATTCATGGCACAAGGTGGTTTAGGCAAAACCACAGGTGGTTTATGTATCACTGCCATCACTCGCTTTGTATGTAGTACATTGCAGATGATTATTATTATTATAATTTTTCATTTTATATATACACACATACACACACACATACATATATATTTATATATACATATACATACATACATACACATACACACACACACACACACACACAAATACGTGTATATGCAGTCTGTAATAGTTTCACCTCATTCCTCTGTAAGGTAAACTTTTTTGAGAAGCGTTTTACATTTCCGCGGATTCTCCGAGAGTTTATCCACAATGTTGTTCTTTAGTTCGTTAAGTAGTTGTGGTACAACATATTGCCAACGACGCTTGCCATACATGTTGTTGTAAGATGGTAGTACATACCTTGGTAAATATGGCAAGCTACGTAGGTTATTTAATAAACGTAATGTAACGTTGTTTACAGAAGTAACGCACGAAACGTCTACAAAACATAAGAAAATCGAAAAGAAAGAGAAGAAGCCGCAACAGGAAGAAGCACAAAAAACTGATCTCGATCAACAGGTCGCAACCGAACTGGACACCGTACGAAAAGTGTCCAAAAAGTATCTTCTACCTCTTATTCATAAACAGATGAATCCGTGTGGATTAGACGCTGTCAAAAAAGTTTATGGAATGTTTGTCGATAGTGAAACGACACCCGAGAATAATGATGGATCAGATTTTGTAAACATATTCGGTAGTGTCAAGCAAATCAACGAAGTATTGGATAAGGAGAGTGAGTATTCTTCATCCTATGGTTACGATGGCCTATTTATGACTTAAGTTTTATCCAAACCCACTTAACGCAAATGGTATTCGGCACATACATTTATTTTCACATTATCAAATAACAAATTCGAGGACTACAAATTGTTAGACCTCGCTTACGTCTTTAAAGGAAGAGTATTTCTCGAATAGAAGAGAACATAAAAATAGATACGGTACAGTACGCGCAATAAAGCTTTGCACCAATGAAGTTCCCGCGTGTAGCGCCACAAAACACAAGTTTAGGTATCAGAGGGGTACGTCCTGCGCATCTCAAGGGGCGGGGCCACGTGGCCGCTGACGCGTCTGCAAGGCCAGTCGCTGTAACGCATTAAATAATTTCACTGCTTTGCTCTCACGTACTGTTATGAACATCATATTTATAGTTTCTGATAATATTGTTATTTGTTTTATTTGTGTTTATTATCTGTTTTATTTGCGTTTGTTATTGTTGTTGTAGGCAGGCCAGAAAAATAGTTTTTAATGCAGGTACTGTATGTATACCTAACTATTTAATAGCAGAATAACTACAGGGAGTTAAAAAGCAGCCTATGTTACTCACTGATAATGTAGCTTTCCATTGGAGATATAATTTTTTAAATTGGTTTAGTGGTTTAGGCGTGAAGGCGTAACATACAAATGCACTTTCACATTTATAATATATGTATGAATGTGCTCGTAAAACTAGTCCGGACCTGTTACCGAGCGTCATATGTGTTTTACTTGTATGCCACTTTAGTATTTAAAACATTCATGTTAACCTTCCGGAAAGAGCTATACGTATACATTATACAATTCTGAATTAAATAAATTGAATTTTATTACTACCTACTTGTTTGTAGCCCAATAGCAAACCGTATATAACATGTATTTGTATGCTCAGTACGTTTGTGTGCGAGTGTACCTGTGCAACATTCGGTTTGCAGCCAACTTCGTTGTCGCAGAGCTATTTGGCGCGTACTATAAAGATGTGTTATCATGAATATTGTTCAAGACAAGACGAACAGACTACCCGAGACGACGTACAGATCGTAATTTGCCGATGGATGCAGTCTCCTTTTCAACTGATCTTCTTGGAAGTCATTGAGAGAGGCCTATGCCCACTGCTAGAGTGGACGTCCTATGTCATGATGATGATCAATATTTTATTTTTTTAGTGGCATATTTGTTGGAAGCTGATTTATTAGAAGCGTGGATAACGCTGTCGATCTTCCGCGGACACATACACTCAACAATGGAGTTTGCGAGCCAACGGGACATGCTCTGTCCATACTTAGTTAATATGGCGCCTTGTGTTTCATTCAAGTAAGTTATGAACGAGCTATTTTTTATAGGTATTAGGGAAATTTAAAACTATTATCATAAACAAATCTAAAAACCACGTCATGTTGCAAAAAGCATTGTAAAGATATACAGGGAGGGGGGTCAAAAAATGCTCTGAATTTACTACAGCTGATCGTTTGACCATTGGTTATTTATTTATTTCATTTTATTGGTTTTCACCCGTGGGTGTCGTAAGAGCCGTCTAAGGGAGCAAACTAAGCAGGACAACAGCACTGCAAAGAGAAGGAAAACTTGAAACAAACCCTATACCAACCCGTCAAATCTAATGAAAACCACGCATCTCATAGCACAGCAAAGCCATAGATGGCATTAGTAGCCATTAATTGTATTTTTGCTGAGCTGACTGGCCGGCTCTGTTCTCACATTTAACTGACTGACTCACATAATTGTTATTTAAATCAATTAAATACCAAAATTCATTTATTCATTTAAATGCCACGTTAATCATAACACGTTTGATAGCACATATGTGACGCCTGTTTTAGAGTTCGCTTGACTGACCGCAGTATGTGTGAACACAACTACTGTGAAACGATCAGCTGTAGTAAATTCAGAGCATTTTTTTGACCTAGCTCTTAATCTAATACATCTCTTTGTTCATTTAGTTGAATTAGTGACACTTTGAGGTGACAGACAGTCCGGCCCGTCACCTCAAAGTGACATATATATAGATATATAAATCAAAGATAAAGAGAGATAAGAGATACACAATAGCTTTAAATATCAAGTAAGAAGCCAATTGTTGTTATTGAATATACAATCGAGCTCCAGAAATATTATATAGCAGCAGCAGTTAACAATTTTACTTATTTTGCATTTGTTTGTATTTTTATATATTACTAGCTTTTGCCCGGGGCTCGGCCCGCGTAAATGTCGGTTATCGCGGTAAAAGCTTATGCCTTTGCCCAAGAATCAAAGTATCTTTATACCAAATTTCATCTAAATCGGTTCAGCGGTAATTGACTCTCCATATAAAATTCCACCCTCCTTTTCACCCCCTTAGAGGATGTTTTCTGGGATAAAAACTGCCCTATGTTCTTTCCCGGGACTCGTACAATCTCTTTACCAAATTTCATTTAAATCAGTTTAGCGGTTTAAGCGTGAAGAGATAGCAGACAGACAGACACACTTTCGTATTTATAACATGATCATGAACAGTATGGATAGGGATGTGAACAACATACGATTACATCGTAATTGTTACAAATTAAAATAATTACATGTACTTGCGAATAATCAAACGAACAATATATTGCGCATATTGTCTTTCTAAACAAAAATAAATGTATATGGATTACAAGAAGTTATATTTGCTCAGAAAACATTTGATTTTAAATACGCGTCATGAGAATGATTATTAATTGCTTGACAAGATTATTTGGCATTTGTTTAATACATTAGTCATTTAGTTAAGCCCTATAAAAAGATTTACGCTTGATATTCAGTAAGGAATTCAAAATTTCAGATATTGGACAGAGGTGACACAGTTATACATTGCACAAATAGACCGTTTGATCGCTAAAGGACAAGATGAAAAATTAACTGGTAAGTGTTTTTCTATCAATGATTTTTATTACTTACTAGCGGACCCGGCAAACGTTGTATTGCAAAACAAAAAAAAATTAGGGATGGGTCACCCTTATCATTTAGGGGTATGAAAAATAGATGTTGGCCGATTCTCAGACCTACCCGATGTGCACACAAAATTTCATGAGAATCGGTCAAGCCGTTTCGGAGGAGTACGGGAACGAACATTGTGACACGAGAATTTTATATATAAGATGTATTGTAACATAACTTTTACCGATACGTCTTTTACGTTGAAAGCAGCACGCCTCTGGAATTCGTTACCGGAAGCTGTAAGGCAGGCAAAGTCAGTAGGTACTTTTAAAGAACTCGTTAAGGATCACTATTTATCTCTGTAATAACTATGTGCTATATTGGTATGTTTATGTATGTATTCATATTTATATATGAATGTGAGTGTATGAATGTATATTCGTGTATGTGTAATTATGTATGTTTATATACGGAAGTTGTAAATGCGCACCACAAGCTACATATTACTATATAATATAGTCCATCTAAAGGTTGCCTGGACGAGATCGCAGACTGCGATAAGGCCGCCCATTGTATCGCTGTTTTTTTTGTATGTATCATCGTATTTATCCTAATAATGAGTGATAATAAAGAGTACCTATTTATCTATTGTAGGATAGTAGTCACATATATTGTAAGTATCTGCAACACTAAACCACTAATATCCCTACTTAGCACTACACTATCTTAGCATCAGTCGACGCCAAATATGTATATTATACAAGCCACTTATACCTATACATTTTTTCTCTCGCTTTGTTTTTATAAACTTTTTAGCTTCAATCAAATAAACTATACATGCACGATCACAGTTCCAAAAACGGCGCCAACTGAACTCGTATAGCGCGATCTCGCTCACACCACTACGTTAGAACAAGACCCACACTTAAAGATATGGAGTCGTCATTACTGTTTTGAAATATGTGTTACTAATATCCTTTCTAATCATTTATTAGTAAGAAATTAAATAATTGTATTGTATAGGTTATAATGTTGATATCGGTTTAGGGGAAAGTGATAAAGTGATAACGATCCCATTGCCTACCAAGTGTAAACAGAGCGGTAAAAAGCTTATCACAAAAAATGAAATAACAGATAACACGGTTCAATATACGTCGGTTAAAATAAAATGGTAGGAAATTACAGAAATGCTAATTTAGAAAAAAATAAATACAATAAAATAATTGCCGAAACACAATACCATTGTTAAAATGAGTCACTGAACTGTAGACGAAAGTGTCGGCAACATCAAGGCGACGCCGCCGCTGCGACGAGCCGGCGAACTTTACATTCTTATTACCTACTAACCACTTCACTTGTTTTTAAAAATCAATTTATTAAAAATACGATTTTGTTCGTGTTTATTTCGGGAATGTTCGACTAGCTTCGGACCAGGCAGTACGTGTCACTCCTTGAAAAAGTAGGTACTTTTGTTGTCTCGTAATCTTTGTACCGCCCTTACAAAAATTCGGCAGTCTGTAAGTACACGATTGACTCCATACCTGTCCGTAAAGCTAAAGATGCGTTTTGATAGAGTTCCCCTTAATTTAACATTATGTCAGGATATTAAGCGACCGTGAAGGTCACTCACGGCATTATGGATGTTGATACCGATAACCCAATTAAATTAAGACTGATATTTCACTCAGTTTCACACTACACTGCACACACTACCTAATATTAACACTTTTCAAAATAAAATTAGTTACAAGGGGCTCGTTAAAACACGAAGTCTTTATTTTACCATTGCCGTGTGTTATGACGAAAGCAATAAGACTAAACAATTATTAACACAACAAAACTTTTCTAAACAAATATCTCACGAACAACAACAATATTATTATTACGATACTTTGTCGTGAGCGGATCCACAAGGACACAGAACAGCATATTATAGCAATATTATTAGGTGGCAGTTACTCTGTGATTTTAATAATTTGCAGTAGGGTTACAAAAATAGGGGTCTGTTGGCACCCTTTGGGTACGGAACTCTAAAAACTAATTATTAAGAAAAATATTTACATTCATAAAAGCTCCACAATCTTCCTATAACCTTAGAGAATGGAATACGTACCAAGTCGGTACGTACCGCGAGGGACGTGACAAATACGCAGTACAATTTGTACATTGACGTTTTTGAGCAATTATTACGATATGTTTCTACTGGAACATTCATTGTATAAACTTATTTATTTTCTTGATAGCATATATATATCATCAAAATATGATGATGTTATAGACAAGTTAACTACTCTGGAAAAACAAAGCAGGAGCAATGAGCTCAAAATAGCGACCCTTGAAAGCAAAATTGAGCAGTTTGAGCGAAATTCACGTGCCACTGCGATCGAGATCAGAAATATCCCCATACAACCCTCAGAAAATAAAATTACCTTGCGTTCAATAGTGAGGAAAGTGAGTGAAGTGATAGAACAGCCGATAACCGTTTCCAACATTCAAGATGTTTACCGCTTAAAAACTAAATCGATAGACAGGAGCAGTATTGTAGTTAACTTCACTACTGCTACACTCAAGGATAAGTTTATTAAACAGTGTAGGAGCTACAACAAGACTGGGAAAGATAACAAATTGAGCACCACTTTACTTCAGTTACCTGGGCCGTCGAAGCCAGTATATATTGATGAATCGCTTACCAGCTTAGGAAGAAGACTAGCGTACCTGGCTAGGCAGTTACTCAAGGAGCAGAATCTTCATAGCACTTGGACCTCTTACGGCAAGATTTTTATAAGGAAGACCCCAGACTCTCAGGCGATGAGGATAGACTGTGAGCAGGATTTTCAAAAACTCATTTCAGTTATTCTCTTCTGTTCTCAGTTATTGTTTTTAAGTTTTCTTGGTTTTTTTGTTTAAGTTAATATTAACGACATCGTACACTACACAACCATCACACAATCACACTACTCATCACTAATCATTTCCCCTACACCTTACACTAGCGCAATACATATTCACAAACACCAAACATATACACATCACTACGTCACACTATTACCACATCGCCTCGCTAACCATACTATGCCTCACACCCATGAATTTAACAACCTTTACAAACAATACATTTCTTGCAAACTTTTGGCCCTGCCAAAGGTGTGTAATTTCAAAAATATTTCATCAATTGTAACTAAGAATAAGCCTATGAATTTGACGGCTAACTTTCCACTAAAAACTTCAGAATTATCGCTCCTAGTTTCAATTAACGCTAAACGCTTATCAAATACGACTTCACCCACTTATGTACCTAGTTTCAAAATTCGATAATATTAATTCAATAAATAATGAACTTGATTGCTTCAACATAGCACATGCATCTATCTGTGAGATAGAGGATTGTCCTAAATTAATAAATAAACCTTACTCTAGCCTAAAAATCATTCATCAAAACATCCGTAGCGTCAATCGCAATTTTGCTAATTTCTTAACGCTGCTCGATCGCTCTGCTACTGACTGGGATCTTGTTATCCTCACGGAGTGTTGGTTACGGCACACATCCCACATTCCTTCTTTGGACGGCTACTACTATACAAAAACTGAAACCAACCTATCACAAAACGAAGGTGTACTTGTATATTACAAACAAAACATGGGCGTATCGGTGTCAGAACCTAAGTTACAGGAAGCTAACTGCCTAGCAATACAGATCAACACCAACACAATCATTGTTGCTATTTACAGACCCCCGGGCTATAAAAACATTACTCCATTTATTGAGTCGCTGAATTGTTTAATCAGTAGCTTGCATTTTATGAATGTTATTTTAGTTGGCGACACTAACGTGGATATAATGCCCGACACCAAAGACCCCAATGCAACTACATATTTAAACCTATTAGCTTCACACGGTATCTTACCGGCCCATCAATTGCCTACACACGGCAAAACCTGCTTAGACCATCTAATGCTCAAAACCAAAAGCCCAGCTTTCTGCTTTATAGCTGAAACAGCAATAACTGATCATGACTGTGTCATATTTCTATTGCAACATCATACCCGATCCACGAAACCAATAGAAATCATGAAAATTAATTATGACGGACTAGACAATGACATGGACAATATACGCTTGCAATCTATCTACCAAACTTCTGATGTGAATATGGCCACCTCTCGCTTAATCACGGAGATACATTCTAAAATACAAGGAAACACTACAATATCTACAATTCCCAATCGCAGGCGAGTCAGGAAGCCGTGGATAACGGTTGGTCTATTGCGTTGTATGAAAAATCGCGACAAACTACACGTTAAGTCAAAGAAATATCCTAACAACACCATACTCAAGACCACGTATACAAGGTATAGAAATTTCTGTAACTCCCTACTAAAAAAACTAAAACAAGACTACGAAACAAATTCTATAAATAAGGCGGCTAATACCAGTACCAAAATGTTATGGGACACCATTAAACAAATTGCATACAATAATAAAAAATATACCACAGCCTCTGATCTGCTCTCTCCTACTGACCCATACATGTCAGTTAACAAGGTAAATACACTCTTTGCGTCCATTGGTAAAAACCTCGCCGATAAAATGATGTACACTAACTCCCGTAATCATCTCCAGTACGTCGATTCTCAGCCTTTTTCTTTCGTCTTGACTCCAACAGATGAGACAGAGGTTTCAAACTATATTTTAAACTTAAAAAAAGGCAAATCCATCGGCCGCGATGGTATTTCTAGTTATTTTTTGCAACGGTATCACCAAATACTAGTCCCACCTCTTACATACATATTTAACTTTATGTTTAGCACTGGAGTCTTCCCGAAGGAATTTAAACTGGCTGAGGTTATTCCTATTCACAAGAGTGGTGACGTGGACTGTGTTAATAACTATAGACCTATTTCCATCCTTACAGCCATTTCAAAAATTGCTGAAAAGCTCTTGAACAAACGACTTACGAACTATCTCGAGTCTAAGAACCTTCTGTCGAATTCACAATTTGGATTCAGAGCTGGCATCTCAACAAACGATGCTGTACATGAACTGACCGACCACATAGTACGCAAACTCGACCAGAGGAAGAAAGTTGTGGGGGTATTTCTGGATCTGGCTAAGGCATTTGACACGGTCCGCGTCCCACTCCTATTGGATAAACTTGAGAGGCTGGGAATCCGTAACACTCAACTTAACTTGTTCTCTGATTATTTGACTGGCAGACTGCAGAGAGTTAGGGTGGGCGACATCGTTAGTGATGATCTACCTATCGACTACGGAGTGCCCCAAGGTAGCGTCCTGGGACCCACGCTCTTTCTGTGTTTCATTAATGACCTGTGCAATCTCCCACTCTTAAATGGAAAGATAGTGACGTACGCCGACGACACTGCATTGGTTTTCCATGGTGACTCTTGGGATGATGCGTATGGCTTCGCACAACTTGGACTTAACGTTGTGTCCTCATGGCTTAAAGATAATGGGCTGACGCTTAATTCTGGAAAAACGTTTTATTTGCCCTTTTCTGTCAAAAGTATACCACCTATGCGGGACAACCATGGTATTATATATCATACATGCTCACCCTGTCACCCTTGCTCTTGCGCTCACCTTAACAAAGCCTCCAGCATTAAGTACTTAGGAGTTGTATTGGACAGTTCCTTGAATTTTAGTCACCATCTGGACCTACTATCTTCAAGAGTTCGTAAACTAATGTTTCTTTTTAAAAACCTACGACATATAGCAGAGGCACAGGTCATTAAAATGGTTTATCTGGCTCTCTGCCAATCTATGATTAGTTACTGTGTAACGGTTTGGGGCGGTGCATGTAAGAGCAATCTCATAAAATTAGAAAGAGCTCAGCGGGCAGTTTTGAAGGTGAGTCGGTCCTTGTCATTTCTTCACCCTACTAAAGACCTGTATCGTCTTACCGATGTCCTAACAGTGAGACAACTATTTATCTTGGGAATCATACTGAAACAGCACGCCGCTCTTACTTATGACCCTTCTACTCTCAATCTCAAGCGTCGGAGACATCATATCTGTGACACAGTGACCACTCAATGGACTACGGCGTTCTCTAAGAGATTCTTTGGCTTTCTGGGAGGATATCTTTACAATAAGATCAACAAACTGATTAACATATACCCCTATACACGTTTCCATTGCAATAAGGCTGTCACATGTTGGCTCAAGTCCCTCAGTTACGATGAAACAGAAAATCTTTTACATATTCCATCGTAATACAACACTATACACGTAAGTGGGCTACCATTTTTTTTTTCTGCTTTTTTATATTATATTATTATGCACACACATATATATTCTAAAACACATTTACGCACGCAATATGCACATTTACGCAATATATACAATACATTCACACAAACACATACACACGCCTAAACATATACACACTCACCCACAAACACACGCGCACACACATTCTTTCATTTATGTACGAACACACTGCCACTGGGTAGTAATTGTTATACACTCTCACTCAACGATAACACCTACTTTACATCTAGTACTGCATTAATCCAGAGCTGGGAGAGGCTGGTAATCTGTCATACAGGTCTGTCCTAGTACAGATACCAGTCTTTCACATAGAACCATTGCAATTGTCTAATGAATGTTTGTTTTGTTTTGTTTTGACTAATGTATTGCCGTTCTGTGTGAGAGAAACAATAAACTATATTATTATTATATAAAAACATACTGTAAAAGTACATTCAGGTCACACAATTTGGCGTTGTTTTTGTATTATAGTGGCATTAATAGTTTATTTGATCAAAGCCTTACCTTTATTGGTTTAAGCGGCACACGCCTCTAAACATCACCAGCCTCCCGGTCGGTATGTTTTTTTCGACCTCGTTCATTACAGTTCCAGGCCGTTTTTTTAACCGCTTACGTGGGATTACTTTGACAATAATATTCTTGTCGTTCCGCCAGTGTCGTATATTAACGACCAAACCTTAACTGGTTCAATCTGTTCATGTTTGTATTAGCTAAAGTCCAGCCGCTCAAAGAATGCGTTTCTGACAGATCGTGATTGACTGGGCGATGTAACTTTGAATTGCCGTACAATTTACGGCAAAATTTAAAATATCTTTTATTTACCTTATTAACGAGATTAAAAAATTGATAACATTAAAATTCGAATAATTATGGCAACTTACAATAAATGTATTAATTTTGGGCTAAAATTATTACAATTACTTAATTAACAAATATAAAAACAATAGCTTTTAAAAGTCAAACCACGTCAAACGGCGCTGTTTCAAGGTTATGTCAACTGTTTGTTTTTTTAGTGATGTGACAAAATAACGAGGCAATTGTAATCGAATATTTTTGTAGTCTTAATATAATCTGTCGGTATAATATAAAATAAAACGTTATAATTTTATAATATATAATGTACACTAAAATATATATACATAGTATTTAATAAAGTTAATAGTATAATGCAGGTACGCCCAAACAAAACTTAAGAAAATTAGTGTCATACTATCAGTCAGATGAATAAAAAAAACATTGATAATAAAATTACTCACTACTTTATATTTCTGGTAAAAATGGTAACCCAAAATAGCGTTGTGGGGACCGCCATTTTGTGACATTTAAAAACAGGACTACGTTCTCCAGTGTTTCTCGTTGTGTATTTTCTCGTGACTGTTATTCTTGTTATTTTGACTGTTCTTCTTGATATACTGACCTCTGCGCTAATCTGGACTTTTAGTGTATAATAACCATGCCAAAACGCGGTCAAACATTGAAAAGTGGAACTCGTGAACTAATTATCAAGCTACAATATTACTTTGAGCGTGAAAGACAAAATGGCGGAACTTTAATTCCTGTCGACCAGGGCCTCAATTCTACTATTACGCCAAGCCAGTGTCATACCACTGACACGCCATTGAGATGCCATCGAGTGGCCATTGGCATCGGTATAAATATCGGTAGTTGAAAATATATTACGTTTTTTGAGGAAATGATTTATTTATGAATTTTTTTTTTTTTTTTTTTTTTTTTAATAAATTATTAAAAGAAATAAATAAATTAAAATAACTTATAAAAGATGCATGCGAAAAAGTCACAAGAGATGACTGGATGAAGGTGGTTGAAAAAACTAAAAATATTATATTTGATGACTTTGACCGCGATATCCGTATAGATACTATGATTGACAATAATATGATTATACACGTTAGTGAAGATGACAGCGACTCCTCAAGCGAATTGGAAGATTAAATTGTTTGACATAGTCTTCATTGTTTAAAGCTTAAAACTATGTATTTCATAATATACATTTTCCAATAAATAAAGCCTTTTTATTTTTATTCCCTTCGTTACATTCAGAAATTACGATTCAATTCAATTAATTGATTCATTAATAATTTATTTACATCGTGAATATTTATTGAATATATTGAAATATAATTCCTATAAAAAATAACAACATATAAATTAAATTGAATAAATATGCATAATGAATGCAATAAATTTGAACAGTTAATTTTATGCAACAACCACCTATTCTTTATTTCATAGTGGCCAGACACTACGGCGGTGCAATTTATAAAAAGGTGACTATGTTGCTGAGCATTCACGACGTGAAGGGTGCAGTTGCTGTTCTGAATGAATTTAAACTATTTAAGGAAGCCTATATTTTATGTCGAATAAGGTAATTTGTTACTTCAATATAATATACATCAGTAAAGTGCAGTGCAAGTGGAGCAACATACAAATTTCTGGAGTCCTTTGAACAATTTATAATATGTTTTCAGATACATGGACAGCATAGCAGAAGACACTCTGAAACAGTGGGCGAAGTATAGCCACTTGTGTGGAAATATGCGCATAGCAGCGATATGGTAAGCATCTCAAGTCAAGTTTTATCATTTTTAAATTTTAATTTTTTTGTAACCCAATAACACATTTGTCGACTTTTCTTAAGGTTATTAGATCTCAAAAATAATCTGCAGAGCCAGCGATGTGATATGGTTAAAATGATTGTTTTCAGCTATATCGCTCTGGGCGATTTATCGGAAGCCGCTACCGTCCTTGCCAACAGTTCCGACTTAGAAACACTAAATTTATCAAGAAATCTTGCCAAGATGTCTGGTAGAGCGATATTTGCCGACTACGTAGAAAGTAAAGCTCAAATTATTACACCTAAACCAGAGAAAGTTAGCACTGAGGCACTGTTAGAAGAGTTACCCTCGAAAATTGAAGTGCTTATGAGAGATGTTCAAGCCAAAACAATGTCTTCTAAACCAGAGAAAGATAACACTGGGGAACTATCAAAAGAGTTACCTTCTAAAATTGAAGTGCTTATGGAAGATGTCCTAGCTCAAACTATTTTATCTAAGAAAGATGGCACTGAGCTACAATCAGAAGAATTTTCATCTAAGAAAGATAGAACTGAGGAACTATCAGAACAGTTACCCTCCCTAATTGAAGTGCTTATGAAAGATCTCCAAGTTCAAACACTCTCATCTAAACCAGAAAAAGATAGTACCGAGGAACTATTAAAAGAGTTACCCTCTAAAAGTGCAGTGCTTATGAAATCTCAAACTATTTCATCTAAACCAGAGAAAGATAGCACTGAGGAACTATCAGAAGAGTTACCCTCTAAAATTGAAGTGCTTATGAAAGATCTCCAAGCTCAAACTATTTCATCTAAACCAGAGAAAGATAGCACTGAGGCAATATTAAAAGAGTTACCCTCTATAAGTAAAGTGCTTATGAAAGATCTCCAAGCTCAAATTATTTCATCTGAAATAAAGAAAGATAGCACTGAGGAACTATCAGAAGAGTCACTCTCTCAAATTAAAGACATCCAAAGTGTTAACTCCCGGACTGAAAATGGTGATGATGATGATGATGATATAGGACATGACTTCGTGACTCTGCAATATGAAGAAATCCCCCAAAATGATGATTAACTTTAGTTTCACTATTAAGTTAAAAAAGTATAGAGCAAGGTTATTTGTTATCTCAGTATGTCGGTATACTTCCATGTTAAGGAAATAGGTTGTCAATAAAACACTAATTAACTTTAAGACATTTTATTACAGAATCAGTTCTAAGAATATCTAAATTGCAAATTATTAATTAACAAATAAGAATCAACTTGAATAACCTATGCATGTTAGGACGAATTATAATATTGTTTTAAGTTAGTACTTTGTGCGAAATAATAAAGTGTGTAATATGCATGAGTATTTTTTTGAACCACACGATCTATTGTAATTTATTGATTAAGACTGAATTAACACTAGGTTTTAGAATAAACAGGTTGCATTAAAATTATGGAGGGCAAAATTAAAAATCACCGCATTAACAAGCTGAGAAAATAAACGGTGTGTTAAAACTGTTTATTTCTATTCAGCTAAATGAAACTGAATTATAGAATCTCCTACCCATGTTAGTTCACATTGCAATAACTCGTATCCCGGTAATATATTGTGTGCTAATTTAGATTTAATATTTTTACTTTTAAGTAAGCATATACATATTGTAAAATTTACAATGGGACAATACAAACAAAATATATATTTCCATTCTCATTAAATACTTAGGCACAAACATTTTAAGTACAGGCAACACTAATACTATATCGTAAGTTTATTAACTAAGAAAATGTACAGGGAACCATGAAGCATTAGTGGCACCTTGATTTTCGAATCAGAATCACAGTGATAATTTTAAATGCACATGGAATGACCTTTACATCAAGCAGCCCTTTAGGTGTTTTACTTAGGGGCTAGAGTTTATATAAAACTATTAGTGTAGTAAACTAGGCTAGTGTAAGAAACGGTTCAGATAAAATGCTAGTATTACTCCAATGACTGATTAATTAATCTCGACACTTTTTATGTAAATCACTTTTATAATAGAACTGTAATAAAATACATATATAAGTAATAGCTTTTTGCAATCTTTAAGACCAGCTTTAAAAAAAAAACGCCTCTATGAAACTCTGTCGAGTCTCGTCATTGTCATACCCACCCGTCTTCTTATGCGTTGTCAAAAGAGGTAATAAGTTGTTCAAGTTATAATCTTAAATAATCCGTTCAACCTTGGTCAGCTGGATCTACATTCTCTCTATTAGATTCTTTGCCCCTTTTCTTACAAATATTAACCAGTTTTGCGTTAATTTTTTTAAGTTTCTGATTTTCTTTCATCACATCGGTTATTTGCTGATTCTGAAAATTCATTAAAATGATTATGGTATTATATTTGGTGACAATAAGGAAAGTCAGTACTTTACAATCGGTTAATAAGATTATACTAAACATATATATGTATGCATTCAAGTGCAAATCCCAGCAAACAGTACAAACTAGTGTTAGCAATTATTGTTTATTGTCATTGATTAAAATAAATTGTATCTTACTAGTACTTGTTATTGACTTAATCACCCATCATAGCGATATACCCTTTAGTTATACCCAATATAATCCTTTCATCCCTTTAGGTTTATAATTGATATCGTTGGTTTAGGCGCAGAATGACCAATATTCATCCGGCAAGTGCCAGAACCGAACTGCTTGCGTTGTGATAAATAAACCAATTCCACTAGCTTATAGAAAATGAAACGGTTAATTAGGTTAGTAACGCTACCAACAACGAGACGAGCGAGCGAAGCGACCATGCCGCAGCAGTAGCCAGCCGTGCCAGAAACGAACTGCTTATAATTTGCTTTTGCGATCTGGACTTTTGCGAATTTGACATTCTGCGCCTAGATCATATACAAGGCATAGTATATTCACGTTATAAATGGTTATGTACTTCGAAGACTTTACAATGTACGTCCAGAGTATCATATGCTTTCACTGCACGTTGATGTCGAATTTGCATTAATAAGCGTTGTTGTAGAATGAGAGACTATAATACCGACCTGCACGATTGCGCTGCCCGTGGCCACAAACATGGGCATCGGCTGCACGGCGCTAGACACCGACACCAGCTGCTGCTCCAGCAATGACTTCTGCTGCGATAATCTCTCCACCGCCTGTCAAACAATTATTCGATAGTTTCAATTGCCGTAAAACGTGCAAAAAAATCGCAATTTTCTGCTGTCGAGGCAGACAGAGCCCCACCACTCACTTTTATTGTTACACACTTCTTGAGCTTTCTTGTACTGTTGTAATGATATAAGAAGTTAGGGGTTTTAATACCTGCATTTCAGAATACATGTGTCTTTCGGATACATCTGACCTACGCTTACTTCAAAGTATAACCGAATAGTTGAATAGTATGATTACCATAATGAGTCATCATCATCAACAACCTTTAACAGTCCACTGCTGGACATAGGCCTCTCCTTAGACAGGAGGTTTTTTCCTACGGCTTTGTGTCAAGTTTTCTTTCTCTTTGCAGTGCTGTTGTCCTGCGTAGTTTGCTCCCTTAGTCGCCTCTTACGACACCCAGAAGATGAATAAGGGTGGTGACACTCCCTATTCTTAATACGTCAGATAGACCATAATGTAATCAAATGAATATTATTGGTTTAATATCGACAAATTTAGGTCTCTACTAAAGCTCTTGAAGCCTACAGACCATTAATTAAGAAGAATAAGAGAAGAGAATTACAATAATATTTATGACGTTCCAATACATAATGCGTTCAAATAAAAAAATGTGCATTACTAAGTTAATAAACAGTTGACAAAATTCAATACTAACCAATTTCAAATGTTTTACTTCCTTGGCATGTTTGTCATCCAGCGGTGCATGAACATTACCATCCCGTTCGACTTGGTAACTGAGCAAATCTGTTAATAGAAATAAAAACGTATAAAATTATATATTACACACACTTCCGGTAAAAATAGCTTTTTGTCTAATACGAGTAATATATGATCAAAGCAGCAACATTAATTACCTTCACTAGTTTCCGTGGCAGCGTCGGCCACACCCACGGCGGCTGCGCGATTTTGATCGTGAGCATTTTGTCGTTTCTTACGCGAGGTATGTGCCAAAGGATTAATGTCAGTATGTAACTCTTGCAGTTTAGCCTGAAAAATTGATATTTTGATAGTCGAAAATACTTGCAAGTTACAATCTATTTCTCCCGTAGACTACGAAAACAAGTATATCTTTCGTGTGCGTTGCCCCAGCGGAAAAGGTTCCAATTTAATTATTTGAGTTTAACAGATATTTAGTGTATGACGTTGTGTAATTGTGTTTGGTAAGTAAAAATTTGTGCATCCAACCATTGGGAAGTTATTCAAGAAAAACTGTTTGTTGAATGGACCACTGTTTTATGATACAGTGGTTTGCAGTGCAAGAGATTTTAATGAAAATGCGTAATATAACCTATTCAAATAATTAGTGCATTTATTCACTTGTAAAATTTCATCTCTGTACACTCAATAATTAACGAAATACAATTAAAATAGTGACAACCACAGCAATTCAATGAAACTTGGTAAGACGTTGTATATGCTTACAAGGTATGTATAAAGGTTATAAACTAGATCCTAGTGCATAAACATTAAGTACTAGGACCTAATAACCTTATTTTACGTTTATATTTATTTATTTCGAATGGTATGGTTTTCTTTAAATCCGTTTTTACAAACAGTATAAGCAAATTCAAAATAAGGTATGAAAAAATCTACATCTCTCTAGAAAAGCGTTTCATATGAAATCTAGCAAATGGCCAAACGTTGTCGCAGCGGAAACTTGAATATCTTCGCAGTTCATTGACGCACAAATTTCATTAGGTATACACAATTACCTCACGTCATACACTAATTTTTGATACCATTTTTTTCTTCTACGTGCACAGGATAAAAAAAATCTTTTTTTCGTGTTTTTACAACAGAACAGAAACAGTTTTTCGTGAATAACTTGCCAATGGTTGGATGCACACATTTTTACTTACCATACACAATTAGAAGACGTCATACACTAAATATCCGTTAAACTCAATGCACACTATCTTTCACTCTCACTTAACTATTTTCCTAAAAACAATATTCGATTATACATTACTGTTGAAGTACTCTACCTTTAAGGTCTATATATATTGTATTAACTAAAAGATAACTCCCGCACTAGGATTACATCCTATGTCGCGGGGGATTTTCAAAACATACAGGAAATGGACAAAACAATTTAGAATACTTACGTGTTTTTTAGTTATATGTTTTTTTCGTTTTATATTGGCTATTTTGGCTCGTTCGAGTGGGTGAGAGAACACAGCAAAGTGAGCTAAGTCACCAAAAGGGTTGTAAAGTGGGAGTGGGCCGGGCATGTTGCCCGTAAACGGGGCTCGTGGAGTGGAGGCTGTGGGGCGAGAAACGCACTCGAGGTAGACCACAAATGCGTAGGAGTGACGACATCAAAAGACAGGCGGGAACAAAGTGGATGGAAAATGCCCAAGACCGAGAAAGATGGCATAAACTGAAGGAGGCCTTCACCTCAGCGGTTGAGAATGGCTAGAGAGAGATTACTTCGTTTATATATTTAGTTTTAATATTTTATTATGTCCAATTCTTCTACAGTGCTATTATTACACTGTTAATAGACTCCAATAATTTCATTTTTTTATTTTTATTTTTTTAGGGATAACAACAGCTGCAATTCTTAACTAGGTAGTAAACTATGATTACATGAGTAGCCAATAAAAGTTATCCACGGTAGATACATAGAGTGGATGAATATGCTAACAACAATACATAATATTAAAACTGATTGGTAAACCTTGAAAAGATGGGTGAATAGATGTAAAATATGAAATATATATAAATATGGGAGAAAAATTTAATTGAATAAATACATTAAAAGATTTATATCATCTAGAAACCTATAAAACCAGCCATTCAGTGCAATGATGTTGACATTTTAGAAAGCCAATTATTATTATGATTATAGTAATTTAAGCGAAACTCATTAGTAGACTCATTAGACTCTTTTATTAGTTTTTTGAAATTATCCTTAGAACCGATGAATATGTCCACACTATTAAAGTGTTCATTATAAGAGTCGAGTAAACGTGATATTACACCATTTCTACCGTAATTAGTCGAGTGAAATGAAGTGCAAAATAGTGTAGTGTGTCTAGTGCCTTTCTTGGGTACATTAAACTTAATATTATTTAAAAGCATAGGACAATCGATCCGTCCTCGCAAAATGTCATAGAGTAAACCCATATCCATCAGAATACGCCTTTCCTCGAGAGTTAGTAGATTGTAAATACGACAATTTTCTCTGTAATCATGAAAGCTGTGACGAAATTTAAAATAAAGGTGATCTATAAACTTTTTCTGGATGCGCTCCAGACTGCCTTTGTGTATCGCATAACAGGGAGACCATATCTGACAACCGTATTCCAGTAAACTTCGAACAAAAGCAATATAAACAACACTTAAGCTCAACAAACTCTTGAAAGGTAGGCAAGATCTTAGGACAAAACCGAGATTGCGAAATGATCTGCTGCATATAGCATCAATGTGCTGCCGCATGGACATCTCCGAGTCCAAAAGTATACCCAGGTCTCGCACAACCTTGACCCTCTCGATTGCAACGCCGTTAAAACTGTATTGGTAAATGATAGGATATCTTTTACGGGTAAAGGATATACTTTGACATTTTTTGATGCTAACCGTGATATTATTTTTAGCGTAGTACCTGAATAAAGAGTCGAGATCCTCTTGAAGCAAGACACAGTCAGATAAGGAGTTGATGGATGTGTAAATCTTTTTGTCATCAGCGTAGAGTATGTAATGTGAGTGCTTGATGTGGTAAATTATGTCAAAAATATAGGCGTTATAGAAGAGAGGGCCAAGATGCGATCCCTGGGGAACGCCAGAGGGAATAGATACAAAGTCAGACTTAAACCCACCCAATACAACAGCCTGAGAGCGATTAGTTAGGTACGATTCAACCCACCTAAGTAGGTCACCGTGAATACCTAACGCGTACAGCTTACGTAACAGGATGCCGTGGTCTACACGGTCGAAGGCCTTTTCAAAATCTGTGTAGACCACGTCAACCTGGCCACCATTTTCCATTTCGCCTACCACATAATCTGTGAAACAAGCCAAATTTGAAACCGTGGAACGTCTTTGCATGAATCCGTGCTGAAATTCTGGAATGCCAAGACTAACAATTGATGTGCTGGATTACTAAAAACTTAAATTTACCATCATTTTGCTATGTTCATTTCTACCATGTTTTTATATTTTAATACAGGGATACAGGCGTTAGTGTATGATATCTATAAAATTAACCTCACCTCTAGCTGTGATTTAGCCTCCTTCAGTCGACGACACTGTTCCTCTTTGTCTCGCAAGTACTGCGCGCAGGTTTCGCATTCTTCATCCAATTCTTTATATCTCTCTTTCAGCTCAGATAGTTCTTGTTTATACGCTTGAAGCTCGGACTTGGTGGCTTCTAGTTCTCTGCGTAAAAACCATCAACATATTATTACTACTCTAAAAGTATTTAAAGTTTCAACCAGCTATTAAAGTCGCCTTATAACGTATAGTACGCGCCGAATAACTGTGCCATCGAAATTCCCGCGAGTAGCGCCGCATAACACAAGTTTAAGTATCAGAAGGCCCCTGACGCGTTACACCACTGCAAGTCAGTCGTATATGTTGCTCTCACGTATTAATAATTTCACTGCTTTGCACAACATAATTGTTATAGTTTCTGTTAATATTGTTATTTGTTTTGTGATTATTATCTGCTTTGTTTGTGATTTGTCTAGTTTGCGTTTGTTATTATTTTTGTACGCTTTTTATGCGTTTCTCAAAATACCGACATGAAACTCAAAATTGAATCTGAAGAAGGCAAACCAAGAAAAAATGTTTTTAATGTAGGTACTACATAACTATTTAAAAGCACTACAAGAAATAAAAACAATTATCTCCGTTAAACAAACTGCGGAAGTTAAGGGTGTGACTGTCCACACTGTACAAAATATACTAAAAAGGAAAAAAACTGTGCATTTGCTCTTATATTCCGACAGCCTGGTATAACAATATAAATGTAGTTAATTCCTCTACCTACCTTTTCGATCTGCTGCTATTAAAGCTTCAAATGGGAATTACTTCAGATAAGTTATTTTAGTTATTTGCCACCTTAATTTACTAAATATTGAACATAATTTTAGAATTAATGTGCTCCGGAGTTATTACCGAATGTATGACGTTCGTGTATTTTACTTGTTTGTAACATTGCACATATTCATTATAGAATTTTGAAGGCAGTATATAAAATGTATTTGTATGCTCAGTACGTTGTGTGTGTCAGTGTACCTCTGTCATGTGTGCAGACACACACATGTGTGAATCACATACACTACTCACAAAAATTAAAGGATATAAAAAAATATTTTATAGCTTGTTGAAAATCCTAACAAAATGTTTTTTTTTTTATATCCTTTAATTTTAGTGAGTAGTGTAGATTACCTACCTGTTTCCAATATTTTTCTCGAAAGCCTTCTGCATTTTAGCTAGAGTATTTTTCAAATCTTGTTTCTTAAAGCGCAGTTCTTCGATAGTTTTAGTTAACTTCTTGTTCTTCTCAACTTCGGCATCATACGACATACGATCAACGACAACGGCATGCAAGTTTGCCCAGTCTGTAAGAAATACGAAACTAAGTTCACATTGCCCATGACAAGCATTATATTTAAGAGAAAAATGACAAATATAATGTAGAGTACATTTTATTTTATGTTTAAAACAGGCAGTAAGGATCGATTTGTTTAAAAAGTCATTCGTTTCTTACCTTCATCGGTATTCACAGACGCGTCCGCAACTTTAGGTTTTGATGGATTAAGTTGGCCGATGCCTGGAATGCACTGTAACTTTCCTTTCAGCTCTGTAATTGTGTGCTAATTAAAGAAAAAGTAAGGTTTGGATTATTATTATCATATCGGTATCATAGGTGTTGAAGAGAGTTGAATGTACTTCAGGTTTACTGTTTATTTAAATACTTTGCTGCTTGTCACACTGTTATAAATTTACTTATTGCCCTTTCTATTTTTCCCCATTTGAAGTAATTTGGACCAACTCTAACGTAAAGTACTAGCAAAGATAACTTATTTGATTAACTCTGAACCTTTGTCTTTGTCCCGCTAATATTTCAAAAATAGATTCAAATTGCTCAACCCTAACCTGTAAACTTATCTTCTCCTTCTTAAGTCTAGAACACTGTTCTTCCCTTTCCTTCAAGTATTCAGAGCAGGTTTCGCACTCTTCATCCAGTTCCCTGTATTTTTCTTTAAGATCTTCTAAATCTTGTTGGCAAGAAGCAAGTTGCTCTCTTAACTGTGAAACGCAACTATAAAAAAAAGAAACAAAAACATTAGAATTTAATATTAATAGCTTAAATCTGCAAGTTTTTTTATAAATGTTAATACAAACCTGTTAGTGTCGCCTAAGATGTGTGAAATCCATTGTGGAATGAGATAACATGAAAAAAAAAAAACAAATTACTAAGTTGTGATACATGTTTTACATTTTAAAGATTACGCGGAACTTTTTCAAATTCTTATGCATGGTAATATTTTACAAGTTGGGCATTCTTAATGTTAGGGTCGAAAAAAAGGTTTTTGCCGGTGGAATGAAGCGAGTAAGGGAGGTGCCTCGCCAGTGCGTTGCGTCGTCGCAACGGATCAACGCATGGTATGAAACGTTTAGTTTGTTCCTACAGAAGTGGGAAACTGTCCGTCGTCGTACTGGAGCCCCGACAGCGCAGCGCATCACTCTTCCCCCCGCTTCGTCTCTCGTCAGTCGATCCGTTGAAACGTCGCGTGCGCGACGCTACGCATTAATAAGGCATGTCACAAAAAATAAATGGAAATCGACGCAGCGGCGATGCAATGCACTAATGAGGAAATTCCCCAAAAATTGTAAAATTGCTGATGATTTTGATTGCGTCGGCGGTATTGGCGACTTAATCAAAATCATAGACTTGTCAGCTGTTGAAAAAATGTTAAAGATGCGCTTTCTAGTTAATAACTAAAACCCGTCAATTGAAACAGCTTTGTTCTTTTCTCTCACACAGTTTACAATTTATAGTTAATAACAAATTAGTACAGCACTACTATTATTGTCTCATGTGGGGATCGAACCCACAATACTCAGCATAGTAGGAGGCGGCGAGGTGACCGCTTAAACCACTACGCCATCCGTGCAGTCACACGTGAATCATTCATAAATAAACGGTGTGAGAGTAAACCTGTATTACAAATTACCAGTCACTCCGGACTCTGGATAGCGGAACGTATAGTGGGAGGAACTTCAATCAACAGTTCAAAGAGGAAGACGCAATCGAGTGGCTAAATTGAGGTGATCATTGACGCTTACCGCTGCTAGGTGGCGGTGTGTGAGACAATCGGTGTGTGTCATATAATGTTTGTCTTCTGCGCCGACTTTCTAGAACACTGTTTGGTCTTGATGGGTGCTCTTCATCCTTGTCGCCCTAAATAAAATAAACCATTAAATACATACATACACTCATGTCTATATTTCCGAATGAGTAATCAGAGGGTAGTGTGAGTTTATTTCACATTTACTCTGTCTCGACTGTGATTGGTAAGATTTCAGTGCAGGCCGATCACAACGCCGAACGCGTTGTTGACGATCGAGTTGTTGTGAAATGAACTCTCACTTCGCACTCCGAGGAGTATTAAACGCCTATATTTTGTTATAATTTTAATCCCACTCACATAATACCAGCAATCCAAGTAGCCTATTCCCGTCAACAGGACACTTTAGTTACTAGTTGGGCAAATTGGGAGTTTAATATGAAAGAAAATTTAGTAAGATATGAAGACAATGGTAGAAAGGCGGTATTACTTATACTTATTGGATCGGGGAGTGTAAGCAAATAGCTCGAGGTCAGCGTAGCATACCACACACTGACCATTGCTGAGAGGAACGAGCCCCTAATCTCTAAAATCATTAAATAGGAAACTTAATTTTACGGCAACGGAATTGTTTCTTACTAAAATTCTTAGTAAAAATAATTTTGGTACAAGTACCAAAATACTTAAACTAGCTTCCAAATCTAAAAATCTGTCTAAATCTGTTATTATGCGAATGTCTGTCAGTATTTTGTAACATTATATGTTTATGTTACGCCTTGAGTCTCCAAAACATCTAACTAATGAAACCATTGCCTTATTTCTTTAAACGAAGACTACTTAAAAAATCATACCAAGATTTTTCCTTGCAACAAAGGTTGTAGTTTTCTTCGTGGGAAGGAAATCATAGTATCTTTGTTCGGTCTCATCTGGAGAAAAATACTTTATTTAGTCTGTACTAATAAAGTGATAAATTGATATGGACTCGTTGTCACAACAGGATATTTTGACAAGAGTTAGTCGTCGATAGATATGTACAAAAATATCCTTGTTAAAAATCCTATAGTCATTATTGTGTGAGATATGTTATGCCCACGAGTTTACGAGTCTATTACTCTAAACGGGACCCTCTTGAGGGCCCCGCTCTCAGGATTAGAAGGGTTTTGCTTCCTCCGGTGACCTCACTCCTCGGTGAAAAGAATCGTTTAATTTGTGATTGTTTTCTATGAGGCCGTGCTATCACTTCGGTCGAGCCGGCCCATGTTGTGCAGAAACATGACTCATTTATAATATTTGATTTGTCTTCTAATTAGTAATTAGTCCTATATCAATGTTATTGTTACTTTTAAATAGTTTTTTCCATGTTGGTTAGTGATATACTCTACAAAGTATATTGCATTATGAGGCATAATTGTTATTTATTAAAACTGGCACCCATTACACGAAAGCGGATTTACCATTCTACATATAACAAGATTTAATGATAAAAACAATGACCTTTATTACTGTACCGTACTGTACTGTACTTTGTACCGTTGTGTATTGAAAATAATATTACCTGATCTGTCCTTAAGAGAGATAAGCTGTCCCGTCTGTAATTAAAAAAAAGACAATTCTTTTATATATACTTAAATATATTTAAAGTACTTAGGTATATCTATTTTATAAGCAACCAATATACCTTAAGAATAAATGTAATGGCTAAGTATTGAAATGCTCTTGACTCGTTTAGGTAACAAGCTGATGAAACTGTGGATAATTACTTTGTATATAATATACACATTTATAACATGTAAATACATAATATTTTATTCAGATTTGTACTATGCTTTTGTTACACTATTTTTAAAATTTAACGAAATTTTATTATATTGAACTCAAATTGAAACTCAAATATCTTTATTTCATAAAAAAATAAATCATTTGAAATCGTCTCTTGTGTAAATTCTAAAGTCATAGATCAACACACACAATAGCAACAGTCTCTGTTTTGTCAAATAATGAGCAAACTTAAGTGGTATTGACGCCATGATACCCTGTCGCTCTAACGTCACCATCAATTTCATACACAAGTAATTGCAATTTTGTTAAATTTAAACTACTCTTATGGTTAGTTTAGTAGTAGTTAGATAAACAAAAATCTATCTAAAATCTGAATATCTGAGAAAACGTAGTCTTACCCTTTACTATGTCGTAAGGGGGAACTTCTGGCGGATCCTTCATCATCGACATCCATGAATAAGTCATCAGGCTTCGGTCGGGCACTGAATAAAGCCTCTGCGTTCTGGTCGTCTGAAAAGTCCAAGATCTCAAGTCTTAAGATATTGGTTTAGTCTATGGACAAAAACCAAGACTTAAAGTTTAAGAATTTTTAAAGAGGTTGATGCTGATTGAGGGCTGGATATTTTTTTTTTTGGTCATTTACTATTCATGTACGTACACGGGGGAGAGTGATGGCGGATTTCTTAAAAACTTCACACATCTCACACACGGCAGTCTGAGCCCAAACTAGGCAGAGCCTGCACTATGGTAAACAGACTGCTGATAAACATACTTATATATTTATAAATACATACATATTATAGCAAATTTCAGAACACGATTAAGCATCCATTTTGAATCTCTTGTAGCCTTTATTTTTTTGACACAATAGGTCTCACGATATTAATTAATATAAATAAAATTTTACATATTTACCTCCAGTTTCATATTTCTCATCAGCAAAAATACGTTTGGAATCGTGGAGACTCTGTCGGCGACGCCGCGACGTGTCAGAAATCGCGTCAATAGATGGACGATTCCTATATGCTTCTAATGAACTTTCTAATTCATTTACCCGAGCCTGCCAATATAGCTTACAATTAATTATCTTTCAACTGCTAAAATGCACTGATAGCTTCTCAAAAATAGTATTAAACTGCTTCTAATCGTAGAGATAATTTTTGCACAAACACGGTGGCGTTCAAATCACAAAGTTATAAATTGTTAATACGCTGCATACACAAAAAACAACACTAGGAATGCCTTTTTTCAAGATATAGGGGACAACAAGGGGGTGCAAGGAAGTCCCTGGTGCAAACCAGGGACTTCCTTTCTAGGGTATACCTGGTTCCCCGGCTATTAGTACCTGAGACGGCGTGCGGTTTTAGTCGGTTCGAGTCCGACATGCCACCGATAAGTGGTATCAGAGGGGATTTCCGCACGAAAAAAAAAAGGGGCAACAACAAGGCCTCAATTCGGCTATTTTATGTTAACGAAAAAGCCACTGTCATTAAATTGACACGCCATTGCGATGCCACTGACAACTGCAACTATTCCATCGACGGTCTATTGATACAATTTTAAAATAGCAGAATTGAGGCCCAGACTCCGATCAGAGGCCACTCGATGGCAAGTGACGACTGCCGCCCATAGACATGTGCAACTAAAAGGACAATTGCATTGCCACCCTGAGTCACACACCCCTCTCTAAATTAGGTAGAGGGGGGGGGGGGGGGGTTGGCCCTTCAGTAATCAGTAATCTGTCCGGTAAATTTATAAGTTGTAGTCAAATGTTAGCAAAGGTGTGATTTAAATTCATAGAAGTATTGAATTCCTTGTTCAGTCTAGTTGCATAGAAATGCCGATAGTTGCAGCTTTACCTGAAGAGCTTCTTTATCACTTTTTATTTGTTCTATTTCAGCTTTCAAAACTTCACTCTCCTTCTGCAGAAGGATATGTTTCTGCGAAAATTCTTCAAGCTTTTTGTCATCATCGCTTTTTTGTTTCTCAATCCTGTATATGTATAGAGGTATCAAATTAATGCTACTTTAACAATGAAAATGGATCGTGTAGTTATCAGGTATCCTGTAGATGTTAAGTATATAAAACATATTTTTCTGAAAGGTGCATTTTTGTCTTCGAAAGTTTTACCAGGACTAGTGAACAAAAGATCAGCGTTCAAGCGTCAAGCAATCTAAAACAAAACTAGGAGACGGTTTAAAAAATAATCTCTTAGTTGTTATGTTATGATAAAATCTTGTTTTGGATTTGCCGACGGTTCCACCGAACTGAACTCACTGAATTTTCATAAGATACTAAAACGTATGTGTAGTAGCAGTAGTGTAATCATAATCTATGCCTTAATTCGCAAATCAGCAAATGTCACGAATATTGCAATAACAAACAGGAAAGTCCAAAAATCTCTTAGCATTATAAGAAAAATGTATAAATATTGTACATTATGAAAAATAATAACTAAAGATGCATATGATACACAAAATATTTTTTTTTACTTTTTGGAGAAGTTGACTACTCAACCAAATTGGAAAGCTTTATATATCTCCTTAAAAATACTAAACAGTGGTGGGTGGTTTGCCACAAAATGTAATTACTTTAATTTATTTATAATATTTTGTAATACAATATACCTCATTATCATCCTAGTTTGTATCTGCGCCGTCTTTTCATGTGTTTTTATATTCGTCTCCAGTCTCGAACACTCTTTGACTTTTTTCTCAAGTTCGTCTTTAAGTTCCATATTTTGTTTCAATAGAGATTTTGCTTCGCTGTTCAAATTCTCTATGACTATACCGTTTTCTCTGACAGATTCTCTAAGAACTAGAATGTCATTGGTCATTTTATCTATATCTACATTATTTTTCTGAAGTGCCTCTGCAGATTTCTTTAATTCCTCAGCATAAACTTCTTTTTCTTTGGAGATCATTTCGTTGAGACGTTTTAAGTTTGTAAGTTCATTTTGCAAACCAGTCACTGTTTCCAAAAGATCTGACATTTTCAAACAATTCCCACTAGTCTGAGCTTTCAACTCCTTTTCTAATGTTTCTATAGTACTTTCATTATCTAAAATAGAAGTCTTCAATGTATTAACTTCGGCCTTATTTTTTTCTATTGTCAGTAAATTCAACTTATTTTCTTGCAATACGTTTTCATGTCTTTTGTTCAAATCCTCGTACATTTGCTTTAGTGTCTGTACTTCCTTTTCTTTATTCACTATATCTAAGGTGACAGCGTTATTGACTTCTTGTAATTTAAATCCACGTAGTTCAAGGATTTCTATTTCTTTCTCTTTCTCATCTATTTTAGCTGTCAATTTATTCATTTCTAAAAGTCGAGCATTCTTTTCTTTTTCTTCATTATGTCTTCGTTTAGATTCAGTGGCCAAAAGATCAAATAATATATTAATATTAGTAGTTAATGGCAAATTTGAATCAACTTTTTCTGGTTTAATAATACCCAATTCAATGAGTCTTTGATACCCTTTATCAATGGTATCCTTTAATTCCTTTTCTCTTTTGACGATATCTATGGTGACTGCATTACTTATTTCGTGAATTTTTTCTTTTTGAAGTTTGAGTAAAGTACATTCATTTTCTTTTGAGGCTAACTCGGCCTTCATGCTTAATAAATTTTCTTTTACAACATGTAGTTCTGCGTTTACATTTTCTAAATTGTTCTGTAATTTAGTGTATTTCACAACCATATCATTTAATTGTGCTTGGTTATTATTCAACTTTTCTAAAATATAATCCAAAATTCTAACACTGTTAAAGTCAAATTCCCGATCCAGAGATTCCATATTTGATTTAAACATATCAATTACTTTCGAATTATTTATATCTCCAGCCTTAATAAACTCTTCATGTATAATGTTTATATTACTTCTTAATTGTGATAATGAGTACTCGAACTTTGAGTATTTATCGTTTTTGTCTCGTAAATCGTCACTTATTTGATAGAATTTTGTATTCAAATCGTCATACTGACTTTGTAAACGAGTTTTAGCTTCATTATAATCTTTCAATTTGTTATTTAAATTTTCTACTTCCTGGCCGTGTTTCATTATCAAATCCTCATAAAGCATTTTCATGACTTCAATTATTTTTGCATCATTGTTAAAACTGCTTATATTTGCGCCAGTTTTTTCTGCATAATAGTTAAAACAATCCGTTTTATCCATTATGTAGAAATCTGTACATTGCTCCTCGGCAATTTGAGGCATATTACTTTTATTGAATTGTGAACTAGAAATTTCACTGTCTTTAGGATAAGCACAGATACTATTATCGGCCAAACTTTCATCTAAGTCCATTGAAATATTGCTTCTTTCCAAATGGTTTTTAATAGTCACAACATCTTCTGTAAGTTCTTTGCAATCTTCTCTGCCAGCATGTAACTCACTTTGCAATGTACATATTTTGTTGATTCTTGAAGAAGTATCAGAGTCGCTTAAACTCCTATTCAACTTTACTTGTATTCTCTTTTCTTTACTTTGCAATGTTTGTATAAGTTTGTCTTTTGTAATACACTGGGAACAAGATAAGTCGTCTTTTTCACTACCTACTATATTTAGGTTGGATTGTTCCAATTTATTACATTTTACTTCCAGTTCATTACTGTATTGTTTCAATTTATTTAGAGCTTTAGTTAAGTCATCTACCTCAGACACATTATCCATAACTTGATTAGAAAGTGTGTCATTTTCTTCCTGTAAACATTTAAGTTCCTTATGTTTTATACTTATGACATTATTCAGTTTATTTATTTCTTCTTTTTGACTATTGTATTCTTTTTCATAAATAACTAATTTTTTCAACTTTGCATCCATTGTATCCCTTTCAATAATAAGCTTATCACATTTTTCTACTAACTCATTTTTGGTTGAATTACACTTAGCAAAGTCTTCGTACAGCTCTTTTAATTTCTCATTTACTTTGTCGCGTGAATCTTTTATTATTGATAGTTCCTTGCAATTAGCACAATTTATATTCCTATTGTGAGACTCTAGAACACTTTCTTCAATGTGATTGTCATTTATGATAGGAGAATTCTGAATATTTGTAGCGATATTCATTTTTGAGTATTTATCTACTAGTTCACGAAGTCTTGTGTTCTCTTCGTTCAAAACGTTCAATTTTTGTAACATTTCGTTTTGGCAATTGCATATTTCTACCTGTTGTATATTTTGATCGATTACTTGATGAAAGTCATTCGTTTGACATGCTTCGTTGAAGAACTGAGTGATATCTAAGCAGGTTTGATCATGCCCCGTGAAGGTGTTATCAGCGGTCGTGGTAATAGTAATATTTGTGTCTAACATCAATACATCTCCATCTAAGGTAGATTCATTTTTAAAGTTGGAAGGTGCAGTACTGCTATCCAATACATCAGGTAAAGAATAATGACGTTTAAAATTTAGGTTTTGCAAGTCACCAATAAATGGATCTCCCTTTAATAATGTCATCAGACTGCTTAATTGTTTCTTAACCTCAGGTATATCTCTTTGACAAACGTTATGAAAACGCTTGTGATGATGTTGAAGCACTTTTACTTGGGACTTTAAAGATTTATTCTCAGCATAAGTAGTAGCCGTTAGGATGGACAAATTAGTTCTATGGCTAATCATTTTTTTATGCAATTCTTGAGCTGGTTCTAATAAGAGTTGAATTTCACTTCGGACGACATTTTGTTCGTCCAATAGTTGCTGGTTTATTATTTCCATTTCTTCTAAAAGTTCCAATAACCTCGAATTTTCCTCTTTGGCGTCATTTAATTCTAACTGAAGCTGAAAACACTGGCAATGGTCATTTTCCATTGAAGTGTTTTCAATTTCATTTTGGGTTGTGATTGAATTTGATTCTAGTTCTCTCGGTTCCATAGAAACTATTTTGTTGCAGCATATGGTTAGCAGACTTGGTGGTGATTTGACTTCATCTTGTGTGATTATAGTATATAGCCTATCGGTAATCTTTATATCCTCTTTTTTATCTCTACATGTTTTGTCATCATAAGCATCTACCGGAAATTGAGATTCTCGTTTAAGCACCTCAACGCGTGTTTTAAGAATTTCATTCTCTATTTTCAAATCTTCCATTTTTTGTTTCATAGCGAGGTCTAAACTTTCAAATTGATCCTTCCAATCTCTAACTTTGACTTCCATGAAATCTAATTGTGTAGTTTTGTATTTTAATTCTTTCTGCAAATCTTGTAAAAGCTGTTGACTTACTAATAAACCTTCACTTAGTTTATTTTTTTCTACATTTTTGTGATTTGTTTCTATATCAGGTACTATTTCTGTATAATCGCAATTATTTTCTATTAATACTGAATCTTCAACATTGTCTTGTGTCAATATTTTACTAGCCTTTTGATCATTATCAACATTTTTCAAGGTGATAAATGTTATATGATTTGATATTTTCTTAACGGTTAGTAGGATGTGTTCGTATATTTCAGTGTCGACCAAATCCTCACAAGAGTTGTTTTCAATTTTAAAACTAATTGCAATATTACTCAATTCGCTAAGGATATTTTTTAGTAGATTGTGTTTTTCTTCATTTTGTTTTTTTAAACAGTCTTCCAGGTAAACAATTTTTGATATATTTTCGTTCAGTCTATTTTCCATATTTTTTAAACTGCTATTAAGATTATCTATTGTATTCTCTTTTTCAGCTAAATACTGTTCCTGTTTTGTCATGCGTATTGAATTTTCTAAATCTCGTATTTCAATAGCTTCATTCAATTTACACTTCAATAAATCATTTTCTTGTTGATAATACTGCTGAATATCATCGAGGCCATCAACTTTGGTCTGTAATAATGTAACTTCTGTATTATGTTTAATTTGAAGTTGCTCTAGGTCTGCTTTTAATTTCTCAATCATTTGATTTAATTCTTCTTTTTCAGATATAATATTACTTGCAACGGATTCTAATGTACTTAAAGTATTACTTAAAATATTGAATATATCCACAAAATTGTCCAAAACTTCTGGCACTTCCTGCATCTCGTCTGTTAAAATACCTAAATTGGACAGCGATTTAAGAACAGTAATGTTGACATTGCATAGAAATTCCTTCGATTGATAGATAGATTTATTTAGAGTTACTATTAAATCATCTTTCTCAGCACACGTTTTTGATAAATGACCTATTTTAGTGGTCAGCTCTGATATTTGTTCAATTAAGTTAGTATGCGTGTCCTCTAATTTTAATCTACTATTTTCCTCTTTTAAATTTTGCAGGCAACCAGTATTTTCATTATTGATTTCTTCTAACCTCCTGTTCTTAGTTTCTAAATTATTTAATTTACTGATAAGTTCTTGCTGACCTACTGTGTAATCATTGTTTTCATGCGTAAGTTTTTTAATTGTTAAAACATTCTCATTTACTTGTGACTTTAAATCATCTATCACAGAATTTAAAGTGTTAATTTGCTCTGTTTTACCTTGAAGTTTGGTCACTAAGTTTTTGTTTTCCTCTAAAATCTCACGGTCTTTGTCTTTCAATTCCGTGATTTCTTTGTTTCGGGCATCAATAGCAATTTTGAAAGAATGTATAATATTCATCATATTTTCATTATTAGCTATAAAATGTTCTTCATTTGTAATCATATTTTCAAGCAAACTATCATTAATATCTATATTAAACAAATTTTCTCTTTGGGTCAGTTTCATTTTTAATTCTTGAATAACACGATTGTAAGATTCTATGTCGTTATTAGCAGATTGTAAATTTTCTTGTTGATTATTTATAGTCATATTTAAAGTTTCTAAGGAAGACGTAAGTAAAGAATTTTCTGTCTCGACATTGACAAGTTTTTCCTTGAAAGTTGAGACAGTCTGTTCAAGTTCTTGTGTTAGATTTTCTAACAACACTATTTTTTGTTTGTGCGAGAAAAGATCCGCTTCTAATTCTATAATGCTTTGGTTTTTAGAAGTTAGCTGTATTTGCGTATCAGTAATAATATTGATTACGTCTTCAGTTGCATCGTCAGGAATAATACTATTTTCATTGTCGCTATTAACTAGAGAAACTTCTTTAGACATATCCATAAAGTTAATATCTTTTTCAAGGTTACAGGATATTTTATCTAGAAAACAAAAAAAATATATGAGAACCGTTGCGATATAGAGTCGCGGAGTATTTTGAAGTATTTAAATGTAAACTTACCAATGTCTTGAGGTTGCTTAACTTTCATTTCTTCTAACAAAGATAATAGTTCTTCTTCCCTAAGCTTGGCTTTATGTTTCAATGTTTCACAAATTACCTCCATATCGGTTAATTTAGTCTTGTACTTTTCACATTCAGTTTGAACATCATCCTGTAATATTCACAAAGAGACGTCTTAGACTCTCGATTTTCAAGACAAAATATGATATGGCTTAAGTATCACTTAACACTAAGTGATACTTACGTAACAATAAAATCAACTTTGTACCGTCTTTAAACTGTAAACTAAGATACGACTGTAAAGAAAGAGTACAAACTCGTTTAATTTCGAAGAACTCTTGTTTTTAATAACGTTTCGCTGTTATTGATTGACCAGATTCAGAAAAAAACTACAAATTCGATAATATTATTTTGTATTCATTCGGATCCAATCAGCTAATCTGTTTATGTAATTATTACATAGTGTACACTGATAAATTATTGAAGTCGCGGTTAAATGTTCAACCACAATTTGTGTATTTTCAATAAAAAATTTGCAATAAAGTGGACTGTGCTACAGTTTATTGAACAAAGATTTAAAAATCAAATCAAACACACTTTACATACATACATAGATAATGTGCGAGTGTTCTATTCACTAATTATTATCTTACCTTGGCACTATTTAATACTTTTAATTCGGTTTCTTTTTTTTCTAATTTACTTTTTAATATTTCATTTTCTAAGTCTTTTTCCTTGCATTTCTTATTCAATAATTCCATTTCATCTTGTAATTTTGCAATTACAGTTGAATTCTCTTCTAATTTTTCCATCAGTTCAACCTAAAATTTAGAATAAAAATATTTTAAATAAGCACTTCTGTTGTTTATTTATTACTTCAGAAAAAGTGGTAGACAACAAATTTTAAACATTAATATCTTGGTCATCTAGTCACACACTTTTGCACCATTCTAAGGTGGACTGGGAATAATGCCTGAGGCATTAAGTGTGCCATTGTTTTTTGCCGCCATTTACATTGTGCATAAATAATTAAATGAATAAAAATTAAAAGATATCATCACATCAACAGTCCACTGCTGGACATAGGCCTTCCCTTGGAAAAGAGTTTTAGAAGATATAATTAAATTAAATTGTTTAGAAGATATGGTTAAATTAAATTGGTTAGAACATTCAATTATATAAAATCAACCGTATTGTTTGTAATATCTGTAGTTTTAACTTCTCAACTCAAAACTGATATTTTTATTAAAAATATAGTTTAGTTAAATATTTTTATTTATTTTTAGAATAGGGTACATCAACGGCACTATTACATTTAGTATAACAGCGCATAGGCGTTTAGAGTGAATTTGACACTTAAAGAAGTACTCTGCAATTAAATACAAGATTGGTTTGCAACCATAAAAATAAGTTAATATTTTACTTGCACATTTCCATAATTTCATGTTAATTACCATTTTTTAGGCATACCTACTGAGAGATGTTTACCTACTAATATTAAACTGTTATATTACTAACCGCACTAGGGGAAAAAATCTTTTCTCTTTCAGTCAGTTCAATTATGTCTTTTAAATGTTTTTCGGCGATGTCACGATTTTTTCTAAGTATACATGGAGGCGTTTTCGTTGAACCTGAAAACCAATTTATGCATGCATGTCAAGTGAGACTGAACGGATGATATTTATTGAATATCATAATTTTAATATTATTGCCACGAAATAGCACGAAACTCGAGAAAGAAACACAGACTTCATAATAACCGTGCAGAAATAATTTTAATAATTATACAGGGTTGTATGGAACCATAAAGTCTATAGCAATAGGCATAAGATTGAAAATAGGTTGTGGCATTTATTATCGTCGCGATTATCTTGTTTAAATTAAAACCTACTCGTATTTCTGAGAAACCGAAAGTTGCAAAAGGATTCGAATTATTTGGAATTAACTTTCTAGTCGTCTGGCGAGTATTATAAATACAGGGTACGTGTTCGCCGGACACAGTTCGGATTTACCCGCACGTCGCCGAAGCAACACCTCCGGAACAAAAACGAAGATATCCGAAGGACTGTGGCAAACTGCAAGGAACCTGTATTTGCTCCCCGTCTCCGGCCGAGTGGCCGCGTATGGCTCTAACCGCCAATTCCTCCGAAGGCGCCAGAGGCGTGCCTTATTCTGAGCGGTCAGAGCGGCCGCCCAAACCGGTGCACCGTGCAGTGCCATTGACTGGACAACCCTCGTGTACAGCCGCTTGGTTGCGACGCTGGCTCTACCCAAATTGGGTAAAATTCGCCCAAGGGCAGAAGCAGCGCCAACCAGCTTTGGAGCATGCTGTCGGAAGCGCTCGTCGAAGAGCCACCTCCCGTCAAGTATCAGGCCCAGTAACTTCTTTGGGCCTGAACCGGTACGAGGACTGAATCGACCACGATGGAGGTGCTGAGGGGTGGGGGTTGCCCACGACGGGGCCATTGGAACAAGAGGGCCTCCGTCTTTTCCAGAGCCACCCGCCTCTTAAACAGATTGCTATGGTTCTCAGGACAACCGCCGCCAAAGCAACCACTGCCACTGAAACGAACGTCGTTCTCCCACCGCGTTTATAGTTAGACCGTGGATAGTTTTACTTACCTGTGGTACAACCAGTTGGACAAAGCATAATCACTGGTGTATGATTATGCTTTGTCCAACTGGTTGTACAATAGCCACTCAGTTGTACCACAGGTCATAACAATAAATTGCACAAAACAAAAGTTATCTCAGTTGGACCATGGATAGCCGTGGTACAACCAGTTGGACATAGCGGTTGGACCACGAGTCGGGAGCGGATTCACTAGTTCTTAAAATAAACTATACTTCACTTCACAGAAATATACATACAGACAACTTGAAAAGTGATAGTTGCCGTAGCGTATTTAGCCATAAACTTTTCGCAGCGAGGTGATTGTAGTTAATATTTTTTTTATACATGTAACGAATCGAATAAAAAAACCGAAATTCAGCCTTATCATAGACTTGAAGCCGACCCGACCCGACCTAGTTTGAGAAAAAGGCTCTTGGGAATAAGGTATATCAATTTAAACCTATTGTCTCCTTCTACATAATACACTACGTGTCTATGTGAAAGTGTGTTTAGTTTTTTTAAGAATGTTTAGAGTGAAAGAGTTAGTGCGCTACATCATTTGTTAGATAAGGATGGCGATAACCAGCTGACTCCCACTTGACTTTATAGCCACGTGTCCACAAAAAAAAATCAAGTAATGCAATAACTATAGCTTGACTTTTTTTCTGTGCGGAACTCCCCTCGGATACCACCCACCAGTGGGATACCACCCAGATTATGTCGGACTCGTACCAACCAAAAACCAGTAGCCGGGGAACAAGGTATACCCTATAAAGTAAAAGCCGACGTACCTCGGGTCATCTACGGCTTATAGATCACCCCCCCCCCCCTGTGTGGTTCCCTTCTTGCCCCCGAACGGTGTGCGCGCTCTGTAGTGCTTGTAGCCTTAGCCTGCTTCTGCTAGTGACAGATGGCCTCACCTGTTACCCTTAGCCCTGCGCTTATGGAGGATGGAAGTCGTTCTGTGACCTCCGGCGACGGAGTCGTCTGCAGTACCTGGCCGTTCTCGGGCCTGGAGGGCCGGGAGAGTTCTGAACCTCTCCCGGTCCCGCTCCGCCATCTCCTTCACAAGCATAACCTGCTCGCGGGAGACGGCGGTGATTTTGACTGCTGTCTGAGTTCGTGAATTCTATTCCACCTCAGGATCGATAATTATGTAATAAGCACGATCATTAATTTTGTCTAGATGTAACTTATAAATAATATGTATTTATTTACAAATAGATATTATATAATAATATTTTCGTACACCTCACACACGGTCGTCTGATCCCAAACTGAACATATGATACTTATATATTTCTAAATACATACATATTATAGATAAAGTACACCCAGACACAGAACAAATGACTGCTTATCACACAATTATTTGTCCTGGGTGGGAGTCGAAACCACGCCCTCTGGCGTAGCAGTCAGGGTCACTAACCACCCCTCGGGCCGTCACCCCACCACGTCAGGGTCAGACCAGACAAAACCAGGCGGTGTGGCACTCTGCGCCAGTAATAGTAGAGATCCGGGAACTGCTGTAATTAAGACATCCGGACCCCTCCGAGCGTCTGCCCGCAACGGCCGGGCACCACCTTCTTGTACATTCTCTATTTAGGCGACGTTCGGCACACGCGGACGGTCACTAACAGGCCAGTCAAATATACATCTAATTTATTAGCAGTTTAGTACTGTAGCTTAAAATCGGACAGTCGAGTGTGAGTGCCAAGTCATTCTCGCATCGGCATCGAGCCCTCGATCAGGTATCTGGGGCTCGTACTCGATGGCCGATGGGACTTCGGATATCATTTCCGAGGTCTGGTCCCCAAGTTGGTTGGGGCAGCGCGTGCGTTGGCGCGGCTACTGCCCAACATGAAGGGACCCGATGACTCCTGCCGGAGACTCTACTCGGGGGTTGTGCGGTCCATGGCCCTTTACGGGTGCCCAGTATGGGCGGGGGCCCTGAAGGCCAGCAACGTCGCGATACTGCGGCGACCGCAGCGAATGCTGGCCATCAGGATCATAAGGGGGTACCGCACGATCTCCTTCGAGGCGGCGAGTCTCCTGGCCGGAACTCCACCGTGGGACCTGGAGGCGAGAGCCCTTGCTGCACTGTATCAGTGGCGCAAGGAGGCGCAGGAGTTGGGTCGATACCCCGAGATTCGAGAAATCGATGACCGGAAATCCCAACTCCGCCAGGTCATCATAGGGGAGTGGAGGGAACGACTCGGGCAACCGAGCGCCGGGCACGCCGTCATTGCGGCGGTAAGACCCGTTATGGAGGATTGGCTCGAGAGGCGTCACGGGACCCTCTCATACCGATTGACGCAGGTGATCACTGGGAAGGGATGTTTCGGAGATCACCTGTGTCTGATCCGCAAGGAGCCAACGCCTGAGTGCCACCACTGCGATGGCCAGACCGTGGACACGGCTCTCCACACGCTGGCAGATTGCCCGGCGTGGGTTGAGCAGAGGCGAGACCTCGTGGCGGCCATCGGAGTGGGAGTTCTCTCGCTCGATAGCCTGATTGCGGCTATCGTGCGGAGCGAGAGTGCGTGGAACTCTGCCGTCTCCTTCTGCGAGCAAGTTATGCTCGCGAAGGAGACGGCGGAGCGGGACCGGGAGAGGTTTAGAACTCTCCCGGCCCGCCAGGCCCGGGCACGGGCCAGGCAGCGCAGGCGACTCAGGCGCCGGAGGTCGCAGAACGACCTCCGTCCTCCATAAGCGCAGGCCTGGGGGTGACAGGTGAGGCCATCTGTCACCCTAGCAGAAGCAGGCCGGGGTGGCGGCGAGCGCGTTGCGAAGCGCGCTCGCTTCCAGGGAGCACAGGGAACATGGGGTTCCCACACGGGGCGGGGGTCGTCTACTCGTCTGTAGATGACCCGAGGTATGTCGGGGCACCAGGGCCTTCCTTTCTAGGGTATACCTGGTTCCCCGGCAATTAGTACCCGGCGAAGGCGTGCGGTTTTAGTCGGTTCGAGTCCGACATGCCACCGACAGGTGGTATCCGAGGGGATTTCCGCACGGAAAAAAAAAAAAAAAAAAAAAAAAAAAGTGCCAAGTCATTATTTATAGTGGTAACATACCATAGCATTTATGAAACGGTGAACATGCGTCGTGGTCCTCTTGCGCCATATCATCATCGCTGTCTAATGAATAACAAAATAACAATAATTACTAAAACAGTTAAGGGTATAGACTAAACATTAGAATTTGTGCAAATCTAGTTGTACCTTGATAAGGTCGAGTGTGTATTTATGAAAACAAAAATGGATATGTTATAGGTCAAACACTCACAAAGACAAGTTGTTGTAAGTTCAAGTGTCAAACTCGTAAATGGTCAATATTTGCAAAATTTGTATTTATTGACATAAATAATGAGATATGATATTACTATATGAAGTCTGTTAAAATGTTAGATGTGATTTATTATTAGATTATTAACTATCGGGATTGCGGTAGTTATTAACTTTTTAGTAAAGTAAAAACAGTTCGTGTTAGACTTAGTGAGCGTTTGATTCTTGCGTGTTTTACTTTTCGTAGGTTATGTAAGCGTATGATCCCAAAAAATTACAAATATTTTACAAGTGCAGGTAGTCGTAAAATTACTTAGCGTGTCGTCTGGTCTAGTGGATCAATTAGATATTCATTAAATAATTTTGAATTATTTGTTTAGAGAATACTTTGTCGTTGACGAAATTCAATTATCGTCATAGCTATATGTGACGTATGCTCATCGAGTTCGTGCGTAGTGTGTCGGTGCAAGCGGGACGGCACGGACCTAAGTTGATGACTTCGTCGCGGAAGCTGACGGCGGGTCGCGGCGGCGTGGGGGCGCGCGCCGGCTCCTCGGGCACGCTCGCCAGCGCCCTGCCGCCCGCCGCCAGCGCCGTCTCCGCCGGGGGCGCCAGCAGCGCCGGACTGCGCGACACACCGGTATGGTTTAAACATATTTACTTATTATACGTGTTTACTTCTCCGGACCTGTGTTATCGTTTAAAATAAACGTCTCGCCTAAGGGCGATATTAAAGATAACTGTACAAAAATGTATATAACGGCCACGAGAACTTCCAGGCTCGGAAAATAGCTGTCCCGAACCAAACAAATTTTTGACTCGATTTAAGTCACATACTCGACGTGGCACAGTGGCGAGGTAACGATAACCCTTACGGTCTAATATTTATATTAATAAGCTCAAATGATATCAGGCGCACTTTACATGGCGCTATTTAGGCACGTTCTAAGCAGAGATTGAACTTAGGTATGAAGGTATACATACTATTATAGATTCCCTACATGGATGCGGTTGCCAAGAAAGCACTAACGCTCATAGAAATCTTCAGATCGAGAGAAATAGGAAAAACATGGTCACATAAGAGTATATCACTCCCTTCCATTTCATAAGATGTTAAATATCTTCTTAATTCAAATTTGAGCAGTTAAATATCTTGTAATAAGGGTGATATTTCGAAAACTTACTTATATTTCAAACTGGGCGTACAAAACTTAGGTACTTCAACTACAGGTTCACTTTTGAACTCCGATGCAGTAGAATGTATGGTGACCCTTCGTGGCAGAGGTAGTTTGCGTCTGGCCCCCTTGTTAATTTCCATACTACTACGGCCGAACCCATTCAGTATGAGCCGTTGTAAAGCATTTATCTTATTTTGTAGTTTGTAGTTATCTTGCTGAAAGGAAACACATATTTCAGTCAGCATTACTTCAATAAAAAAAAATAGTAAAAAAAGTAGGGTATATTACATGTTTCAGTAGGTAAGTTTTAGTTAGATATTTTACTCAAAGTGGTTGTCTTTGAATTTGAAATGTTGCACCTCTAAACGGTGACAGAGTAAGAGATGAAGAATTTAGGTTAATTTTATCATGATTTGGTGCATTGAATCTAGTCAATTTCTGCCAGTGTAGAGTGGAGTACTTTTACTTACTTGTCAACAACCAAATTCCAACCAGAACCAAAATCGTGTTTTAGGATAGTGAAACATTTAGTTCGATATTTATCTGTTCAAATATTTGAACCCTAGTATTACTTACAGTATATGAATAATACTAACGGTCATCTGCGACATGAAGTGTTAAGTAATTATAATTAACACTAAAATCTAAGGCTAAGTAAGAATTTGAAGACCTTATTTTTGTAAAATTAGATCTAAGTAGATATAACTGCATAGGTGTAGCAATAGTCCAAGCTTACTTCTAAGGACTTCTTGCGTTCCAGCTGTGATTGCAACTGTGACATCTGTTTGGTGAGACTCTGGATCATAGTGGCATCCGTAGCGACCGCGTTTACTTCTGGTTTGTTCTTTATTGCTTTTGCGCGGTTCGCGAACCTAGAGTACAATTATTTAAAATAAGTTCGATTTAAAATTTATAGAGAGCTAATTATTTCACGACGAAAAAACTCTGTGGAAGCCCTTAGGAGACGCTTATATTTGCCATCACATCAACAGCCTTTAATAATCTGCTGGACATAGGCCTCTCCTTAGAAAGGCCTACTATACCACGCTGGCCAGACGGCTTGGTATAGGGTTTGTGTCAAGTTTTTCTTCTCTTTGCAGTGCTATTGTCCTGCGTAATTTGCTCCCTTGGTCGGCCGTTACGACATTCACGGGATGAAAAGGGGTGCTGACATCCGTATTCTTAATCCCTCACCACACGGACAAATACTTGCAAAAGAAATAAATATATTTGTTTTCGTGTAAAGTAATTAGTAGCAGTAGTATCAGAGCAACATATACATATCTACCCTCAGAAGAAAAAGGTTAATATCAAGGTTATTACTATCCCATGGCTTAAAGTATTCAATCGAATAGTTAACATTAAAGATGACTGAATCTAAACATTTTGGTATAGAAAGTGATGTTTTTCAACTTGTTCAATTATAAACTTACTGTAAAGTAGAAATAGTTTCTTCTACAGCTACCGGTGTAACAGCACAGATGATACTCGTCTTAGCGTTGCCTCCTAAGGAGTTTTGTAGTAAGCGCGTGAGCTTGCTATCGCGGTAACTTACAAACCTGAAAATGGAATTATAACCATGACAGAGAAGTTATCATCAATATAGTCTCATTATGTTTAAGTATCAAAAAATATTTCTTAAATTGAGAAAGAGTGTGGGTAAAAGAGGACGTCGAGTGAACAAGGAGAATAGAAGATGGTGCACATACTTGTATAAGCGATATAATCCGGCTACAATGCCGGCTTATAACAGCATATAGTTTAGCCTGAATTAAATTAACACGGCAATGCAAACTTCTAAAATATTGCAGTAGCATATAATTTAATAAGAACATAGTCTAGTTGGACAAATCGTCCAAAAGAAATTTGTCCAGAAGGCAATTCTTGATATCTGTCTTTTAAGTTTTCAAAGGCTTTCAAAGGCTTTCAAAGGCTCATAGGCTACTATCGGCGAACAATGTGTTCAAGTTATCTCACTTGAACACATTGTTCGCCGGTAGTATACTAAGTTTGTGTTAAACCTAACCACTTTTGGTGTGTTTGAGCGAACGACGATTTCTGCTGCATAGATATCTTGTATGCAGATACTGTACTATATTTACTATGCTTCTAATTGTTAGACGTGTGTTAAAATTTATTTCTAAGATTTGACGAAGTTATTTCGCAGTCCCCGACGAACAAAATCGTAATAGGAAAATAACAATTTTACAGGAGCAAATAAAAACTGAATATCTTGAATACTATCAAGACTAAGAAGAAGATTCTTTTATCAAAAATAAGGAAATATTTTTTTGCACTAGATTTTTACTAAATTTTTATCATAAATTTTCTTTATCAGTAAGAAAATTGTGAAAATGTCCATTACTGAAATAAGCTATGGAAAAAATTAACGCAAACTAACTTTACGATGGTGTTCGACTGTAATCACAAATCGGTGTTGCTGTAGTAATCGTTCATTATGATATTGTTCCTTGGTAAATATGAATATACTTTATATTCGTAAAATGACATTGCAATCGTATTCGATGATATAACTGACTTTAATATTACGGTAAACATAAATTACATGCTTATTCGATGATCATTTTTAGGTGTTATAACCATTTCGGTACCTATGTATAAATTCTGATTCTGATTCTGTCATTATTCCCTCGAACAATATGGTAATAGCCGCTTACTCTATAATGTTGACTTTTGAGATTTGGTAATAGGTTATTGCGTTATTGATCGTGTAAATTTTTCACTTATGTTATACGTTGAACAAAAACATAAAGATCATTATTGAATGGATAAATCCAAAAGTATTCATCGCCAGATCATAAAAAAAATTCAATGATTGTAATAGGGTGTGTAGATAACGAATATCTAATAAACCCGATTCTATCGTAATAGCGATTACCATAGTGTTCGTCGGGGACTGCGATTTGCTATACATTTTCAAGTGAAACTAATAGCGTATTTAGAAAATGATTGTGAATGTGATATACGCACTTGTGGTCTTCAGACAGTTGTTTTATAACAAGAGCGAGTGTAGAAAGCGACTTATTGATATGCGTGCCTTCCTTGAACCTTATGCCCTTAGCACCAGTTTGCCCCGCTCGTTCTGAGCCCGCCAAGTCTACTAGGTTTAGTTGTGATACATTCACGCAACCCCCTTCGCTTTCGCCTTCTATGTGTTCTCGAGATTCTATTGTCTGTAAATAAAATAGTGGTGATTGAAAATGAAACAATACTTAAATTGTCGACATTTTTGCTGACATTAGCAGGATTTGTCTAGGTACGTTTTTAAATTCGTTGACACAAATTCACAGATAACGCGTTTGAGTTATCCGTCTCAAACGTGTGTTGAAGGGCTGATTATAATTTAAATTTAATAGTAGAACTACTGCTTTAACATTAATTATAATAACAGCCGCGTGGTGCCCGATAGGAACTAAGTTCCTTATGCTGACAAATATTTAATTCATAAATATTGGTCAAGGTATTTTTTTAAATAATAATTTGCGTATGTATTACAGTTAGTTGTTCTGGTTGTTTTAGAGTTATTAAATAAAAATGCGCAACGCAACAATAGACGCTATAACGCTCTGCAGGCAGTGAAATCACTGTAGAGCGCTTTATCTTGTGAAATTTCTGTCGCCACATCGTCGCATAAAGAACTTCGTTCCAATATCACATTAGCATTCTTTAACAATAAGAAAAACTAAGTTTTACTATGAACCCAAGACGCTTAATAAAAAAAAACATGTTCTATAAAAAAACTTTAAACCGATATTGCGGTGTATCAGGCACATTTCATAATAAGGAACGATTTTGGGTCTGGTTTGAAGAAGGATTGTGCTTCATACAGTAGGAAAGTCGTCTAAACTTCACAGAGATGCTTCCTAAATTTGGCAAGTCCGATTCAAACATACATCTATACCCAAATCGCTCTAAATATGTGCCATGCATGATTATAGATAAGCATAATAACTATATCATTAAAAGGCTCTGATTTAATAATGTACATTTGCAGTTAAATCTTTCCTAACAATTAGTTGAAGCAATTGCTAAAGCCGATAAAGAAACGAATTCATAATTAAATCAATTGGACAACATTCCGATTAACAATAATATGGCTACTAACTCGCATTCACAAATTACTTATTAAAATTGTTAAGTTGTTAGCCAACATCTTAATGTGTGGGTGTGTACCTCATTATGTTATATCTCATGACCATACAAAGCACAATAAATACGTTGAATGCGACTTCTCAGTCCCACGCACTGTTAGCTATGTCACAAAAACATTGAATTTACAAAACTGAGAACTGCACATGATTTTTTTAAGTCAGTAACAACCAAATTCTTCTTGTTTGAGGGTCACATGTCACCGACGACTATTTTAAATAAGCACTTTAATACATGTTTTTTACTTACAATTTGAAATATTGAGTGTGATCTGCTACTCTGCTCATTCATATTGGTAGCGCCTGTTTGTCGGTTTGCCTCACCCTATAAAACAAAACGTAATTTTTTCGTATTGATGTCGGAGGTAGCTTATAGTAAAACGTCTGCCGAGGTCAAGTTACTAATAATGGACAAGAATGTGATAATTTCAAAGAAACGCCTTGAGAAGGTATACTCAGATATCTGCTATGCCCTAACTACTATAAAATATTAACAACATTGATAAATCATTTATAACTAATTCAATAGTCCTGTTATTTCTAGATGAATCAGATTTTGCATAGAGAAAAAATTACACTATCGAGAAATCTGATTAAATCTTCGTTTCTAAGTCAATGGACAAATAAATCGAGTATATGGACCTCAGAACTATGATTTTATACATTGTAAAATTAACATAATGCTATGAGCTCACTATAGCTACAAAATAGGATAGTAGAACATCATTAGTTACCTGTTCTGTCAGCTCTATGGCAACCATGTTTTTGTTGTGGCAGCGGTCGGCATAATAATAGTATTTTTATTTACTCTACACTGACACCACATTAGTAGTACTTATTTATGTTGCACCCGTGCGAAGCCAGGGCTGATCGCTAGTAAATAATAATTTAAATACTTGTTGAGCCCCGCGGTTGTTGTGTTACCTTGCCTATCCTTGCCTATTTGTAACATTTATGCTATTCCAGTGCTATCTCAATGTGTTAAGAATGGTCATCTATCCATAGACTGACCTGACTAGGGTTGCTTAACTTTGCAATGTGTTTACCTACTTAGTTACCACTTAGCCACGAGCCCCTCAAATTCTCGAAATTCATAAGACAATGGTTAATAATTTATTAGTATTCATTTAATTAAGATGATTACCGTGATAAGTAGAAAACTTTTTTTTTACTTTTACTTTTTTTTATATAGTTACTTTTTTAATATGAAACTATATTATTAGCTTAAGAATTTAATATTATTGCAATTATTTAACGACGCTCAATACTTTATTGCTTGCATAATGTAAGTTGGTAAAACAATTCATTAATTTCTGTATAACGTAATTAATTTATTGTTACCAATAATAATAATATAATTTATTTCAGAAAACTTGTTCCATATACAAAAACAATAATTTATTACATCATATCATCAATTACAATTTACTTAAAAATAAATAAAAATATTAATATTTGAATAGAATATTACATTAGATCATTGATTAAAATTAAAGACTAGAAACTAGACTTAGCTAGCATCAAACAATACAATACAGTACTTTTTTTAACTCATTCAATTTATATATTTTTTTCCTTTTACAACTAGTAACAAATATGATACTAATACTGATAATGTACAGACTGCATATGTAAATATTATTATACACTTTTAAAATGGTACCTCTTTCATAGCCTCAAGGACTTCTTCAGGTGATGATGTGACTTTCTCTGTGGTATATACTTTGACAACTCCTCGCAATGTGTCTTGAACTTTCACATTGTCCTTTTCTATGTTCAGTAAATCTTTCACTGTTTCATTATATATTTCTATGAAAGATACCCTGCAATACCAAGTTACACAAGTTACACAAGGACAGAAACACAAGAGCTGACTCCTTAGAAATGTATTTTAATTTTCCCCCTATTTTTTATAGTATAGGTTGGGAAGCGAGTAGACTGCAACTCAAGTCAGAAGTGGGTTGCTGCCTTGTGAGTCCTCTCCCATATTCAAGGGCCGGAGGGGTTTGGGTTCTGATACTTACATGCTCAGTGAAAAGCAATGAAAGAATAGCTCAGCATCAGTTTCCTGTGAGGCAGTGGTTATTACTAAGACCCGTATCTAGTGTATCCCGTAAGACCCGTATCCCACTAGATACGGGCATAATAAAATCAAGATTAAAAACAAAAAACTTGATCCACAAAGCGCTTTGTATATGGTAGCCTGGCCAACATTAAGTGAACTTATTTTTTGTGAGTTTTTTTTTAGTAATTTATCTCAAACGCTGGAGAAAGGGGTCGCCACTATTAAGTTTCTGCCCCGGTTCGAAAAAATCTGAGGCTGGTATCACTCCAGTTGAGTCGGCCCAATTGATGCAGTTGCTGGAATTTGATGATATTGATGCAGACAACCTTTAATTTCAACAAGACGGTGCACCACCTCACATTAATCGAGTGAACATGGAATTATTGCGTGAAAAGTTTGGTGAGTCGTTAATTTCGAGAAATGGACTGATCAGTTGGCCACCATGATCGTGTGATTTAACATGTGACATACGGGCCGAAATGGTGCACCGCGTCATCGAAAATTGGCGTGAGCGGGTGACCGTCTGCAAAAAGAGCCGCGGCGGTCATTTGGCCGATAAATTATTTAAAACATAAATTGCATAAAATTATCTATCAAATAAATCAATCGGATGCATTTTTCATAAAAATTTGTGTTTCATTCAATTTTTAAACCAGGACGTTCTTATTGGTAGAACCCATATATTGTGTTATTGAACATGTCAAATTAGTTTGATTATTTTAATTATTATTTCTTTTTTTTTTTAAAGTCAACTCCCGCAATGGAAATATATCCTGTGTAGCAGGGGAAGTTACAAACATATGTGAAATGAACACAAAGAACACTCAGACTCAGAACAACAATTTGTGGAGTCATCCCATGTGACGATCTAACTCACAACACTCAGCGTAGGAGGAAGGGGCATGGGGACTGCTTAAACCACTATGCCATCCATACAGTTAAAAGTTAGTTAGCAAGCTACTTTCTTGGTTTGATGCTCTCAATAGTGTGGTGAAAAGTTGATGGCATAAAGTAAGCTTGAAAATAAACTAAAAACCATGATAGGGGCTATTAAATATTATATTCAACTTAAATACAATTTTACCTCACCATTTGCCTTAACGTTAATCAACTTCTTGCTATATGCTTATTGTTAATAAGAGCAAAAGCTCAGCAACTTTAATACACTTCATACAATATTCACAAGGAATAGTAACCTTCAATTACACCAACAAATTAACACACACACACAAAGCTATACATAAATATATAAACAACACCCACACACAATGAATTGCTTCACTGTGAAGTTATCAAAGTTCATAATTATGGTCTATTACAATAACTAATAATTTGTTGCTTGTCCATTGTTACTAATATATGGCAAATCACAAGCCTCTCACCGACCTCAGACGGTCTACTTGCAGGTTAAACATACTATGAATGAGCCGATAAACAGAGTAAATAGCTTACCTGACTAAGAAGTCACGATCAGGAATACTCTTAATAATTTTAAATAAATCGAGTACAGCTAGCGGAATTATTCCTGGAGAATCATCTGTCCCGCTCATAGTATATGTCTTGCCAGATGATGTTTGTCCATAAGCAAATATCGTTCCATTGAAACCTGCCGTGGCGGCTTCCACAATCGGCTTCGCGATGTCATTGTACACATCCGAAGTTTTTGTTTCTTGATCGTAAACCTTGTCTGAAATGTATTTGAATTCAATATACCCATTCACAGCTTTCAACTCTGTGACGTATTATATACATTTGCTAATTAGAATTACAACTATTTCGCACGCAATTTGATAACCCTCAAAAAGTGTTGCTCACCAAATGTAAAAGCCTGTCCAAGATCTTTGCCATTTTGATCAAGCTGATATAGCGTATTATTCTTAACGCGCCACTGGTAGGAAAGTTTATCTTCAATTTCACGCAAAATTAAAGGTCTAACTTTGACAACTACTTTTATATTGTCACTCATTTTCGAACACTATTTATCTACGACTTCCTAATATGGCACAATATTTATATAGGCAAATTTAGAAATACAGCACAATCATCATTTTCACATAATGCTGTTCAAACGACTTGAGCGAGAAAAAAAACAAAACGTAAACAGACAGAACACTAAAATAACCGACATACGATTTCAAACTGAAAAAATTAGAATTGGAATTAGAGCCAGGGTGACCATTTTCGTAAACCGAATGCCAGTTTTACTCAAAATTAGTGTTGCCTCTAAATGAACATGAAAGTCGCCATTCTTAGTAGACTTTTAATAAGGATAAGTATTAAATAAGGATAAGTACTAAATACGTGATATTTTACTGTGAAATAGGAAAATAACAAGGCATAGTTTGGACATAGATATTGTGAAGCGACTACATATCTTTCTACAACTTATCTATGGCTGTCGTTACTATAGTTACATTTGATCGTTTAGAAGTTTAAATATTACATTACTGTATTTTTTTAACTACAATTCTATGATTTCGTGCAAAAACCAGCTTTTTAGTCAGAGGCGTCGTGGCTTTCCTTTATGTCCAACTGTTTCCTGCAGGACTGCTTTTGAAAGACGATAGTTTAATGTAGTAAGTTCTAGACTCTACAACAAAGCCCACAAACAATTAAATATTTACGCATTGACTAAGAGCGAGGTAAAAAAAAAGTTATTTCCTGGTTACAGACGTTAACATATTGTGATACCGAGGAGCTTCTAACCTTACACAGACACTTAACGATTGCTTTGAACAAGCATGCCCACTTTCTACACCCAGGACCGGACCACAGAGCAAACACCAATGGTGGGTTCCGGGAAAGACTACGTCGTAAAGTGAGAAAGCTGTTCAATAGAGCAAAAAACTCCCGACTAGACCAACATTGGGATGCCTATTCGCAGGCCCGACAACAATACAAGAAGAGAATCAGTACCAGGAAAACTGAGTGCTGGAGAAACTTCTGTACTAACATAGAGAACAACAACCAGGCCAATAGAGTCAAAAACATATTGTGTAGCAGAGGCGAACACAATCTTGGCTCATTGAAGAAGCCCGATGGCGAGTATACCAAAACAGACTCGGAAGCCTCAGAGCTGTTATAGAAAACACACTTCCCTGGATGTCGCATATCAGATGTGACGTAAACATGGGCAAAAGCACCAGATGATACAGACTGGGATACGGCCCGCAAAGTTGTCAACCGTGACAAACTAAGATGGGCAATTAACAGCTTCCTGCCATTCAAGGCGCCAGGACTAGATGGTATTTTCCCAGGTCTACTGAGATGGTGTGATGTGATACTACTGGACCACCTTGTTAAAATCTACAGGGGCTGCCTGGCACATCATTACATCTTCCTGAAATGGAGAGAAGTTAAAGTAGTCTTCATTCCCAAACCTGGTAAAGGTGACTACACACAACCCAAATCATACCGACTTATCAGTCTCACGTCCTTCCTATTAAAGATTCTCGAGAGGCTAATAGATAGGGAAATTAGGGAAACTGCGTTAGTCAGTCACCCCTTACACCACAATCAGCACGCATACTCGATTGGTAATTCCTTACAATAGGCTATGCAGACGATCTCACTATCCTCATCAGCGGTCCCTTTGAGAACGTTACATGCGATCAAATGAGACTTGCACTGTAGATCGTTGAACAGTGGTGTGTAGCACACAACCTGACAGTGCACCCATCGAAAACAGAGATGATCATGTTCACAAACAAACGCAGTCTAGGAAACCTTAGACTTCCCAAGCTATTTGGAACGCAACTTGCTCTTACCATAGAGGTCAAATACCTAGGAGTAAAACTGGACCGTAAACTCCTGTGAAATAAGCACCTCGATGAAAAACTGAACCAAGCCTGCATTATCTTTTGTCAATGCAAACGCTACTCGGCAAAAGCTGGGGACTATCACCCAAGATTACTCTATGGCTTTACAGAACAGTCATAAGACCAATAATCACTTACGGTGCTGTTGTCTGGTGGCAGAGAACAGAGCTAAGCACCGTCATAAACAAATTGCAGCAATTCCAGTGACTCCCATGCTCTGCGGTCACTGGCTATATGCGCACAACTCCAACTGCCGCACTGGAGGTGGCTCTGGGTCTGCCCCCACTGGATTTATTCATACAGCAGGAGGCCATGGCGATAATTAGACTCAGACACCTGGGCCTATTATGATGAACTCTTATTTCCAGAAGCCGCCTCACAGGAAATGGACCTGGATGAGCCCCGATGGTTCCACAAAAAATGAGATTGACTTCATTTTGACCAACAAAAGGCGTATTTTCAATGATGTATCCGTGATTCACAGGGTGAAAACCGGAAGTGATCACCGAATGGTTAGAGACACACTGAATATAGACGGACAGTTGGAACGCGCCCGTCTAATGAAGTCCACGCTCCGACCTTCCATTGCTCAGATCCAAAACCCCGAAAGCTTTCAACTCGAATTGCAAAATCACTTCGAATGCCTAGATACCTGCACATCAGTGGACGAAATAGCGGGCTGGTAGAAAGTATCCATGAGGTTGGGTCTAAGTTCTTCAGACTCCACCGAAAAGATAGACCTCAGAAACTATCCGACCATACCCGGGACCTCATGGCCGGGCGACGTTCTATGACTCTCCAAACCTCCGATGACGCTAAGTCCTATCGGCAGCTCAATAGACAGATATGGAATCCTCTGCGACACGATCTCCGCTCCTTTAATACTAACAGTATTAAGGAGACGATAGAGCGAAACAAAGGCTATAAAGTGTTCGCAAGAGAGGCGTCTATTGGCCAGTTGACGAAGCTGAAGACAGAAGAGGGGAGTGTAACGTCGAGTAGGCAAGAGGTACTTACGGAGATAGAGAGGTTCTATCGACACTTGTATACCTCAACCGCAAAGCCTGCTAGTAGCCCAGCTAAAGACCCTAGAGCAAGGCTAACCCGACATTATACCGAAGATATCCCGGACATCAGCCAGTACGAGATTGGGATGGCTCTGAAACAGCTTAAGAATAACAAGGCACCGGGTGATGACGGAATCACATCTGAACTTCTGAGAGCGGGTGGCAAACCGGTACTCAAGGTCCTCCAGAAGCTCTTCAATTCCGTCTTGCTCGAGGGACACACGCCAGAGTCATGAAACAGGGGTGTGGTGGTACTTTTCTTCAAGAAGGGCGATAATACCTTATTGAAAAACTACAGGCCCATCACACTGCTGAGATGGTGTGATGTGATACTACTGGACCACCTTGTTAAAATCTACAGGGGCTGCCTGGCACATCATTACATCTTCCTGAAATGGAGAGAAGTTAAAGTAGTCTTCATTCCCAAACCTGGTAAAGGTGACTACACACAACCCAAATCATACCTGTACGTGCTCTACAAGCTGTTTTCAAGAGTCATCACGAATCGTCTCCAACGTCGGTTAGATGACTTCTAGCCTCCCGAACAAGCCGGTTTCCGAAAAGGCTTTAGTACCATAGACCACATACATACGTTGCGGCAGATTATACAGAAGACCGAGGAGTATAATCGGCCACTATGCTTGGCGTTTGTGGACTATGAGAAAGCCTTCGATTCGATCGAAACTTGGGCAGTCTTTAGGTCTCTCCAGCGGAGCCGTATTGACTATCGGTACATCGAAGTATTGAAGTGTTTGTATAATAACGCCAATATGTCAGTTCGAGTACAGGACCAATACACGAAGGCAATTCCATTACAGAGAGGGGTAAGACAGGGAGACGTTATTTCTCCGAAACTGTTTACCGCTGCTCTGGAAGATGCCTTCAAGCTCCTGGAATAGACAGAACTTGGCATCAACATCAATGCCGAATACATCACTCACCTTCGATTTGCCGACGACATCGTAGTCATGGCAGAATCGCTGGAAGACCTGGGACAAATGCTCGCTGACCTCGACGGAGTTTCTCAACAGATCGGCCTTAAAATGAACATGGACAAGACGAAAATCATGTCGAATGTCCATGTTGCGCCAACTCCCATAGTCGTGGGAAACTCTGTCCTCGAAGTTGTTGACGAATATGTCTACCTAGGACAAACGGTCCAATTAGGTAAGTCCAACTTCAAGAAAGAGGTCAATCGTCGAATCCGACTCGGCTGGGCAGCGTTCGGGAAATTACGAAACGTCTTCACGTCCAAAATACCTCAGTGCCTAAAGACGAAATGCTTCAACCAGTGTGTGTTACCAGTAATGACCTACGGAACTGAGACGTGGTCTCTTACTATGGGCCTAATCAGAAAGCTCTGAGTCGCTCAGCGTGCTATGGAAAGGGCTATGCTTGGCATTTCCCTGCGTGATCGAATCCGCAACGAGGAGATCCGTAGGAGAACAAAGGTGGTCGACATAGCCCAACGGATTAGCGCGCTCAAGTGGCAATGGGCAGGGCACATAGCAAGGAGAACTGACGGCCGATGGGGCAGCAAAGTGCTCCAATGGAGACCACGTACTGGAAAGCGCAGTGTGGGACGACCGCTTACCCGATGGACGGACGACCTGGTAAAGGTTGCCGGAAACCGTTGGATGCAGGCCGCAATCAACCGTCCCCGCTGGAAATCATTGGGAGAGGCCTATGTCCAGCAGTGGACAAGCATAGGCTGAGGTATACCTGGGCCTATAGCATAAGAGTGAGGGATCGCACTCCAAATTATGGGATCAATTGGTGGAATACGAACCACTAATAGCAGCCCCATGCGATAGAATCCCAAAACACCATATCTTCACAAAAAGATACCACATCCAGATGCGAGAAAATGACCGAGATCAATCCGACATTAACGAAGTCCGAATTTACACGGACGGTTCCAAGACTAAGTCAGGAACTGGAGACGAAGTTTTCTCGCAAGACCTAAATATGAACATGTCACTAGCGGTAGGCCAACACAGTTCCATATTCCAATGCGAATGTGTGGCAATAACTTACGCCGCCACAACGGCCATGTCAAGGGGTATCAAGGACTATAACAT